TATGCCGGCCACACGACATCTTCGCTTCGGGGGGGGGGGTGCATGGTTGCATTGCAAGGATGGACAAGACCCACAAATTAGCAATACATTGCTGATTAACCCCCAGTGCAGATTCACAGAAACTCTAAAACGCATCTGCGCCGGTTGTTTTGGGAGGGTATCTTGTGGGATTATTTCAAAAACCCACAGGGAAATCACAACTGTTGCCCTGTCTGTTAAGACGCATGCGCATGCTTGGAGGGATCTCTTTTCTGGATTCCAGGGGGGGTTGTCCATAGATTAGAAGATGCAAACCATACATGGGTTTGTCTTTGGGAGAATACCTGTGTTCTTGGTGGTTTTAACGGGAAACCTAAAGGAACACCACCATTTTGTGGGCCCAACCTAAAACACAAACGCACCACCCACATTAGTTGCTTGCCTCAACTGACGTAAGCCTGGCCTTGTAAAACTAAAGTTCATGAGGAACATCACAAGCCAAGTTCGGTCTGTCTTTTTGTTAGGCTCGTTGGTAGGCTTTAAAGAGGGAACCAAAAGGAAAACAACCTCTCTTTTTGCTTGGGCGGGGGATCCCCAAAAAACAGACAACTTATTGGATCCAACACCCGAGACTTGTTGACTGTTGATTCTGCCAACATGACTGCCAAGGTTCAACAAGGGCCGTGACTCCACTCATGAAGCCAGATAGCAGCACCTGGACCCTGCAACTCCCCCCATATTTTCAGGGCAATCACAAATTTCCAAATTAGAATTTTGAGGATCCAGGTAGAAGCACCTACACAAATAGACAAGGGGCGTTCAATTGCTTTTTTGTCCCCAGGAGAAAAGAGAACATATTAGTGATAGATTCCCGCTAAGAACCAACAAGGGAAAGTAAACAATACTGTGGATGGACGAAATCCTGCACCACTTTGAAACCATAGGACACCATGGTTGGTTGGGTTTTGCAAGGGGGCCATGATTCCAGGGTTTCTCAAGCGGTGCAGGTTTCCACAGTATTCATTTCAGCCGATGGATGGGGGTCTTGGGTCTTGGGCCGGGAAGGGAGCCTCAGGCGACGGGTTTAGGGCTGCAAGACAAACACACGGACGGGTTTCTCAGGCCAAGCTATACATGACCAAGCATGAGAAACTAGGTCCTCCAGTAGAGAGGTTAGAATAAGGGTGCCTTTTTTTCCGTAGTCTACTTTAGTAGGGGAACCCTCCCCAAAAGAAAGGGGTAAGAAAGGGCACTACTGGGGAACCTATAGGAGATCTCCCACAAAATGGCCTGAAACAAAGAAACCCCAAACAGAAGAGAAACGCCAACAACACGCCCCAAACACCTCCCCACGAAAAGGGGGGCCCGAACAACACGCCCCATCCCGATTTTTGGGGGCAAGAATCGCTCACCCGATTTCCCGGTCGATGGGTTTTATCCGGGCGCAGGACTCGACGTAGCTGCCTGATCACTCGCGAACCTGGGCGCAAATCAAAGCTCAGCTTCCAATGGCTTCCATTTTTCTAGGGCTACCAATCTTTTGACCTGACCTTTTGGTCTTCCATGTTGGCCCATGTTTTTTGTTCAAAGTCCCCAAGTCTCTAGGGCTACCTTCCAATTCCATTTCCTGAACCCGATCCGGATCTTTCTACCTCCGGAAGCCCGGGGAGAAGGATCTTTGGAGAAAGAGCGATGCCTGAAAAGCGATCCGGACGCTGGGAATCAGCCCCTGGAAGGAGTCAACTCCCTGGGAATCAGCCCCAGGAGTCAACTCCCTGCAACCCCCTGCAAGTTAACCTGGCAGAACTCCCTGCAAGTTAACCTGGCAGCTAAGCTAGAGTGACAAGACACTCCGTGGCGAATCGGTTTCCCATAGATTCGCCCGGCGAATCAAGCAAGAGGGTGGGGAAGGCTGAAGCTGGTTCTTGTAAAGCGCTACATGGGAAGGCTCCACCAAAACTCCAAAGCCACCAATTAGAGGGAAGCTGATACTGGGTCCCCAACCGGAACTCCGGGCACCTCCTTAGAAGCCAAGTTGGCTACCGCGTCCGGCCCCTTCCAACCAGCTGGAATACCCACAGCTAAACGGGAAAAATCGGGCACCCGCCTTTTGAACCACTTGCTGCACCTCAAGTAGCGGCTGTCCTGTTGCCACGTGTGGACCGTACAGTGGATACTTGCGAGGGATCAGCGGAGCTGCCTCAGCCCAGCAGAAAGGGGATATGTTCGATTCTGGCACATGTTTACTGAGCATTGAGCTGCAACAACCTTCACAACCCCTTGGTATGGTAGTAAACAACTCTGCGATTTTTGCAACTACCCTGTCCAAAAAGACACAAAAACAAAACTTGCTCCAAGAACAGTCAAGAAAAGGTTCCACAATAGGGCTTCCGCGGCATTTTATACCCATCAGTGGAGAAATCTTGCCTTGAAGTAGGCAGGTTGGGATTCTCACTTTCGATTGAGTGGATTGGCCAAAACAAGTCGCAGCTCTTCGACCCCGAAAAAAGTGACGAAAGCCCCTCGGTCCTCCAGTAGAGAGGTTAGAATAAGGCTACCAACTTTTTCTGTGGTCTATTCTAGTAGGGGCACCCTCCCAACCAAAAAACAAAAAGGATAAAACAAAAAGGATAGCACTACTGTCATAGGGACCTACATTCTTTCTAGCGCTCCAGTCCGAATCAACGACAGAGCGCAGGGAGCTGAAGGAGCTTTGGCGCCCTCGCAGACGTTTCGGCTGTGAAAGGGACCGGGTCCCGAACGTCAGGCTCCATGTGAAGAGGGTGGGAGGGTAAAATGGTCCAACCCCAAAAAGTGAACAAAGTCCATGAACTAGGGGAGTGAGAATCCCAGGCTCGGCAGGAAAAAAACCACCCGAGTCGACTCTTGCAGCCGTGGCGCAGAAAAAAAGAAGTGCTTAGGGCCCCCCAGGTAGAACGACAGAAGGATACATCCAAAATACCAGCGGCTTAACCGATCCCCCTAAATCAACACGTGTTTACGTAATGTCTCTACTGTGCCGTGAGGGGTCGCTACAATATGAACATGTGCCTTGCCTTCTCGATCCCGTTTTCCCCTAAGGTTGTAGGCCTGTCTGTTGCCAATTTGGCGAATGGTTGCAAGCGCGCACTATCTCTGAGAAAGTCAAAGTGAAAAGACATAGGTATGCCGTACCTGTGAGTGCTTCCCTCTCATTCTCCTGTGAGCCAATGGCTGCAAAAATGCCTTGAACGCAGGCACCAACGCAAACAACCCATATTATTCCACCAACAAAATGGAAGTGCACAGACTTTGTAGGGAACACAGTCTTCCTGTTGGAAGATTGACTTCCTACTTCCATGATTGTTGGTAGAAGGATATATTCCCCTAGAGGGTGTCGTTTTCGATTGCATATGCACATGCAACAAAAAGGGCAAAGAGTTCCTTCTGTCACACGTGGTTCGCGTTCTTACCTCATTCCCTGCTGCCAAGGGTGCCAAGCACTTGTAACTTGATCGTCAATAAATGTTCCATACAAAGGGACAAAATCCGTTTTGCACCACCTAAAACACCCCGAAATTAGTGCACCCCCTGTAAAGTAAAAACCAACAAATCATGTTTGTTTCTTCTTTTTTTATATGGTTTTAACCACATGTGTTGCAACATTTTGTTCACGGCATGATGCTTAACATTTGGTTTAACCACACCCATGTCCGAGTCCGAAAGGCAACTTCGCCCCCTGGAAACATGAGCAACAAACTCCAGCAGTGAATCGTTTCCCGATTTAAAAAAAAAAAAAAAAAAAAAAACATACAAGGGAAAACAAAAACAGATTCATTTCAGCAAATGGAAGCAATTTACTTTGACCATTTATGTTTTCATTTGCGCTTTGTTGGATGCTTTGTGTTGTCAGGGGCATCGGTGTACTCAGCTGCCAACCATTATCCCGCAAAAACGTGGTTTACAGGTGTGTGTGTATGTGTCTGTGTGTGTGTAAGCGTGCCTGTGTTTTCTTTAGAGTACCTATACACATATATATATATATAATATACAGCTATACACACTTATGTAAACATTATATTGCCTATGTCTACATAGGTTTCTTTGCTTGTCTATCTCTTCGAAGCCGCTAGACATACACCTTCTGGCAACTAGCGCCCGCCTTTCTCGCGAGGATTCGCCGAGTACGTACGGAGCGCGGCTCGTATCGCACGGTGGCTTTGCCACTCGTCTGTCTCCTCCACCTCCTAGGGAATATCAGTTTGCACTTTCCGGGCCTTTGACCAAGTTTTACTAGGCTTCCCTCAAAAGTTCCAACTTTTGGATTTGAAGGAGTACGTGGGCCATTTCTTACACAACACGCGAGGCGTGAGCCAAAAGGCCCGTGACACGTGCCATGGTCAAAGCTCTGACCCTCTGGGGTCTGTGTGGGTGTCTCGACTAAGTCTTGTTTGCAAAACCGCTGCAAATGGAACCCTCATAGGCCCCAAGTGACCAGACCGTTTTGACCTAGGCCATAACTTGGCCTGAGCATCTGCATTGGCACCTGGGTTCACCGAGGCAAAGGGCGAACCGAAAAACCTTTCGGGCGCCACGTGCCCATGCAGCGGCTCAGTGATTGCAGGAACGGGCTTCCTGCTCAACCCTTAGGCCCGCAGAAGTACATGGAGTACATGTTTTTTTTTTTTTTTTGCAAAGCCCGAAATACGAGCAACAACTCAAAAGTCCATCAAGACCAAATCTACTGTGGATGGACGAAATCCTGCATCACCTAATAACACCCTGGAAAGATGATTCCCCTGCAAACCAAACAGTGGTTTCCCACAGTTTCTTTGGTGATGCGAAATGGATTTCGTCCATCGACAGTAAAACAAAACATTGAAGAGCCCAAGAGCCCAAATGGGTGTCTTTTTGTGTTGGAGCAGTTTCCTTTTGGTTCCCCATATTTTTTTTGTTTTAATTTAAAAAAAAAAAACACAGACGCAACGGTACCTCAACAAAAGGAATCACGCCGAGTCAGATCTATGGCCGGTTTTCCCGGCTTGGCGTCCAAGTTTGGGCTGAGGAGCAGCCCAAGCCCATTCTGCGAGCTGATCGCGCCGCCTTCGGCGGTGCGGTGCGTGCGTGCCGTAAATCGGAAGGCTAGGCGCTTTGATTCGATTTCTCGTGAAATTCCGTCGATGGACACAAAGCACGATCTGCGGTCACCAGTGTTTCTTGGTGCAAATTAAATATTATATTTACCTGCACTTCGTACCACTAAGAAGTACTACAGCAACTTATGCTATCTGTAGTTACCAATAACTACTAGATCCAGCTTTGAAATGACCATTGCAGGTCGTGGCCATGGGGGAAAGAAAATGACGGGTGCAAAGCATGGGAAATCAACCTTCACTGTTGTTGGCATGTTCTTAGGTTTGTTGCTTTTGTTCATTTTTAGCACGGGGCTGCAAAAAACAACAGCGTTTGTTTTGTGGTTTCAAGCGAAACAACAGGAAAACCGCTGGGCCATTTGGGAAAACATCCAAACGGGTGTGTTAACTGTGTCAACATAGACAACCCCGTAGATGGAGGCGGTGTCATGCGGTGTCCCTTTGAGTTCCCTTTACAACAAAAGGCATTTCCCCCCCAACAAACACCCCAAATGGGGGCAGTCGCCACAACTCACTTCACTGGATGGGTCAGAAACAGTCTTACTACTACAGGGTTGCCGATATTTCATTAGAACATCACCCCAATTGCAAATAAACTTAGCCACGGGCCGAGAGAGAGAGAGATACATATATATATGTATATATATATATACTAGGTCCTCCAGAAGAGAGGATAGAATAAGGGTACCCTTTTTTTCTGTAGTCTATTTTAGTGGGGGAACCCTCCCCCAAAGGGTAAAAGGGCACTACTGGGGGACCTAGTCTATATATAAACATCCCTGACCAAAGAGAAGCTCGTTCCACAAGGTGGAATCTTGGGCATGACTCATGACTTCCCAAAAAGTTCCCCCGCCACAAAGTTGAAGTCGGCCCCTTCAACATGCTCTCAAAACCTTGATTGGCTTGAGCTCCGCCGCCCCCCCCCCCCCCCCCCCGCAAAGAAAAAAAAAACACGCAGTGATAGTTTCCCTTTAAAGCCAACAAGCGCAAAAGGTACGAAGATTCTTCAAGCAAATGGATGGTCTAGGTCCTCCAGATTTGAGAGGTTAATCTCCAAAAAAGGGGTGAGAAAGGGCACCTAGCTGCGGGACCTAGTGGAAGAACAAGTTGGAATCTGAAGTGAGGCGCCCGCCTCAAATCCACGGCGATTAGTGAATTTCGATCTCGAAATTCTCACTCTCCTTCCTCGGCGCAGTGCGAATCGAGAAGTTCAAGTCAATCCCCCCGACCTTGAGGGGGAGGGGGTAGGGGTCCCCCGATTCCATTTATCTAGTCTTCCCCCCCTTTTTCAAGACACTGGCATGCAAACCAAGACCTCGGGATTTCCTCAGAACAAGACACCTTTGAATCAAGTTGGTCGCTTCGTTTTAGACATGGTCTAAGTCACCAAAGAAGGGGTTGCACAACGGCTTACCCACCAAATAAAGGGTAGGACAAAGGAAGAGTCCCGCTCTAAGATGGTTTCCTCTACCCCCCCAAATTAGTACCAGGGGTGAAATGCAAATTTAAAGCTATGATATGTGTGTGCGTCTTGCTTGAGGGTGCCCCATCTTTAAATGGACATCAACCGCCATTAGGGGAGTCCCCTGAAAAAAGCAGGGAGCCACCCCTTCAGCCACTACGGGTACCTTTCCCCTTTCCCCTTTAAAGCCCACTTTCAGGGTCTCAAAGGCGATTTCCTGGTGCGGGGTCTCGCCTACCAGGAGGAGGGCGGGGAACCCGTCCCCAATCAACCATTTAAATTTTACCTAGCCCCAATTCCCCATTCTCAAGGTGGGGATGTTTTCTTGGACACCTCTCCCCAGAGTTTCCCCCAAAAGGCGACTCCCAACGGTTTCAGGGGATGCATAACTGGGCACCTAGGGCACCTGAGTGACAATTAGAGCAACAAAAACACGGTATTAAGATAGTTGACCCAGAGCCATGTGAGTGGTTGTCAAAATTTGGGGCCCTTTTTGGTATCCCTTCGAAAGGCGGCACAAGGCGGCGCCAGAACTTATTGAGAACTCCCCATGCTTCAGGAAATACCAGTCGGACATCTGCAGCTCATGGCTGGGACTATCCCTTACTGCAGCTGATGGCTGGGACTGTCCCTAATGTTGACCCAGGATCAATAAACAGGGATCCTTACATGAAAAAAACTATTTTAGTGGTTTAATACGTAAAACCCGTTAAGTTGGCAAAAAGTTCAAGTCCTAACATCCCTTGGCAAAATGCACCACAGGTATCCTTACATGAAAAACAGTCGAATATGTTGCCTTGTAAATGGTGGTTTCCAACCTTATTTTGGTGGTGAAAAAGCAACATGTTTCAAATGGTTGCAAAATGAATTTATTTTAAGGAGCCCTGATAAACCCGTCCCATTAGGGGGGTGTTCCCTCCAAAGGTGGTCTGAGTCCCCACTAAAAGGAATTGGACACCCCCAATCAAAATCAACCAAGGGTTCTACTTAGATCCGGGGTTAACATTAACCTTCATTTACCCTGGCTTTGATTGTGGGTCACCTGTCCCCACAGTTTCCCGCAACAGGCGACTTTTGACGTGGGTGTTCTCAGCCCGCCGGCGACTCCGAGAAGAAGCTGGCCACCGGAACCTCCTGGCTGCAGCCGGAGGCCATGCCGACGGGACTCGCAAAGTTCCGGGTGGGGAAAGGGCCACAATGAAGCCAGCACACAAAACGAGTTGTCCGGGTAAATGTACACAAAAAAGACCAACAACAAGATCAACACCTGCGTAACCCTAGCTTTTTGAGCCACACTAAGTTGGTCAAAACTTCGAAACTCAGCTGCCCTTTGAAAACCCAGACAAAAGAACTTCACCTGTTCAGGATGGCTAAGAGTAGATCAATGGGAAATCAAGAGCTCAAGGTCGGTGGACCTTAGAGAGACAAAGTGTAAAGTCCAACTACTCCTTCCAAACCTCGGATCGGCTCCGAGGCCGGCTCCCTCTGAATAAGCGCGCAAACTGGGATGCCAAAATAACCCCAGCTCCGAGTGCTTCTTCCAACCAGCTCGCCAACTCGAGGAGTGAAAGCAGTGCACCACCCAAATGATCTTCCCAAAAAGTCAGCCGAGTCATAATCAAAACCGTCAAGAAGTATCATATAAACGGGTGTGCCCATATTTGAGGGAACCCCTAAATGAGTCACAATCAAAACCTGGTACTTAAATGGTTTACCCAGAACCATGCTTCAAGAATTAAGAAGGCGGAATTCCGCAGCTATTTATGGTTGGGATTGTCCCTTGCTAAGCTTCTACCCGAATCGGTTTTGAGCACGTGTCTCGGCAGCCCAGGAAATGGGCAATGTAATTTGAACCCATCGCAATGGAACCAGTACGTCCCTACCGATGAACATGTGAGCCAAACAGGGGCTGAAGCTTCCTCTGCACGTGGAGTGGTTTTTGTGGGTGTAATTTAACCAACTGTTGGTTAAATTAATCTAGTGACATGGGACCTCATCGATCAAAGATCCAACTGGCTGGTCGAAAATAGGGTAACCCCAAATGGGTTGGTCTGGCAAGTGGAAACATGAACAAACCCTGCGGTCCATAGTCTGGTGACTAACTAGGTCCTCCAGTAGAGAGGTTAGACTACGGGTACCAACTTTTTTCTGTAGTCTAGTTTGGTAGGGACCTCCCCTCCCAACCAAAAAAAGGTTCAAAAGGGGACCACTGGGCGACCTAGATTATGGCCACTACTTTTGTAGGGGAACATAGGGGAACCCTCCCAACCAAAAAAGCAGTGACAAAGGGCCCCTAGCTGGGGGACCTAGCTATCACCTCGGCTTGCGCTTGGGCGCCTGGCCTTCTGACTGGCGCTAGCACCTGCGCTTCTGATCGAGCGGTCGGATATGTCTTGAGGGGTGGGCCATGAAATCCATCCGGCCTAACATATCCACAAATTGCTTTGTGGGCACCAAAAGAATAAGCTCCATCATGACCATATGGCCGTCATGCGTTCATTCTTGTTGATTCCTTACATCTTGCAAGGGAACAAACGGAACCCTTGAAGCCGCGATTTGTGCGTGGTGTGCTTGCAATATGGCCGTTGTTCCTTTTGAGGCTACCCTTTTTTTCCGGGGCACCGAACGGAAAACCGCATCTTTTTTGGGGTCCCCCAACACACGACCGACCCACCCAGACCTGTTGGGCTCGCAGTCTTATGGGCCTGGCCTCATGTTCGAGGCTGATGTCTGCAAATAAACCTGGAACCAGTGCTCAGAGCTGTTTGTTGCTTCTTTTTTTTTGGGGGGGGGCAGTCCTCAGAGCTATTGGTTTTGTTGTGTTTTTTTTTTTGGGGGGGGGGGTTGGTTCCATGTGTTTTCCCCGGGTATCGCAGCGACTGCGAGCTGGATGGACAGGGGTCACAGCTGTGTCCCCCTCAAAGGTTGAGCAACGGACCCTGCCAATGGCTCTGACCAAAGCCCTCAGGCCCAAGCAACCAAGCTGAAGGGGGCCCCCAAAAAATGGGAAGGCTTCGGTCCTACACACAAAGCTCACAACCGAAATGAGAAATGGAAAAAGAACGCCATTAAAAACAAGTTTTGTGAATTGAATGGGGAATTCGATTCCCCATTCGATTCCCCAAAAATGGTTTTGTTGGTATTCGTAGGGAATCGAAGCATTCCATTTTCTGATTCAGAAAAAGGCTTCCAAAACCACAGGCTCGCTCTGCCCGCTCTCCTCTCATTTCCGTGCGAGTTTCTCGTTCGCGAAAACCTCCACGGCATGGGCAATTTGCATTCAACATGGTGGTTTTCCTTTTGGATTCCCTTCCCCTATCATTGAAAACAAGAAAAAGAAAACACACACACACTCAAAAAAAACAAACATATTCTTGCAAGTACACCTCAAAAAAAGGACTGACCCACATCATGAGTAGACCCACACCACGAGCAATTTGCCTTGAACCCGTCCGGACGTTCAACCCAAACTCCCCCAGAACACCTGCCACTCCCTCTGGCGATGCTGGCCCGAAGCCTGAGCGCGTGGATTCGAAGGGGCGCAAGGTGGTATCTGCAACAGCCCCGGAACCCCCTTTCTGCTCCCCTGCTAAAAGCTTAACTTTTAGCGGTTTAGTGGAAAACCCAGTAGTTGGCAAAAAGTTAAAGTCCTAACAGCCCTTGGCAAAATGCACCAAAGTAAAGCTGCCCCTCGTCGAGCCCCTCGTCGCCTATCGGGGCCTATGGACCCCCAAAACACGATTAGTTGAGAAAAAAAAAAAACGAGAAATAATAACTCCAAGGATTTTCCAATTATTGAAAAGGAGTGCGCCCTAGAAAAAACTACCCCCAAATAGTCCCAACATGAAAAATGGGGATCGCTGCAACTGGGTGGAAGCAGTCCGTGTTGCATGGCAACATCCCGCCCCACCCATATAGATGTCGCGGACCGCCCCTTTCGTGTCCCCAACCCCCTGCAGGTTCCTTGGATGCCATGTCCCTAACAAGAACTCCTGGTAGCGAAAGGCTCCTCGAGCCTGAAGGCTCCTCGTTGCACTACCCGGTCGCTCCGAAAAAGCTCTCTTCCACACCAACAATCCGTCCAAGCACAAAACGCCCCACGAAAAAACAGCCACTGGAGTTCCCCTTAAGAAGCGCTTTTCAATTTACTAGCAGTTTCCGCTGAAAGATCGCCACTTGAAGTTCCCTTCAAGGAGAAATGGAGGAACCCCTAGAATGTGCAACCGTTTTCTGGGCTGTCCGTTTTCAGATCCCTGCGAAAAGTAACTTTTTTGTGGCGAAATGGACAACCAACCACTAAACCAACTACAAACAACTAAACCCCCAAGCTGAACCGGACGATTCGCTGAGTCTCTTTAAAACCAACAAGGGAAAATAGTAAAATTCTTCAGCAAATGCAATCCAAGTAAGGCTTCTTAATTGGTGATGCTTAAAACCATCCTAGGGCCAATGGAGCTGGACACCTAAAGCCCGCCAAGGAACCAAACCAAGGGCTCCAAGCGGTTTCTCCTGTAGGTGTCACTCCCGCACCCCTACTCCAGGAACCGGAAGGAAATCACATATTCGTAACTGAGTTGCACCCAGAAAATCCCAGAAAGAACAGGTGAGAACCTTTTGGGCTGCCATGACGAAATACTGTGGACGGACGAAATCCTGCACCACTTTGAAGCCATAGGAAACATTTCTTCCTTGGTAGTTGCACGGGAATCGAATCATGCCAGGGTATCTTAGGTGGTGCGAAATGGACTTCGTCCATCCACAGTATGGTTCTGGGTGAATTATAATATTCACCAACCTGAATTAATAAGGTGGTGGGGGGGCTATTCCCCACATAAACAACACCATTTGGGGTGAACTTGGTCGTGTGAGGGCGCTTTTTCATTCACCCAGATGGTTGCCATGGGAAAACCCCGCAAAACGAGAAAGCTCATTTCGACCGGTGGATTCACTTCAAGGCCAGCCGCAGGGCTCCCGCACGGGAGGAGGAGGGAAGCACATATTCTTAGCTCAGGTGCCCAGTGGATTTGCAGGGGCCCGAAAGGGCATCCTTTTCTTGGTTGCTGTTGACCCCCCTGCAAAAAGTTGCAAACTTTTTGGGGGTTTAGTGGAAAACACATTTATTTCAACCGAAAAGTTAAAGTCTAAACATCCAACCCAACAGCAGTCAAGTTTTTTTGGTCGGTCTGGGTCCTCCAGATTTGAGAGGTTAGAATAGGGGCAGTCTATTTTAGTAGGGGAGCCCTCCCAACCAAGAAAGGGGTGAGAAAGGGCACTGAGGGACCTAGTGTTGGTTGAGTTTAACCGGGGAAAACACGTAGTCTTAAGCAAACGGAATCAAACAGGGATCCTTACATTATACACCTGAACATTGCAACTTGTAAATGGTGGCTTCCCCTTATTTTGGTGTTGAAAAGGGCGACATGTTTCAAATGGTTGCAACATGAATTTCTTTTAAGGAGCCCTGGATAAGAACCGGGGCAAACTTTACAATTCTAACACCTCGCTCGCTTTACCCTCTTCAATGATTCGTAACCCTAGCAGGTAACTGGAATCAAACCCCCTTCTCAAGTGGTAGCTGCTAGCTTGAGGTGACCAGCCCCTGTTTTTCAGCTTCCCTTCAATTGGTGGCTTTGGGTGTGTTTCGGTTGGAAACCCCATTTACCCCCAACTAAACCTGTCAAACCGAAGCTCCAAAAAACCGCCTCGAGCCAATTCGTCGCCTGGGCCCCCTGGCTGAGACTTGGCGCAAGGCCCAAGACGGCTCCGCCGCCTGAAGGCAACCCAAGCCGCGACTCATTTGAAGGGCCTGGGTCACATGTGTTTGTGCTTGTGATTGTGGTTTCTCTTTGGGTTTGTGTTTGATTGAGTCTGTGTTTGGTTGCTTGTTTCGTTGATTGCGTGATTGTTTGTTTTTGTTTGTTTATTGTGTGGTTGTTTGCTTGTTGTTTTGTTTGTTTGTCTGCCTGTTTGGTTGTGTTTGTGTCTCTACTTGCTTGGCTTAAAGGGAAAAGGTCATTCACAATTTGTAGGGCCAGCTAGCATTACCCAAGAAGTAGCAGCCAAATAGCATACCCAACCAATATACAGAAGTAGCTAGGACCTAAGGGTTGATTGACATTTACTGGGTTGATTATCAGAAGTCACCTAGGTGAATTTTAACTAGTCCAGGTTTCCAAAGATAAGGCGGTCAAACAATTTTGTTGGTTTACTGGATTGCCTGTAAATAACAATGCCAAGCTACGGGGCGATTCAAGATCTGAGCAGCTTCCAGTTTCTCCGGTCCCGGAGCTCCTTTCGCTCTGCCGCGATCAACATATCGTCCACATTCACCGAAGCGCTGGCCGGAGATAGTTCACCGGAAGGTCAGCTGCGTCACTTTCATCATCCTCAAAGTAGAATGGCAAATGTGATAAAAAGGAATTGTCAGAGGAATTCGTCTTGTGTAAGCAACATATTTGCCAGTGAAATCAAAGCATCCTCCGTGGAAGAGCGTGCCGTTCCACTGATGTCGGCCGGGGGGCGGGGATTGTTACTCAGCAAATCATGTCTCACTTCCGATCGAATTGAATGGCCCGAAGAAACAACCACACTTTTGGCCTAAGCCACGCTCAAATGGCAAGCAAACCCAAGAAGTGAAAAAAGTCGGCAAACTCAGGGAGTGAGATTTCTGGGGGAGTTCGCCACCCAACAGACCCAGACCCGGCTAGTCAAGTTCCTAGCTAGTCTATAGTCTGTTTCCTCACTTGTAGTTAGATGTTTTGCGCCACAAAATTAGCCAATAGCAAGATCGGATGTCTACCTACTAGTTTGCTCGAATACATAGGCTTAAAACAACAAGTTTACTTGAGCAAAATAATGCTCATTCTCTTGGCAAATGCCTTGGGGCTTTCAACCGGAAGCACAGCAACCCAATTGGGAATTCAGCCTTGGCAGATGAATCCAACTGCAAGGGATAAAGCTCAAGCGGTGTCATGGACTAAGCAAAATGTCTCCAACTTGGCTGTCTTGGGTGTCAAGATTTCCTTGTTTGTTTGTCTCCTTCCTCTTGTGGCTTAGCTCGTCCATCAGAAATCCAACTATCCGCAAACTATTGACTAACAGTCAGGAATTTGTCTAACCGGGTATTGGGAAAACTGGGCACTGAGGATGGGCGAAATCCATTTCGCACCACCTAAGCAATCCTGAAAATGATTCGATTCCCACTGCAAATGCCAACGGAACACTGGTTTCTACCGTGGTTTCATTTTGGTGGTGCGAGAAGCGGATTTCGCATCCATCCACAGTAGTTGCCATTAAAAACTCAAAGGGCTTATAAATTTGTGGTTTATGATTCATGGGGATTCCCTCAAAAAAAAAAACAATTTCCTGGTTGCCCTAGTTCCCTGAAAGCCCGCAAGTTCATTGGTTGCGTTTAAGGATTCTCCGTCCACAGTATCCCCATGTGTCTTAAAACAGTCACACAAATTGTGGTGTCCCCTTTGGTGATGCTTCAAGGCAACCCAAAAAAAACGGCCGGGGGGGCGGGGGGGTTCGCTCATGGGAAACCAAACTTGGAAAACGGGTCCGCAGTCCAAAGCTTGCCACTAAACTTGGTTGCTGTTGACCCCCCTGCAAAAAGTTGCAAACTTTTTGGGGGCTTAGTGGAAAACACCTTTATTTCAACCAAAAGGTTAAAGTCTAAAGACCCGTTGCCCAATAGCAGTCGAGCAAAACCCTCCAAACCGAAGTGGCTCAAGTCCAACTCCGGGTGCGAGCCTTTCCGGACCGAAAGCCGTTCCGATTGACACATGGACCAAACCACAAGTTGAAAAAAACGCCCCGAGCCTTTTTTGGGCAACCTGAGGCCATACATATGTCACAAAAACCAACGAAACCAGTTCAAAAGGCGGCCACCCCATTTCTGCAGGTCTGGTTGGGATTCTCCCCTACTAACCTTCATCTACCCGGGTTTTGAGGATGTCTCATATGGGGCGAAATCCTACACCTTGGAAAGCCTGGAATGATTCGAGTCCTCAACGTAAATATCAACAAACCATATGATTTCAACCGTGGTTTCTTTGGTGCTGCGTTTCATGGATTTTGCATCCATCCACAATAGGACCAAACATTGAAGAGCCCAAGAGCCCAACCAGGTGTCTTTTTTATCGGACCCCCCAAAGATGGTGGTGTCATTTGGGTTTCCCAAGTCCATTGATTTCGCATCCATCCACTTTCATTTGATGAAGCCCCCTTGCAAGAACAAACATATGTTCACTCGGTTGCTTTCTGCTCCCCTGCTAAAAGCTTAACTTTTAGCGGTTTAGTGGAAAACCCATTAGTTGGCAAAAAGTTAAAGTCCTAACAGGCAAGCAAAATGCGCCAAAGTTCAGTAGTACTAGATTCGCTCTAAAAACCAACAGGGGGCACAAATATTCTTAAACACATGGAAGCGTATTTTCTCTTTTTTTCGAGAAACACCCATCTTGCTTTGTCTTTGTTTGCGGGAACCTGCATTATTGCAGCATGGGAAAACCAAACTTGTGAAACTCCAGTTCGAAGTCCAGTCTCACCGAGGTCTCAGCTTAGGAGGCTGCCTCTAGATGCAACCGCCCGACCTGGGGATGGCTTCAATGGCTTTTTGTGTTTGGCACTGGTTACTCTAGGTCCTCCAGATTTCAGAGGATAGAATGAGGGGAATCCAAAAAGCTAACGCTAGGTCCTCCAGATTTCAAAAGTTAGACTAAGTTGCTACCCGACTTGCTTTTTCTGTAGGCTATTTTCGTATGGGCGCCCTCCCCAAAAAAGGGGAGAGAAGGGCACCTAGCTGCGGGACCTAGTCTTCCGCCGATTAACTTGTTCAAGTAGTGACACATTCCTTTTTGAAACAAAAAGGGGGGGGGAAAAAACAATACCCTCCAACTCCCACCCTTTTCACATGGAACTGTTCGACGTTTCGGGGAAATGGTCCTGGTTTGGACCACTTTCCTTTTAAAGGGACCGTGTCCCGAACGTTAGGTTCCATGCTAACTGGTGAGAGGTTACTTCTTCTCTAAGGATTTTCCCACACCCTGGGATTACACAGGAAAATACCCACAATCCCAAATACTGCAAAAAAACCAGGCGTTACTTGCTCTTTACTTCTTCTGGCCCCTGTTTACTTCCATTTGTTTTCTTCACTCCTGGAAAAATACTATGTCCAGGAGTGAAATCGAGTCCCCCTAAAAAGCAGGGAAAACGAATTGCCAAAATATTTGCTTCAGCGAATGGAAGTTTAACAAAAGGGCTCTAAAGTGGCTTCTCAGTTTCATGTTGCATGTTGCTTGGAGGGAGCTCAGTGGGTTTTAGGCGTCACCAGCCCCACATCCCTACCCCCAGAGAGAGGATCGAACCGCCATGACCGCCATGCAGCCTTAGAAAAGTCAAACGTCCAATGTTTCCAAGCGGGTTCCAAAGAAGTGACATGCTCAATGATGGCTTGAAGGAAACCACTCTCAATGAAAGTGTGAGAATCAGTCAAAGTGAATCTGTCTTCTTTTGAGGCTGACCCCTTGTGGTTGGTTTTAAAGGGAAATCAAAAGGAACACCAGAGTCTTGGGGTGTCCCCTAACAAAAGACTGACCCAAATGCTCTCTCAAGGGACCCTGCATGACCAGGTGCAACCTAAAGGGATTCAGGGATTATTTGTTACCTCAGTTGTCCTGAAAGGACCTTGAAACGGACAGGCTATGCTTGGGCCATGACTAAACATGGACCAGGAAGGGAAACTAACATGTCATTTCAGGTCGATTCGCTTGCAAGTCAGTTAGACAAACTTTAGAGGAACCGTAGTTCCGATTCACCTGTCACTTGATCAAAGGACTTGGAAACGCAGATTGACTGAAAATGGGAGCCCACCAAGGGACACGCAGAAGGTTGACTAGATCCGACTCCTTGTCTAGCTGACCTGCTGAGATAAGGTTCAAACACTTCTTTAGGCTCGACTTAAATGGGTGTGGCTCCGAGTTGAAGAGCTAGGGGTACGCAGGCCATAGTCCTTGCTTCCATTACCAGGGCAACGCAACCCATTTTGGGGTTACCCTATTCTTGACCAGCACCCAAACCATTCACACAAACCTGGGCCGTCCTCAGATCCCCTGCTAAAAGTTTGACTTTTGGTGGGTTCAATGGAAACCCCACCAAACCATCTCAAACCAATACTAACACCTAAGTTGGACCGGACAAATTGGTTGGGAATCGCCAGGAAACCAACCCACAAGAAGCTTAAGTTTGCCAACTCAGCAGGTAGGGTCCGGAGAAAATCACTGAGCGAGTCATGACTTCCATTTGCTTAAGCCCCCGGGCAAAAAAACAAGAAAAAAACAACGGTAGTGATAGACTCCCTTTAAAACCAACAAGGGAAATAAAACAAAAAAAACAATAGTCTTCAGCAAATGGAAGATGCGAAGCGTTTGATCGCGCGGCTGACGGATGGAGCCGCCTGGCGGAAGACCGGTTGGTTCTGGACCCCCGCCTCGGCAGCGGCGGGCGGGGCTGGGGGAGGGAGGGGTTGGGAGAGCGCTCCAACTCCGCTGGCGCAGCCTTGCTCACAGTGGGGGTGGGGGTGGGGGTGGGGTGGGGGTGGGGTGGGGTGGGGGTGGGGTGGGTGGGGTGGGGGAAAACTCGGTGTGTGTGTGTGTGTTCTTCCGTTTTGTCTTTTGCAGGTAGGCTTTTGGGGGTTGATTTTTTGGGGGCGTGGCCTTAAAAAGCCCACGATCTTGAATCGAACCTGTCAACCTCCACCCGGTTCCGTGCTGCGCGCTCGCCAGGGCAGCGGAGCCTCCCAGAATAAACACGCAAGTAATCTGTAGACTGTGGCCCCACTGGGCAAGGCTGGAACCCCGACAACCCATAAATTTATGGGATCTCCTTTTCTTGTCTCATTTCAGGTGTGCACCGGCAAATTTATTTTTTGGTAATGCTTCACATTTGGGTTCCTCCAACACGGGCAGTCTCGGTTTGGTTTCCCTTCAAAAAAAAGATGCACATTGCAACAAAAACAACCAATCAGCCAGCCATAAAATGCAACACTCACTTCCTGAGTGGATTGGCCCAAGAGTTGTGTGCTTTTGATTTACCACAAACATGGTTCAACCCCAAAATGTGAATAAAGCTTCCAGGATTTCAGGGAGTAAGAAAAAGACAAACAAATAGCCAACAATAACCTGCAACATACTGTCAACTTTGGAATCACCCGGAGGACCTGCTAATCAGGGGGGTTCCCATTTAGTCACGAAAATATCGATTTGAAAGGTTCCTCTGACTAGTAAGGTCCCCCGGAATACTCCGAGGCTGACATTACTTCGCAGCCAGCCCGGCTCGAGACTGCTACTGGTCTACCCTCGATCCGCTTTTTTTTTTCTGAGGACCCATTGCCCATTCTGTGCTGCGCCCATGTAGAGAGGATAGAATAAGGGTACCCACTTTTTCTGTAGTCTATTTTAGTAGGGGAACCCTCCCCCAACAAACGGTAAACGCTTGCACCTGCCTGGGGACCTAGGTGACAACTCCGCAGGTTTGGTCTCCGATCAGCTCCGCGATCTGCGGACCCAGTCATAGGTGTCCTTTGGAAAAAACAGATGGCCCTGGCAAATGGAAGCAAACCCATCTAAACCAGTGCCTTCCATGTTGAACCAACCTAACCTAAGGACACCTATGGACCCAGGATGGCTTGGCCAACGAACCGTCTTCCGGGCGCCCAGCTGAAGAGGCTCCCCCTCGACACTGCCAGCCGGCCTAAGGAACTTGTGGCCATGGGGCAAATTCCCGTCTCTCCCCAGTGGACATCCCAATCCCCACAGACCAAAATGGGTGGTGCCCCTACCCCAAAATTGGGATCCCATTGTGACCCACAGTCTTGTGAGGCCTATTTCGGGTGGCGAAACAGTGCGGGAGCAATGAGCCCCCCACATGTTCATGCAAATGTCACAGGATTTCCCGAAGCTCGCAAATTATTTTACTGGCGGTTTCCATTGAAACGATCGGCTCCCCAAAACATAGACACCCAAATGGTCTTCCTGGCCTTCCCCGAAAAAAAAACTTGTCAGGAACTTTGTGCACAGCGCCCGAGATTGAAAATTCGGGCTTCCTATGGTTCCCTGGCCCGACGATCATGCAAATGGACGATATCTTGTTGATAAAGCCCTGGAACAACTGACCTACCAACTGGTTCCATAATTTGCCCATCCATAGAATTACACTAACAACAATTAGGGGATGACCCACAACAAACACCCAAGATACCGCCTCACTGACCCACCAGTTCTGGCATCTTTTTGAGGGGTACGCTGATGCTTTGGTGGGTCCACCTGCAGGGCAACGAACAAGCACCAACAAACATAGGTTCCCCCCTCCTGTTACCCTCTTCCTGGCCAAACAAGGCTTTGATAGAAGAAAAGTAGAGACGTAATTATCGTATTGAGAGCCGTGGGGGTTCGCACGGTTTGGGTTCCTGGGAAACATCTCGAGAGAGTGTGACCTTTTGAGAGCCTCAGGTTGCCCGGGGTTGGTGCAGGCGGACTCCATTTTGGCACGGGCCCAACTTGGAAACACGAGGCAAACCATTTGGAACCATAGGTGGTCTTATGGAAAAATAGATGGCTCTGGTAAATGGAATAAACCCCATCTAAACCAGGGCCCTCTATTTTTTAAGCCGACTAACCAAAAAGGAACCCTTGCGACACATGTCAAAATCGGGGTGATTTTCCTTTGGCTTTCCTGTAAAACCACTCCAGAAAAAGAACCCTCAAAACAAAATCACAAACCAGGGGCGACAGTTCCGAGGATCAGCCTCGAACAACTGAAGTGAACTTAACGTGACTTTGCAAGGTCAGCTGCCCAAAGAACCTAATGATAACAGGGATCCTTACATTGTACACCGGAACATTGCCTTGTAAATGGTGGTTTCCCTTTATTTTGGTGACTTTTGGGCAAAATCTATCTGTTAAGGAGCCCTGGATAATAACAGGTGAACCTAAAAGGTCACAAGGTCGATTCCCTTTGGTCAAGTGAGCGAGCCAAAGAACCTCGCAAGAACATCTTCAGCTTTTTTAGGACCGAGGAACTTCCTGTCCCAGCCCCACAGTTCTAGTGGTACCCTCCCCATTCTCTTCAGGGATCCTTCTATTCCAAAAATGGGCCAAACACCTGGAAAAAAGTGTTTGCTAAAGAGAACGATGGGTGAAGAGAATGGGGAATCAAACCTTAGAACAGTCAGATCCAACTGACTTGAGTGATCCAATTGACTTGCCCTGGAAACCAAAAACACATTTCCAGTAGTGATTGATTCCTTTTAAAACCAAGAGGGGAAAATTATATATATGTATATATATATATATATATATTCTTGAACAAATGGAAGAATACAAACTAATTTTGGAGGAGAGCCCGCAACAGGGACATAGGGACAAGGGGCCCAAGGCGCACCCAAGAGAAACAAACAGCCACCCCAACCATGACGATCTCATCGCCTGCGGCTGCACTATGGGGCGCCAGCTCCTGTCATCGCGCGAGAAACAAGGCGGCATCGTAGGGGCCTAATGGGTGTATCCCCACTTGATGGAGGTTTAAAGGGACACCATAAGGAACCAGCCTTTGTTTGGGGAGCCCCCTACACACCCACACACCCAAAGGATATGATTGATTGGTGGTCTTAGGGCATGCCGTGACCGACAGGGCAACTGCCTGCACCTTGATGTGTAGAGCGCCACACATATCTTAGGCTACCTTAGGCATGTCAACCATAGGCTGTACGCCGTCGCGATTGCCACAGCTTCAGTGACATGTGCTGTTCATTCAGCATCAACACTGCGAGTGACTTCCTTCTTGAAAGACCTCGAGACAAGCACTGCATCTGAGAAAAGACGGAAACAAGTTCTTCCCTGGGACCCCCTTCCTCACCCACTTAAAACTCTTTGATAGGGAAAACCCCCCAGGAGTGCTGTTAGCTTGTGAGAAGGCTCTGAGGGTAGCTGGCGGGTTCTTGGCAGGGGAGGGAGGGCATATTGTCTCTCCTGAATTGAACGTAACATGCTACCTAAGCTGGAAAAAAGGGACCCCAGCAACACGAAATGTCTTTTGTGCCTGGTTATAGTGGAAAACAAAGGGACCCCCAAAAAAGCAAAACAAAAAAGAAAAGAAACAGAAAAAAAGGGGGGAGCTATTATCTGGGGAAGCTGCAAGGGCCCCATAGCAAGCAGCTCGAGATCCAAGGCCACAGGATCCAAGCCCTGGTCCGAAATTCGCCGACGAAACAACCCCGGGGCCTGGAGCGAAGGACGGGACGGGGAAATGGAATCCACGAGCCGGGGTGATAGATGACCCTGGTAGATGATAAAAAAGGGCCATCACAACCATGCACAACCAACACAACACAACACAACCAAAACACAACCAAAACATAACCAAAAAAAACACAACCAACCAACACAACACAACCAAAAAAGACACCTATGCACAAAGGCTTCCTTTCTGACTAATTTCCGCAAAAAGGGGGGGGGGTCATACAGAAAGACTTTCACCAGGCACAAGCATTGGAAAAAAAGGCATGAGCAACCAGTGGAAGTGGGAAATGGAATCGAGATACAACCAAAAGGGTTTGAATCCACGAGTCTGTGATACAGAGGATGGGCTTCCCTTCTGACTAACCCCCGCAAAAAAGGGGGGAGATTCCAGCCCGAGTGTCACAGATTCGGTTGGATAAACCACCCGAGTGCTCAAAACAACCCTGACAAAGGATGTTCAACCTGAATTGGCCAGGTTGTGAGTAAGAGGGAGGCTCCTAGGACTCTGTGAAGAGGACCTTGCCCCGTAAAGGGGTGCTTTCATGAAATCCGCCTGAGGGGGTTCCCTTAGGAAGCCAGCTATGGGTGTGTCAATGGCTACCCTTCTGGTTGGTCTTAAGGGAAGCCAGAAGGAAACCGTGGGCCATTTTTTTGGGGGGTCCAAATCCTAAACAAGACGCGCCACCCATATGCGGTTGCCCTAAAGGACATGGGACGCTTAGAGTCCCATGACACCCCGGATGGCCCTCCCAAATTGGCCGACTACTGGGAGGATTGACTCAACCTCATTAACAGGGCACGAAATAAGGGGTCAGGACACACCTTTTGGTGGTTACGGGAAACCATAAGGACCTCAAACCATTTGTTGGTCTAAATCCCAAAAACCAGCCCGCTTTTTTGGCTTTGAAGGGACACCATAAGGAAAGCCGTGGCCATTTTTTTGGGGGGGGGGCCAAATCTAAAAAAAAGGAAGCGCCACCGAATTTGGCTCCCTCTTTAAGCCACATTCTAGGGGTACCTTCCCCATGCTGAACCCAGGAATCCTTCTTTGCAGAAAACCATCAAAAACCCAGGGGAAACAGATCCGGTTTTTGAAAAGACCAAAGTCAAGTTGGCTCCTTTCTGGGTGGCGGCTCCGGCACCTGGCGGGAGGAATCCCGCGGAAGGCATAGACACGGGAAGCCATAGCCAGGCTGGGCGAACAAAAAAAAACAAGGCGCCTGTCTTACCTTCCATTGCGTTAAGACCCCTGAAGAAATGGGCAAATATGTCCAGTAGTCATGAAAGTCCTTTTAATTGCGACAAGGGAAAAGACAAATAATAGACAACAAAAAACCCTGAAGCAGATGTAAGTTACTTCCTTGGGTGGATTGGCCAAAAAGAGTCGGCAACTGGCTTTTGGCCACTCCCACGGTCTGCCCAACAAATATCAAGTCCAGGAACTCAGGAAGTGTATCTAGTTTGGGTCGAAGCTGATCCAAGGCTGGTTGATTCATAGAGAGGCGTCCCATTCAGAAGGGCCTCGTTTCACTTCTGGCTAGGAGCATAGGCCTCCGCCTTGCATCGCCTCTCGCATCCTGTCCCCAACCCCCCCCCCAAAAAAAAAAGAACGTGGCCTCGCCTCGCACATTACCTTCCTCCAAGCATGGCGTTTGTAGGAGGCTGCCCGGGTTCTAAGTTGCCCTGGAATGACTATCCTGCAAATACCAACAAGCAACGGTTTCCCATGGTTTCGATGTGGTGCAGGAAATCGCCCGCCCACAGTCGGTACACAACTTGACCAAACCTAGCCCCCCAGCAAAGCTAAGTCTGGAAATGCCCTTGGACCCAATACAAACGATGCACAAACACCCTGCTTTACAAGGATTCGAATTCGTTCCTAACCTTCCATTTGCTTGAGTCCCCTGGAAAAAAGAGATATCCGCCGACATTGCTCGGCGTGTCGGACACCTAAGAGAGGATAGAGGATAACCCCCCCCCCTAACCCCCCCCCCACCCGACGTCTGATACGTGGGGGGGACCGCGCGGCAATTTGATGACGTTCCACTAAACGTAGTCTTCGGGGACCCGGTGTCGCAAAACAGGGGTCCCAGGCTCGATTCCCCCTGCCGGCTTTTTTGCTGGCTTGGGCTTCCTGCATCCTTTTGCCGAAAATCTGGAAAAACTCTGTGTTTTTGGACATCATCTTTGCGAAAACGCTGGAAAAACAGTGTTTTTTTGCGGGAAATACTGGGGAGCAAAGGGGAAGTGCAAGGATACATACATACATACAGACATACATACAGACAGACATACAGACATACATACATACATTACATTACACAACATCACATTACATTACTTTAAATTACATCACATTACATACATACATACATACATACATACATACATACATACATACATACATACATACATACATACATACATTACATACATACATACATACATTACATACATTACATTACATACATACATACATACATACATACATACATACATACATACATACATACATACATACATACATACATACATACATACATTACATACATACATACATACATACATACATACATACATACATACATACATACATACATACATACATACATACACATACATACATTACATACATACATTACATACATTACATACATACATACATACATACATACATACATACATACATACATACATACATACATACATACATACATACATACATACATACATACATACATACATACATACATACATACATACATACATACATACATACATACATACATACATACATACATACATACATACATACATACATACATACATACATACATTACATTACATTACATTACATACATACATACATACATACATACATTACATACATTACATACATACATACATACATTACATACATACATACATACATACATACATTACATACATACATACATACATACATTACATACATACATACATACATACATACATTACATTACATTACATTACATTACATTACATTACATTACATTACATTACATTACATTACATTACATTACATTACATTACATTACATTACATTACATACATACATACATACATACATACATACATACATACATATATATATACATACATACATACATACATACATACATACATACATACATACATACATACATACATACATACATACATACATACATACATACATACATACATACATACATACATACATACATACATACATACATACATACATACATACATACATACATACATACATACATACATACATACATACATACATACATACATACATACATACATACATACATACATACGAGAGAGGGAGATTGGGGAGAGAGTGGCTTGGGGGGATGGGGAGGATGGGGAGCGGAGGGAGGGAGAGAGGACGACAGAACACACCAGGGAGACAAGGGAGAGAGGAAGAAGGAGAAAAGGGAGAGGACAATGTCGGCGGACTGAGCCGGAGGCTCTAAAGTTTACTGTAAAGAAGTCAATTCCCTCTAAAAACATGTTCGTTTCAGCAAATGGAAGCCTACAAGGGTTCGGATCCGTTCCTACTTCAGCTGGCAAAGGTGATATTGTTTTTGGTGCTCTAAGAATCGTGGTACTTTCCTCAAGATGTGGCGGTTGGTCCCAAAACCTTTCAATGAAGGTCCCAACCTCTCCAGAAAGCCTAATGATACCTAGGCTGGCCCAATTGCGAAAGCCTCTCGGGAAAAAGTACTAGATTCCCTTTAACATCGATAGGGGGAACAAACATATATTCCTCGTAAGTTTCCTGGGAACAAAAAAGAGTAGTGACACATCCCTTTTAAGACCAACAGAGAAAAACACAACACATGCTTAAACACATGAAATTCAGGAATGTGCCGGCGCGAAACTTTCAGCGCGAGGTTCGTTGCGCGCCTTGGAGGATGCGCTGGGCATCAGCGCCGCGCACCTCGATTGACAAGCGGACGTCCCAGGCCCTGGAATGGTGAGTTTCTCTAGGTCCGCCAGATTTGAGAGGTTAGAATAAGGGTCCCGTTTCTTTTTTATGTAGTCTATTTTAGTAGGGGAACCGAATCTCCCAAGCAAAAAAAGGGGGTGAGAAGGGCAGCTTTGACTCGGGGGGGGCCCTTGACACGGATGTTTGTCCAAGTCAAATGCAGGATTGTTGTCATTACACCCCCAACCGGGAGCAGTCCCTCAACACCCCCTTTTGCTGGGTGCCAAAGGGGTCTGAAAAAAAAGAAAGAAAGCTCCCGCCCTTTTTCACCTGGAACCGCTCGACGTTTCCCCGTCCTGGTTCGGATCATTTGCTTTTCAAGGGACCGGGCCCCGAACGTCAGGTTCCATTTTCACTGGTGGGAGGGTACACGTTTTGCGCATGTGCTTACAGGACTCCGATCAGTAGCTCCGAAAGGCGCAATTTGGGTACCGGGTCCCGGCTCCGCCACGTTCCTTGGGAGAAACTAGTGATAAGCCATGTAGCAATTCCATCATGCTCTCCCAGTTCCATGCAAGACACCGATCCCGACACACAGGTCACCATTAGGGAAGCTCGCCTTAAATCAGCTTTCAAAGGAGATGTTGAAAACCTGGGTGTTCTCAAACGGGCGATCCCCGGAAGAATGGTTTTTCTTTGTTGGATTCCTTTCACTACCCAAGGAATCCATTTCGAGCACCCCACCAAAAGAAAAAAACTCGCCTTTCCTCACTTCCGGGGACTGGCCAAGCAAAGTGCCACAAACATGGCGTGCCCAAACTCAGTGGACCAAAGGACCCAGAAACCAAAGGTGATCACCTTTTGGGACCATGACTCATGGACCATGGGAAAATCAAAGCTCAAAAGCTCGGCTTTAAACTTGGTGCATACGCCCGGCGTGAGCTGAGTGAATCGCTCTTGCGCCAGCCGGTAGAGCAGCTGTGCCACCTCCTCCACATCCTTCTCGGCCTGTCGGATGACACAGGTCCCAAGGTCCCGATGTCGTGGCGTGTCGCGTTTTGCTGAGGGCTTTTCAGGGGGTGGGGGCTATGACGTACTGTGGATGGACAAAATCCTCTCCACCTAAGGAACCCTGGAGCGATGATCCGCTTGTAAAAACCAACAAACATGTTTCACCGGTTTCCCAAAGTTTCACAGTGGTGCAGGAATTCGTCCATCCACAGTATTAGCCCCTTAATACGGCCCTAGTAATGGCTTATCCTTGGCTTATCCTATGTGCTGAGAATCATTGAGAATCACCAAGTTAACTGTGAGGCTGCCACTGGCAGCCGTCCGCTGGGAAACAGGGGCCATGCGGATCTCAGAGACCAGATGGGCCACGGGGAGGGGCAACAGATCCCCGCTTTTCGAGTGAGCCTCCTCTTGGCTCACTTGGACACTGCAAGCACAAATGAATCCCCATGAGGCATGCTAAGTTTCAGACAGCATGTTAGCCGGCATCCATGGGCCATGCTCATCAACCATAGCATAGGAAACCAAGGGTAACTTTCAAACATTACCGGGATTCCGTTACCCAGTCCCCATCTGGAAGTTACAAGGCTTGCCCCTTGCCGTGCGTGTATAAGTTGCCATTCTGCGATACCAATCTCGGACATCCCTCTGACTACCCCATCATTTTACAGTCGGCTCCCTTGGCATCACAAAAGATGGCCCCACAACTTTCTGTGTCGCGACCATGCCCCTTGTTATTGCATGAGCTCCTTTTACCAACCGACCCAGGGCTAGCTGGACCGCAGGAACGAGTTTTAAGAAACCTGCTTGTGAGAGGTTTTGATCGTGGGGTTCGGAGTGAGCCTTTGCAGGGGTGAGGGAGGGGTCCGATTCTGTTTCTGAGGGCTCTCGTCGGGGCAGAAAAAAAGAACCCTGCACATGCAAGTGCGCGTTGCGTGGCGTTTGGTAATGCGAGGAGCCAAGCTGAAGCAACCCGCGCATTTAAAAACGCATTTAGGCACCCTTGGGCGCTGGCTCGCAAGAGGCGGCCGTCGATGTCGGATTTGATCTGCAAGGGCAGTGGGCGCTAACGGTGGGAGGGGAATGCGTGAGCACACCTGGAAAGCTGAGGACACAAGAAGCGAAACTTCTTCTCTGATTGCATTCAAACATGTTGGGATTGGGAAGTTTGAGCTGGTCAAGCATCTCCAAGGATACAAGTATGGCAGTTAAACATCCTAAGCGCCCTGCCCCTTCAGCCATGAAGAATGACACGAGCCGAAGAAGAATGAGATGTCCGCCCCAAATCGACTGTGGGCACCCCGGCATTTCAACCGTTGCTCGGTCAACTTGGAATTCGGCCAAGGTGGTGGTACAAGTTGTTTTGGGTGCTGCGGATGGACGAATCAATTTCGCAACACCTGAGAAACCATGGTCCAAACCACATCCAGTGCGTTTGCTGGGTGTGCACAGGGGGAATCATGAGACTTTCTCAGGCGGCGTAGGATTTCGTCCATCCGCAGTATGGGCACGAAAAGGGATGACGAGCGCGTCATCTACTTACCGCCACTGTTCCGGGGGGCGCATTAAAGCAGGTCCAGCATCAGAATCTGTTTGGCATCGCGGTTTTTGGGGTTTTCGACCATTCTCAGCCAATAAAGTACCCATCCCATAACTGACTAGATGGTGTTGAACATCAAGCTCCAACAACAGATTCGAAAGTCTCGTTTTTCAAGAATAACGCCATGGGAGAAATCGGCACTCTGCTGTAAGTAGTTGATTTCAAAGGGACAGCAAATCAACCAGCCGGGGGTGAATTAGTCAGCTGATGGGTGCTCTTTCTTTGGACGCGTAGCAGCAAACATCCAGCCTCAAAAAGTTTAACCGTAATGTCCAAACGGGATTTCAAAATGCACGCGTAATAAAGACAAATGGGGGGCCCAAAAGATTAATAAATGCACCTGGATTAAAAACAAGCACCCGCCACCCGCGCCAAACAAAAAAACAAAACAAAAGGAAAAGAAAGAAAGAAGGAAAGAAAGAAAGAAAGGAAAGGAGAGATAGCCAAGCCAACACCTGGCCCTTGGATCTTTGGTACCTTGTTCCTTAAATCCAAAACTGTCAGCTTTACCAAACCCATGTTTTCTTACATGTCTCTTGTTTAAAACCTGCCCACAATCAAACCCACAAAGGGGGTAGTACTTCAGCCCCCAACTTGACATTATTTCAGGGGCCCCCGAAATAAAGTCTTGTTGCCTGGCCCCCTGAAAAATTCAACCTGCCCAGTGCAATTGCCTCGTAGCTAGTCAAGTAATTAGACAGCCTAGGTGAGGCTGGCAGTGCTTCATGCTGTGTTGTTAGATTTGGGCCTGCTCCTCAAATCCAAAACTGTCAGCTTTACCAAACCCATGTTTTCTTACATGTATCTTGTTTAAAACCTGCCCACAATCAAACAAAGGGGGTAGTACTTCAGCCCCCAACTTGACATTATTTCAGGGGCCCCCGAAATAAAGTCTTGTTGCCCGGCCCCCCCCCAAGAAAAACAAAAGGGGGCTCCAGCAATACTACATCAAATGGAAACTCAAGTCTACCAACACTAAATCAAATGGAAACTCAGTTCCAAATCTCAAAAGGAAGCTCCAGCAATACTGAATCAAATGGACACCCAGATCCAAATCTCAAAACGAAGCTCCAGCAATACTAAATCATACAGAAACTCAAGTCTACCAATACTAAATCAAATGGAAACTCACTTCACCTGGATCTCAAGATACTATTCTAGATACTTTCCAGGGAAGCGTGTAGGCGCTGCGGATGCCGCGGAGGTGCGACTGAAGCGCAGCCGTCTCTTCGTATTCGTAGTGCGCCCAACTGCCTACAAATGCGTTATTCATTCTTGGATCGTCGTGGGACCAGCCGCATGCCACACGTTGAACTGCCGAAGCCTCTTGAAAGTGCGCGACAACATTTTGCAAGAGCTGGCATGATGCAATGTTGCTCACGGCAGCCCAAAGCGCACGCACCCGTGGCTTTCGGTGGTGTGGCTTCAGTATTCAGCCGTCATTTCTTGACCAGGTCCATGAGCCGGAGCCCTGGCAAGCTGTCAAACCGCTCTAGGAGCCGCTCGTCTCGGAAGTGGACGATGAACGATGGGCCCAAACACCTCAAGGCCACAGCCACCTCGGCTGTCATTGGCCCGGCGCAAGAGCGCCAAACAAGTTCAAAAACAAGGCTTGATTGGCCACTCCGCGCCAAGGTCCGGGTTCAACTTGGACGAAGCGGGCGCGCAATGCTCGTGGTGCGTTCCGCATCAGGGCAAGCTCCTCCTTGCCTCGCTTCCTTGTCTGCGCTAGTTCACCTTGCCTTGCTGCCTGCACTGGGGTTCTGCATGCTTGCCGCAAACCGTGCTCCAAGCTGACGTCAAACCCTCAGGATTGCTTTGCAAAAGTTCATTGCCCAGGGTCCCCCCGGCGACTCAGCGCCTTTGCGAACACGAAGCAACTTCAGGCCCACATGTTCAAACACAACTCGCAACAGCGCCGAGGCACACAGTCACAACATGGACATGGTCACGTACGCAACCCGTTTTCCATTTACAACGCTATAGGATATGTGCCTCGAAACTGGCTGGGCTGGGAAAATCGTCGGGCAAGTTGTTGACCGGAATTGTGGTTACAGGATCTGGAATGGCCAGGCTTTGCCTTGTTGCGAATACCTGGACCCTCCGGCGGCAGAACTTTCTGCCGCAAGTTTATTCGGCGGCAGAAATTTCCGCCGAACATCAGACAAAACGCCGAAACGCAACAAACACTCCGACACGCTAAAACCTGCTTCCGCAACATTCCGCCGATTTCACGCCGAATTCCGCCAATTTCCTGCTGCCGTCTTTCTTTGGCACAGAACTTGAAAACGCTGCCAGGAAAACAAGAAACACCGCCAACAGCAAAAATGCGACTTTTCCAAAAAAGGCAGAAACTTCTGCCCATTTGGGTGGTCCAGGTATTTCTGTCACACTGCGACAACAAGGGCTAGATAGTATCAAAGGCACGCTTGCTGGCTGAAAACGCCAATACCAAGTCCGCCCTGGTAGAAGTGGTATAGCAAGCGGCCAGCGGCACCATATCCACTAGAAAAAAGCCACCTGCGCCCCAATCCATGTCAATACGGGCAAACCAATATTCGTGTGACCCCGGAGAAAGGTGTCCCCAGGCTGTGCGGTCTTCACGCCTTTTCTGCACCACATTTGGTTGCCAGCTTGGCTTGCCTATCATAGCCCACTTGTGTGCCAAAGCTCATCAATAAGACCCGCGTGACTAGCCCCATGCTCTGCCAGCCAACCGCCAGTTGGCAAGGGAAACACGAAGCCGAATTCTTTTCAGGGTCCGCATTTTAGAAACGCCGCAAAACACATGGGAAACTTCTGGTTTCAGAAAAGGTCGATGGCTGAAAAGAAATGGGACATCAGCCTTGGGAATACGCAGGATAATGTTGGCCCCGGACTCAGACTCCCGTTTCACCCTTCCAAGTGGAGGATTCCCGCCAAAACGGGATCCTACAACTTGCTGGCTCCCTATAAAACATCCCCTGTTCCTCAATTTATCAAAGGAACTCCGGTCGCACCAGCAAGCTACCCGGAAATATTCGCCCATCTCAGGTTCCATATAAGGGGAATACACGAATTTCTGCCCTAGCCATCGCACCAGAAAAACTTGAAGACTTGGGGGGGGGGGGGGTTGTTGCACCGAACCCCCACAAACGGCAAGCCTGAACGAGCTGCCGGCGAAGCCTGGAGCCAGTCCTTGGACCAGATGATCAAACGTGTGTGTGTGTGCGCGCGAGCGTCAAAGATCCCAAAACCAGGAACAATACAGTGTATGTGTTGTTTTTTAAACTCTGTATCTATACATATCTACATACACATGTGTATATATATATATAAATTCATACATGCTACAAACATATATACATACATGTTCAGCGTGGGTGAGCCATATTCAATCGGCAAAACAGCTACTTGGACAAACAAACAAGCAGGGACACGGAGGGACCGGGGATATGGGGGGATTCGCTTGGCGCCTCCCATATCAATCTTCATCAAATTGAGGGGGAATCCTCCCGTATCCCTGGTTCCCCCCGTATCCCTGCTAGTTGCTTTCCCTGAGCTACCCAAACCCAAAAAAACTGAACATTCCTTATCAATGGTGGTTTCCCCTTATTTTGGGTGGAAAAAGCCATGTTTAACATGGACAAAATGTATCTCTGAAGGAGCCCTGAGTAACATCTCCGGAAACGCAGCCCTCTTCGGAGCGAGCCGCTTCTCGTCGAAGCCTTGCCGCCGCTGCTCGCCGGGCACGTCGCCTGGCCATCGATGTGGGGCGAAATGCGCGACAGGTGGCGAGGGTCGGGGGGGCGACATTGGTCCATTTGAGAAAAGACTAGGTCCTAAGAATACGGGGGACCTAGAAAACATATTAAGCAAGGGGTTTGCTGAAGCCATCTAGAAAAATCGCCGACGCCAGTCGAGCGTGTAGATGGCAGTCCGCAACTTGAAAGGTCTTCCTTCGGAATCTCTTATCAAAGCCGAAGGCTTTTGGGACTGCTATTTTTTGGCATGCTGTGCTAGGTGTCCAGAACCTGTATTTTACAGTGTTTTTGTCTTTCGTGCTAAAGATATGCGTTGCGCCAAGGTCTCTAGGGGGGGCGGTCCCCCGGACGCGCAGGATCCATCCCCAGCATCATCAGGAGACTTGTTGCCATGAATTCCTCTCTCTTTTTTGCAGATACTAGTGGTGTTTGCTGTTTCAAGCGATGTTGGAATTGGCCTGATAGGGGCTTGGGTGGGGCCAAGTGTCAGGCTATTTTTAAGGTATTTGAGGGGGGTTGCTAGTATCGGTTTTTGATGGTTGCTTTTGGGAAATAACCATGTTTTTGTTTGCACTTTTTTGCGGCTAGCCGGCTGCATTCCCAGCATTCCCCACATCTCTGGTATTTTCTGCGTTTGGTCAACGTTGCGTGTCCGAAAGTCTTAGAATCTTGAGCGCGAAGATTGGGTCTGTTCCTGTAAGTGTTGTATTTACCAAAAATGGGGCCTCCGCCTTCAGGGATGGTTTTAAGAGTAAAACATCTTTTTCCTTACCCAAAACCTAGGCAAAAAACAAATCCTTACCCCAAATTCAAGGCAACTCACGGGGGCGTTGTATGTCCTCCTTCCAGGCGTCAAGAGGCCCATGTGACCTAGGGAAAAAGACGTCTTTTTCCTGCCCCCAAGGCGTTGCTTGTTCTCCTCCAACACGTTAAGAGCCCGATGTGACCTAGGCCAAAAACGTCTTTTTCCTTACCCCCAAATTCGAGGCACCCTGCACCCGACGCGTTGTTTGCTTTCTCCTTCCACGCGCTAAGAGCCCCACTTGACCGAGGAAAAAAGTCTTTTCCCCTACCCCAAATTCACGGCACACTGCAGCCGACGTCAGAGGGGCGTTGTTTGTTCTTCTTCCACGCGTTAAGAGCCCCACGTGACATCAGCCCCAGTTTCTTAATAGGGGACTGTCCACTGGCGTCGGCGGATCGCGTAGCGATTTCAATATTCCAGTAGTGAAACCGACTCCCTTTTAAACCACGGGAAAATAAACAAATATGCTTTAGCAAATGGAACGTGGCTCTTCGTCTCTTCTTTTCTTCAAGCCACGCATGGTGATGCGGTACTCCAGCTTGGATGGCTCTCCAGTACCTCAGATCGTGATGCGATTGGTCCAACCTATTCGCTTCAGTCAGCATCTCTACCGCGCCAGACTTGTATTTCTGGCCGTTGTTCCTCACATACTTGTTCATCTTATCCAACTTTGCAGCTATCTCAGCCACTTGCCCCTCCAGGGCTTCTGCCTCATCTGCATGCTTTGTCTCGTTGATTTGGTCGTTCAATATTGTGCGTTCTTCGCTCGACTTCCCGATCTCCAGCATCTTGATTGTCCTATGCATGAGAAGGCTGCTGTTTGCACCTACCGAAGCCTCTTGGAACCTGCAACAGATGCAAACCCCCTAAAGTGGGTGGTTTCCTTTTTGGCTCCCTGTAAACCCAAACACGGATTTCTTCTGGAAGCTGCAACAACCATTTACAAATCGTGGTTTCCCAAATAACCATCTCCTATGAATATGTTAAAATCAATCCCTGAAACCATTGTCAATCACTTCCTGAGTGGATTGGCCAACCAAAAGGTCCAACCTTCGCATTTACCACTCAAATGGTCCAAACCCCAAAAGTTTAGTGAGCTGAGTGAGTTGTTTCAAAAAAGAGTATTGCGCGAGCATTGTAACATGGGTACCTTACAAAGGCCTGGAGGAGTTTGTTTCAATACTTAACACCCAAAGACTCCCGTCAAACACGCCTCAAGAGACGCCTCCATTTGCGGACGGCCATTTGGCCAACCGCAGCCCATTTACGGAACCGACCATACCCCACCTGCGCAATTCAACAATATTCACAAACTCGACCTCAGTAACATCCCTGCGTTGATCTTGTTTACTCTTTAAGCTCGTTTCTGGCTGTCGGCCGGACAAAGGGAATCGACTCTGGACCCTTGCTTGGACGACCACACCCTTTAGTAAGTAGTTGCTTCTCCCCACTTTAGTACACGCCTCATTATTTCACCATGACAGAAATCCTTACATTGTACACCTGAACATTGCCTTGTAAATGGTGGTTTCCCCTTATTTTGGTGGAAAAAGCCATGTGTCCAATGGTTGCAAAATTAATTTCTTTTGAGGAGCCCTGCATGAGCAAGGTCACTCCCAGGTATTGGCCAAAATTAAACAACGACAAAAATGTAGGTTTTAGCCTTTGTTTCCATTTACCAGGGGTTCATCCCTTTTTTGACCCACATCCATTTAGAGCCCCCCCCCGGCCCGCCCCTTTTCGGTACATGAACCCTGAGTTGATCTCCAGTTGGGGGATAGAACATGGAGGCTGACGAGCCATGAGGCTTGCCATGTCCGTGGGGGAAATGGGCGAGGCCGAAGCAGACAAACTGGCCACCACTCGAAGCTAAAAAAATGGAAGCCCCTTGCCCTTGCCACGCCTGGCTTGGGCCCAAAATTTGGAGGCTGGGGATGGCGGGGCGACGTGAGGCCAAAAGCAGACCCACGCCACTTTGACCTTGAAGAGCCACGGGCTGGTTGGAAACTGGACATCAACAAATACCTGGCATACCAACAAATATGAATATACATGAATCTAAGCTCGGTTGCTTTCTGCTCCCCTGCTAAGAGTTTAACCTCGCCCCGACCAACCGCCGGCCGCAGCTCCCCCGCTTTCCGCCAACTGCGTGAGCTTCTTCCCTAGGCGCTCGATGCTCTTCTCGAGGAGCACCATGTCCTGTGCCGTCCAATCCTGTGTCTTTGGGTAAAACACATCGATGGGTTGGTCTAAACCAGGGTTGCGGATTCCCCCGTAAATACCAGCAAATTGTGGGCTTCCATGCTTCCTTTTTTTCCGGCCCCTGGAATAAACTTGAAACAAATAAATTAATAAAACATGTTTTTTGTTTTAAAAAAAACAAGTCCAGTAGTGAGGTTGATTCCCTTTGAAACCAACAGGGGAAAATGAAATTATTCTTAAGCAAATGGAAGATCAGCACCAGACCCATGGACTGCCTTTTGCTTCTTCGCCCACTGGACAAAAATGAGCAAATACGTCCAGTTGTGAAATCGATTCCCTTTCAACAAAAGTGGCATCATTTCAGCAACTTAAAGTTGACAAGCTCACTTCCTGAGTGGATTGCCCAGGAAGAAAAGTGTCAGCCACTCAAATGGCCCAACAAGTATCCTGGGTCGAAAAAAGAACTGGGGGATTGAGGCACATGGGTGTGTCTGTTCCCCCCGTTTTTCCGGGGTGGGTTTGCTCTCGCAGTCCGGAGAACCATCTATGGGAGCTGTTCAGGTTTGGGCAATGCGCTGTTGGACGAAATCCATGCCACCACCCCAAACGAAACCATGATGGAAGAAACCATAACCTTTTGCTACATCGCTCCCTACCGATTGGTCGAAAAACAAACAAGGCTTTTCCTTAAACCAAAGCTGATGGACCTCTGCTCAGGGCTTGGGAGCCAGCTTAGGCGAAACTAGGTTTGGGGACTGGCTTTCATCCCCACGATTGCTGGTTCGGATGGGCTCGATGCTTCGGGGGTCGAACCTGGGTTTTTGGAATGCTCATATCCCCACATGAACTTCACTTGCAAGCGCATCGACCGGATCTGATCTGACAGGTGGGGGCTTGAATGGCAACCGCATTTCGGTCCAAGGTGAGCGCCGGAGGTACTTCTGGGTTTGCTATGGTTTGCTTGGGCAAGTGACCAAAAAGTGCCATCCTAGATAGCCAAGTTGCTGTTTCTTTCAGTCACTGTTGCTGGCTTGTGGGGTAAAGTAGATGAAAAAAGCAGCAACTGGAGATCCACAGAACGTGGAGGTTCTCACCTTCGGACACCCCTGGTTTCAACCAGCCAAAAGCACCCAAGTAGCCTCTGGGGTAAGAGGCCCGCTGGGCCTTTCCAGGCTCGCTAAAGGGAAACCAAAAGGAACACCCAAGGCTTGGCGCTCCGAACCTGGCTTTCCTGCGGTTCCAAGAAAGCAATTGAGCAGAAGGTCGGTCTATCACCTTTGAATGGAAAAGCCATTGTTTCTCTCCAAGAGATCGGCACCTGAAGTCTCCATGACCCTATAAATAAAGGGTCATGACCCCATCTTTTAAGGGCCATGAAGACTCCAGGTATAGGTTTAGCGGATCTAAGACAAGCAAAGGGGCCTACCAGAAACCAACTCGTTTTTTGGTGGGTCTTTGGACTGGTTTCGTGCAGAAATTCCGGTCGGCACTCTCAGCCTGAAACAACACTACATCCTGGAATCCTACATCCATTTGCTTGAAACTACTTCGGGCAGTGACATCGATCCCCTTAAAAACAAAAGTCAGACATAAATAAATATGCCACTGAACTTGACAATGGTTCTTTGTTGAGCACTAGCGTCACTACCCCAAACCGCTACGCCCCCGCAAAAAAGACTGGAAGAGCCCAGCCCCCCCGCGGGCCTTGTTTCGAGCCTGGCCCTGCAGCTGACCTCATGGAAAAGGCCACATGGCCAAGGGCGTTCGCGTGAGCGGCTTCTTCTGACGTCCGCAAAGTCTTGGAAAATATCATTCCCAATCAGGGGCTACTCATCTGGGAGCTCCCTCAACTATGTGCTTTCTGGCTTGTGCTTAAAGTTCTTTACATGTTGATTGTTTCTGCTGGGAGCCTAGTGTGTCTTTTTGAGGGTACCCATTTTTGGGTGTGGCTTTACAAGAAAACCAAAAAGACCACCGCCATTTCACCACCGCCAAAAATCCCCAAAAAGCAAACACGCACGGACATGTAGGTTGGGTGCTTTCGGTTTCAAGGGGATAGATGTTTGGACCTTTTGAATCCTCGGTTGCGAAATCTGCTCCCCTGCTAAAAGTTGAACTTTTAGCGGGTTAGTGGAAACCCATTAGTTGGCAAAAAGTTAAAGTCCTAACAGCCGATGGCCCAAAAAAAGTAACCGAACTTTATATTCACCACTAAAATGATCTTCTGAAAAAGTTTAAAGTTCATGAACTCAGGAAGTGAGTCCCTCAAAAAAGGGCAAAAGGGCAGTACTGGGGGACCTGGCCAAACAACTTCACCGAACTTGTTGTTCGCCACTAAAATGGTCCAAGACCCAAAAGTGACTAAAGTCCAACACAAATCCGCCAGTGAGTCAAGCTCTCTCCCCCTGCCGCGAACCTTTCGCGAAACACGAGCAAAAACCCGCCAGACAACAACTTGCTGGTGCGATAGGCAGGGAATGAGACATGGAATGACCCCCACAAAGCCATCCCCTCGCGAATCCCAAAACGCTTCAGTCCACCCAACCGTTTTTTCAAAAGTGTCGTTCCATGTCTCATTCCCTACCGATTTAGCACCAGAAACGGTGTGAGCCCGCAGCTCATTCCCTGCATGAACTCCTCGAGCGACAACCTGGGCCCAGAACTCAACTTGCCGATTCTACTCACTTCGTATCAAGTGGATTGGCCGGAAAAAGTCATCTATAACTCATGTCATCAGGGGGTTACTCACTTCCAAACTAGTAGTAGTAAACCACGCTTGTTGGTTTGGTCACTAAAATGGAAACCTAGCCCAAAAAGTATGCAAGGTCCATAAACTGAGGGAGCAAGTCGACCCCAAAATCAGGAGGTCAATGCTCAACTCTTATGTAACCTAGCACAACGTAGATATGAACATCACGTTAGTGGAAGGGGGGAGATCTAAGATGGTACCCGGCGACCCAGTAAAACAACCGTTTGCAAGGGAAAAAACACGTCCCTCTGGCGACGCGTGCCACATAGGTGTGGAACAATTGGGATGGAGATACACGCGTTTGGTTTTGGATCTTTCTGTCGGTTTTCACATGTTTTTAACTCTACAATGTTTCGAGGGTTGCCATATGTATTTTTGGAGTACCCAAGTGGAGGGTTGAAGGGGAGTACCTGCAGCCAAAAGCTTGCTGCACGAAACAACTCTCCCAGATCAGATTTTAGTGAGGAATTCCATGGGAACAAAGCTGGGCTGTCCTGAGATGCCCTGCAAGAAGTTGACCTTCTAGTGGGTTAAATGGACCGCTAAACCAACCAAACACCACTGAACAACTAAGGAACTTTTGATGGCTGGGAACCCTAAGAAACGCATCGGCGCGTTTCGCGCCTTTTGTCGGGTTGGTTGATCTGAAAGGAAACCTCCTCCAACAAGGAAGAAAGGCAGCAACCCACTCGGAATCAAGGAACGTGATCAACTGTTGGCGGATGCCCAGCGCAGCGTTGTGCGCTGTGGTTGGTTGCAGCTCAACTGATAGTTCAAGCTGTGGCTGACTTCTGATCAAGTGGATGGCCGAAAACAAGTGACCAAACTTTTGGTGTGCCAGTCCAATCCCAAGAAGTGTACAGTCCAGGAACTCAGAAAGCTAGGTGGTCGTTACCCGTTGTTTAAGTTCCTGGATCGAGAACGGGCAAAGGGTCCGTCCCAACTCTCTATGAAACCGTCGCTCCAAAATCACCATGTCGCCCACATGGGTGTGGCTCAAAATTCAAGAGCCAGGGCAAATCTTTGGCTCCATGTACCAAGGGGGCCATTTTGGTACGTCTATTTGAGCCACAGCCACATGGACAGGAAAGGCCGGGGTCGCGAGATTTCTCCTCTTTCGGCCCCGGGGCTCCGGACGCAATCGCAAGCAGAGCCCCCCAAAAAAGTCGCAATCGAAACCCGGGACTAAAATGGTCGTAATCCCAGAACCATGGAAGTAATGAAGAAGGCGGATATCCGCAGCTATTTATGGTTGGGAGTGTCCCTCACCAACCTTCATCTACCCGGGTTTTGATTGTGGTTCAAGTGGCAAATTAGTGGTGGGACCCTAGAACCCACTAGAGAGCCCTGCAGATGGCGACTCAGTCGGGTTGGAGTGCTCTTTCACCCAGGCACTTTCCGAGGTTCGCAAGCGACTTGTGCACACAACGAACTTCCGAATAAAGAGAGCCGGGCTCAAAGGAACACCCCGAAGTGCTGACATCCTGCGGGCACCCCAAAAACCTCCCACTATGAGCCGATTCCCCACCAAAAGGCAAGAGCATTAGCCCCCCAGATTGCAATCCGAAGTGCTGACATCCTGCGGACAAAGTGTCGATGGAAGACTTCCAACCACCACCTAAGAAACCCTGGAATGATGATTCCCCTGCACATACCCAACAAATTATGGCTTCAACCAGAGTTTCTTAGGTGGTGGTGGTGGTGGTGGTGGTGGTGGTGGTGGTGCGAAATGGATTTGTGTCCATCTACAGCTTGACATGCCACCGCTATTTGCTTCTCTCTTCGGACTAGCAGCTCACCCTCGCCATCTGTGTCCAGCAAGCGGAAGAGGTCGACCATCTCTTTCTCCTGAAGAACGCCGAAAGAACCATCAGACATACCGTAGATGGACGAAATCCTCTTCGGCACCACCTGAGAAACCCGGGATCCTGATCCCCTGTAAATACCAACCAGCAATGGCTTCCCATGGTTTCAAAGTGGTGCGACCTTTCGTGGGCTTGGTGTAAATGGAAAATAAACGGGAGGCAAACCCATATTTTGGGGGTTCCTCTATTTTGACCGAGACGGACCCAGAGAAAGACAAGCAGAAGCCTGGAAATCTGAAATCTTTACCCCTGTGTTCCTTCAAAGCCAAAACAGATTCCTCCAAAACTCACTGGACTGGCCAAAGAAAGAAACAAAGTCACCGAATGTTTTGGGGTCGACTAACAAAACGATCCAGTCCGAAACGGAACTCAGGGAGTGAGAAAGAGACATGCCAAACAAAAACTGCCCAAGCTGAACGTGCTCACCGGAAACTTGCAATGCCCAGGGTACCTCTTGCTGCAAGGTATAAACAAAAAAGCCTGGGGCTCAGAAAGTAACCCGTAAACTGAAGAATGAACTCCGGATTGTCCCCTTTTGTGGGATTCAGACCACATGACCACTTTTGGAGGGGATACCCCCTATTAATAGGAAGAGCTCACCAAACCGGGGTCATCCTTAGCTGTATAATTGATCGACCAGAATCTGAGATCCGATCAAAACGCCGAGAGCGAGGGCAAAATGCCATAATCAGATGCTATATGCACAATTCGAGTATCTCCAACACATTGGCATCGAGCCTCAACAATAACTTGGTTGACGTTGAAGGGGAGCAAAAACTTAAATTTTAGCAGCTAAGTGGGGATTTCCCACTAAACCACAATAAGCAAAAATGCAAAATGTTTCCCAACAACAACCATGAATAGGGAGGGCTCCCCCAATTCCGCGTTCTCACCGCGTGAGGCTTTGACTTGAGAAGGGAAGTCGGAGGTTAGGAATGCAAGCTGCAGACTCGATCTTGTCACGCACTTACCCTCTAGGGACCCGGATACTGGGTTGTCCTCAGATTCCCCGCTAAAGGTTAAACTTTTAGTGGGTTAAATGCAAATCCAACCACTAAACACAACAAGGCTAAAAAGCTAAGGGGATGGCTGGGAGGCACCAAGGATAGAAAAGCTGATCACCTTGTGGGGCCATGACGCAAATGGAGCCAAAAGGAAAACCCGAAAGGTAAAGAGGTCGATTCGCTTTGGGCAAGTGAGGTCGTAACTTTGACAAGTTTCAAGCATCGCGTGGTGACGGACAGGGCCCTTTAGAACCTTTAGAACGGCCGTACTACTAGACACGAGCATCTACGCATCTAAAGCAAAGGTTACCGGGGCTAAGACTGCAAAGGCTTGAACTTGAACGTGCCGAACCTTGTGCGGAAACCAAGGGGTGCAGGAGAAAGAAACAAAAACGATGCCCGGGCTGCGCCAAACTCAGAAGCACTCATGTGGAGTGGTAAGGTTGATCAAACATGCAACCAATCCTTCCATTTGGTTAAGACAAGGATTCCCTTCAAACCCAACAGGATGAGATTCCAAAATATTCATTTCAGCAAATGGAAGACATGATGCCAATCCTTCCATTTGGATAAGACCCCTGGAAACATAAACATACTCCCAGTAGTGAAATGGATTCCCTTCAAACCCAACAGGGGAAGATTCAAAAATATGCATTTCAGCAAATGGAAGACATACCAATCCTTGTCCCGAATCAATGTGATCCGCTTCCCCGCGTCTCACGTCCGCCCCAAACTTGGATCTCCTTGAGGCCTAGCAGCGTCATCTTGGTCCGGATCTCCTTGATCTTGAACGCCTGCAACTTCGCTGCCCCATGATGCCGGGGGTATACGCTGCCGTGGGTACATGCCCCTTGTGGTAAGGTTTCCATTTTTAGAAACAACGTCTGCACCCCGCATCTAAGTAGAACCCCTGGTTGATTTTGATCCGGGGGGTGTCCAATTCCTTTTAGTGGGGATTCAGAATGATTCAGACCACTTTTGGAGGGAACGCCACCCTAATAATGGGACGGGGTAAAACAAATCCTGGGTCAACATTAGTTGCTCTCTAGTTGCTTAACCCCCTTTTGGCTGGGGAAGCCTTTTGCAATTTCCGAAAGATCAACAGATTGCTCCGCAAATGAATGCCGAAACATCATCGCAGGAACCTCCTTTTTGGAGTCTCGGTGCCATTGTTGGGTTCCATGTTGATGTTGGGGGACCCCGTCTTCCAACCAGCGACCGGTGCTAGCCTAGAAGGAAAACTCAAAGCCACCCTGAACCCATCGATGGTTTTGGCGTTCGTTGGGGTGAGCCCTGCCTCCCAAAATTGATATCCAGTTGCGGCAGAATCTTCAATTTGGCTCCCTAAGGGCAACCATCGGAATGCACATCCAAACATGTTTGAGGGTGTCCGTTACTTCCGCTGAGGGGGGGGGGGAGAGGAGGAGAAGAAACAAAAAAGGAGGTCGTTTCTTTTTTTTGGCTCCCCCCCCTTTCCAGATCAGAGTCAGGCAATAGTACGACCTCTTTGGACCAGCGTACACGCAGAAGCAAGATCAGATGTGCTCTAATTCAGACAAGCAAGAATGACATCGTATCACGGTTTTCCAATTTTTCCTAACTGTGGAAAAAAGGGTCCGTATAGCGTCCCTTTCTGTTCATTTCGGGTAATGGCCCCATTCTTAAAGGGTCATGGAGACCCCAGATTGATCATACCCCTCCCCTACCCAACCCTCCCATCCCCTACCCTCCCCTACCCAACCCTCCCATCCCCTACCCTCCCCTACCTTTCCCTACCCTACCCAACCCTACTAAACCCTCCCCTCCCCTCCCCTCCCCTACCCTTTTTACCCCCGACTCCGTGAGCTCGCGGATCAGATGCAACCCATCCGCCTGCATGAACTCCTCGAGGCTCACCTGACTCACGGCCGTCGCTCGATCCCGTCCCGGGCCGCCCCGGGCTCCCTTTCTTCTCTTCGGAGCTCCGTAGGGAAAGGTAGGGGAGGGTAGGGGATGGGAGGGTTGGGTAGGGGTGGGGTATGATCAATCCGGGGTCTCCATGACCCTTTGAAAAGTGGGGAAACAGAAATCCGCCAGCGGCCAAATGCACAGCCACAGGGTGATGGAGCTTCTTTGGGGAGAGCATGTTCAAGCCCAAAATATGGTTGGAATTCGTCCGGCCGAGTGAGGGACGGGAGGAACATATCTTCATGGACTCAGTTCACTGGATCAAATTAGAGGAATTTGGACCAGTGGCCTTTGCAGAAATAGATGGCCCTGGCAGAAATAGTGACCTTTCGGAACAAGTACTAAACAAGGACCAAGTCAGGAAACCAAAAGGTCAACAGGTCGATTCGCTTTGGGCAAGTCAGATTCACAGAGATGTCTTTTCCTGGTGCAGTTGACCAGGTGACTCCAACATGGAGTTGCAACCTTGTGGTGAGAATTGTTAGCGTTTCTGTCAATCAACCATTAGTGAGGGTTCCACCTCTTGCAGTTCCAAGTGCTGCACTTGGCCAGGCGTACGGTCCCTGCAAAAGTCAACTCCCGTTTGATCGTTTCAAGGGGAAGCAACAAGAAACCCTTCACAAGTTTCGGACCTCCTTGCCTTAACCGGCTGAGGCTCTTGAGGTTACACACCCAACTGGCTCAGGGGGCGTTTGCCGTAAGCTCGGCTCTGGCGATCACCGTGGGTCCTCAAACGGAACTGGGCATGTCGGGCTCGAACATGTCGAAATGTGGTTTTCCCGGAGGTTAGAACTCAGCAGGCTATGCTGGAAAGAGCGGCCCACGCTACATACTATAAATGCCTAAAAAATTCGATTTGGGCCCAAGCTAAGTAATCGATATAGGAGTAAACTGTTAGTCAGTTGAATGGGGATGGCTCAAAATTAAACAGGAGGGGTTACGCGGGTTTTGGTCCATGTTCCCACTTACCAGGGTTGAGCCTCTTATACTATGTTCGGCCGTCTCGTTCTATTACCTGGATCGAACGGGCCAACGAGGTCGGATGCCCTGGTCTTAGCGGCTGACAGGAAAGAAAGAAAGAAAGCAAGCACAAAGCAAGCAAACCAAACAAACGAACGAACAAACAAACCAGCAAACCAACACCAACAAAAACAATCAACCAAGAAAACAAGCACACAAACAAACAAACTAACAAACCAAGAAACAAACGGAACCACCAAACACGCGGAAAAAAAACAACGACGCAAAACAACACAACACAGAAAAAGCAGACAGACAGACAGACGGACAGACAGACAGACAAACAAACAGGCAGGCAGCCAGCCAGCCAGCCAGCCAAAAACGGACAAACTGACAGAAACAAAGCAAAGAAGCCAACACAACAGAACAACTTAAACAGGGATCCTTACATTATACACCTGAACATTGCAACTTGTAATTTGTGGTGTCCAACTTTTATTTTTGTGTTCAACAAGCAACTTGTTTCAACTGGTTGCATTTTTTCTTTTCGGAGCCCTGTTTTCCAAACAACCATCTCTTATGAATAGACCTTCTGGATGAAAAGTGGCAGTTTCAGAAATCACTATGTGTACATGCTGTTTAAGCTGACCCCCAAAATGGATTTCGGTCTTCTTTCAATTAAAATCGTACACTGATTAACCCGGACCACTCAGAGGCTCCGAAGGCGATTCCGCGCCTGACCGCTTTGGTCTTCATCCAGCTTCTTGAAGGTGTCTTCCAGCTCTTGCCTTGGGATTCCCGATCCCTCCCAGCACGGGGAAAAAACTACAAATAGAAAAACAAAAACACCAAACAAAATCTAACCCAAAAAAACTGAAGAACAAAAACAACGAAAACACCAACTCCCTTATTATTAATAAGTAATTAACCCAAAACCCCAACTCCCCAAAACTCCCTAATAAGTTATTAACCCAAAAAAGAAACAAGGCCAAACATGAATAATATGACCCAACATGAAGATAAACCAAGAAATAAGACACGTATCGTACCGTGGACGGTTGCGCAATCCATTTCGCACCTCAGAAACCCAAATGAAATGTCTCGGGCAAGTAGGCAGTGTCGACTACGCCGCCTTGGTTCAGTTGTCACTTGGTGCTGAAATGTGTTAAACACTATGCGCCGTTTAGCGCCCAGTTAAAGATAAGCCCAAGCGGTTTGTTTTTTGCGGTTTTACTATGTTAAGTGCATGTGTGTGTGCAACAACAGGCTGGTGTCAGCAACAGTTGGCTTAACTCCCTGAGCGTTGCCTGGGTTGCGGTAGTTTGCGGACATTGTTTCTGTAACATATATTTTTTGAGGTGCCCCTTTCGGGCTTAATTTTATGATGAAGCTAAAAAGGAAGCCACCATTCTTTGTGGATGCCCACGTTGACACAACCCCCTTATGAGACAGGCTCTCTTGATCCATTGAAGTGAAGAAGCATGGTCACAAGCAGTTCAACTCTGCCATCTCGGCATGTAGCATGATTACTTGATGCTATACTGAGCACTGACCCATGCCGCAGCAGTTCAACTGCGGTTCCTTTCCACGTGTCCCGGCATGGTTCCCAAAGAGTCTGGGCCAGCGAGGGCCTCCGGCGGGGGTTTCCTCCCGTGAGGCGGCTCACCGGTCTCGCAAACTGTCAACGGCTCCAGCTACCCTTCCCCATGAGCGGTCCAGATGCTTTGGTTTCTCGGAAACCAAAGGAAACCAACCATAACGGATCAACTCTAACCGGGGGGATTCCTGAAAAACCGGCTTTTCTCAGGGCATCTTGTGGTGGGTTCTATGTTCGTGGGCTAAAGGGTACTTTAGCCTCTGAGCGATTCCATGGTCCCCGAACGGACATCCAGAAAGAAATCCATCTGCAGAGGCCAAACGGAGCTTCCAGCTGCAGAGGTCTGAGGGAATGTATTTTGGTCTAATCTCTAACAAGTCTGGGAGAATTATAATATTTCACCAGCCTGAAGTGTTTGGTGGTTGGAGGGCTATTCCCCACATAAACAACACTATTTGGGGTGAATTTTCGGTCGTGTGAGGTCGTTATAATTCACCCAGACAAGTGTCCTTTTGGTTTCCCCTAAAACAATAGAACCCCCCTGGAAATTCAAACCCTCGAAAAATGACCTTTGGGACTGCCGACTTTGGACCTTCTGGTGGAACCATTTTCTAGTCCTCCCCATTGGGAAAATGGCTCACCAAAACTAGGAGATCTCCGGAAATCAAAGAGTTCCCCCCCCCCCACCCTTCCTTTTTAAGGCACCACGTGTCAACAAATTGAATAACCCCCCACTCCCCCCCAATCCCCCACTCCTCCCCCCGCGACGGGCCAGCTGCAGATCCTTCTTCCGCTTCTCCTGGAGCTCTTGAGCCAGCTCCGCCTCATCCGCCCCAGCCATTTCCAAGGCCTGCGCTTGGACGACGTTGGAAGGGGAGCAAAAATCTGTCAGGTCGTGCGCATGGCTCACCACAAAGATTTCCAGCAAAGCCATGCACAATGGAGAGAAGCAACGTTTGATCGCCGCGCAGCTTTTATGGCTCAGTGCCCTACCGTAAGTCCTCGCCCTAGGGCCTACCTACATGTCGAGCGATCCCTTGATCCAGCCAATAAAGATGCATACATGCGTGGCACCGGACATGGCAGTTTCCACATCCATCAAAATATCTTTTAAGTGCCACGCTCACCTACTCAGTGCTTTCAGCACTCATGCACGCCCGGGGCTATACACATCTCTGGCATAGCCGGCCTTGGCCTTCGACTTTGGCTTTGCAGCCACCTCGCACTCATCGACCCACTCACCGCTCTCATCGTCGGTGGCCAGATTGAACTTCTCCGTGAGGTCCGCCATCGCCACAACCTGGCCCGCGTCCGCATCGAACTCCTCCATGAGATACTTCAAAAGCTTATCCCTCCATCCAGGGAAATTGTGCAACTTCAGCCCCGCCACATTCGTGAGGTCGGCCACTGCCGCCCGAAACTCTTCCGAGTTGGGAACAGCGGGTCTAGCGCTTGAAGCGCCCAGGGTCTCCTTCTCCTTGACCTGCGCCTGCGCGTCCAGGTACGCCGAAACAGCGCCACCCTCCGCCATGACCGCGCGGACCGCGGTGCTCCACCATCGCATCCCATCAGGAAGCGGTTCCACTTCCTCGTTGCTGAGCATCTTCTTGTAGACACCGAGCACCATCTCCAGGATCTTGGTCACCTGGTCTATGTACGCCGCTCCGGTCTGAATCTGAATGGCTGCGGTGTTCTTCGTGAATGTGAACGTCACCTCGCTGGACAGCCCCTTATAGGTCTTCTCTTGCACCCGCCCGAGTGCCATCTTCATCCTGCATTGCGATGCACTTTGGGTCAGCATCCGCCGGAACTCACCCTCGTTGCCCGCAATGGCCTCCGCGAGCTTCTCAAAGAAGGCCCTGATCTCCACCTCGGCGAAGCCGTGGGTCGTCACCTTCACCATGTCGGGCCCGCCTATCGCGGTCACTGCGAGAACTGCCTGGGGGGGCCGAGCCAAGTATGCCTTCCGGGCCGCTTGCTTTTGACCCTCTGTTCTAGCTTGACGCTTAGCTCGCTCTGCTGCTGCTGCTTCCATCATGCTGCTTTCCTTGCTGAGCTGATACCGCCCACTTCTCATAGCCGCTCTCAACAGATCCATGGCCTCAAGGTTTTCCTTAGTGAAAGCATCTGCCAGTTGCAACCACGTGGGGGCCCATCTGACGCGTCCTCCTATCCGTCTGATGGATTCACGTATGATAACCAAGTCGATCGCCACCCGTTTGTCCCCAACTGAATTCGGTGATGAAAAAGTCTGAAGGTGGTCGTATACTGATTTACAGTCAACCACCGCCTGGATACTGAATCTGTGCAGTACCTCATGCCTCTTCCCCAGATTGATCACCCCATCAATCATCTCAACCAAATGACATGCTAACCATTCTGCATGTCCCAAACCGTCCGCCAACACTTGCGTCTCCCCAGCAAACGTTGACCCAACCACACGCTTCAGCCTGTAGGATTTCCATGCCGCCGGAGTCCACGGTGCTGTCCGCCCGTCTTCGAGCGCGTCAGTTGTGATACCAACCAAATATCCTGCTTGTGTTCCTCCCTTCTTGGCATTTGCAAATGCAGCATCTGTGTGTAAACAAATTCTCAACTTGCTGATCGGCACTGCCTGAATCACCCACTGCAAATCTGCATGCTGTTTTGCTCGTTTCACAGTGTGAGCAACAGTCCGTGCCTGTTCCAAAGTTGGTGTCGGAAACATTTGTTGTCCCATGCTCACTTGCACTGCCAAGTCCGGGCGGGTCTCTTTGGCGACCCACAACGCTGCACCTAAGACGGAACGTAGCGATTTGATCTCTGCGGCATTCGCTTGCACTGTACCCGGATCCTTGCTGCGCAGCTGCGGCTTCTTCATTTCTGCAATGAACTCAGCTTGACTGACAGTGATGTCTTTGGTTTTGGGGTCCTGCTTCAGGGATGATCCGCAAAAGGTACCCTCATCGTACTTCCATTTTCGAAACGGGAAGGTTTCTCTCAAAAGCCGAATTGCTTCTTCATAGGACTTGCCCTTTCCCCCTGTGAGCACATCATCCACATGTACCCCCAACACACCTCCGATACCATGCGGTTGCAAATGGTCACGCCAATAGAAAACACAAGGATCCAATACTGACTGCCGCCAGTTCTGCTTCCGAAGCGTCTGCACGAATTTGCAAAACCAGAGCTGTGGCGAGTCGTTGAACCCATATAACGGCTTGACGACTTCGAACAGTACTTCTGGATGAACGCCCGTAAACTCGGCATTTCTCGGCTGCTTCAGATACAAGGGTCCCCGTTTTCGTTCAATCTGGTCACCCTCCAGGAACGCCCCCGTCACGTCTCCCAGCTGTAGCTGAAACTGGCAGCTCGCAATACACTGCAATACTGCGAAACGTCCGTTGGAAGAAATGGTTGGAGACTGTGTTTTTCCTTCACGAACCAGCTCAAACAAGTCAGGGTCCTTGTCTCCTCTAGCCGTCCACCGGCCCTTGACTATGGTCTCTCCAGTCTCCTCGACCTTCTCCGTGAGGACGTATCGAGACTCCACCAGTCTCTCCGGAGATTCCCGCATCACCCGCCGCGATTCTTCGAGGCTAAGAGGCCGGAGTGCTTGCTTCTCATGCACGACATTGGAATACTCCTTCATTACCCCAGCTTGCATTTTCTTCTTCCCTTCCGCCTCTTGCCACTGCGGATCTCGCGGGTTCAGCTCCTTGCGGCCTCCGGCCAGCAAGCACTCAGCGGTGAATTCATCCCCGTCATCTAACCCGCATGCCAATATCCACGAGGTGTCCTCATCTTCATCATCTGGAAGCTTTTCCGACAAAACTGTCGCTTGCTTTGTACTGTCAATGCAACCAACAAACATGGGCCCTTCGGATCGGCCCTGGCCGGGAACGGGAGGATGCAAATGCGGTCTCGAACTAGCCGGGGCAGGTAGGGAGGGTGGATAGATCTGACCAGCGACCTGTTGACCCTCAAATCTAGGTTGTTTGAGTTGTCGTTCCCCAGTGTCCTTATCTCTCCGCCCAACAGGGATACCATCCAAAATGTCTGCTTGATCGATTGACGCTGGCAAGTTGGTCAGATCTTGTCCCGACAACGCACTCACCCGGTTCTCCCAAGACTGAACGCTCCGGCTGTCCGAGGATATCCATTCGGAGTCCCTTCCTATCGTCTGGTTGTCTGACGGAACTTCGGCTCCGGAAAGCTGAGAGCCCTCACTTTCCGGAACCGGAGGGAGCTCGCCTGCCGCCTCTGCCGCGCCGTCACGGCAATCTGGCAGTTGCTGCGCTTCGATCACCGGAGGAGCGGATCCTGGAGGATAATCAGCCCCTGTAATGTCCAAGAAATTCTTCTGGTGTGGATTAGTGCCTCCAACCTCTGGGTAAAGATTGGCCGCTGCAAGCCTCAAATCCCGAACCAAAAATCTGTCGGCTTCTCTTTCCTCCAGGGTCCGCAGACGCAACTGTTCTGGCGAGCACTTGATGAAAGATCCAGGCATAGCGACCCAAAAATTGCCGCCTGCTTCTCCTGCTATGATGCCCGGCCCTCGCCAGCGCGCGTATCCGCGTTTTCCGGGAATGCCCCGACCTCTTCTCCAAACCGCCACCTGGTCGCCATGCCTGAATTCTCGTTGCGGGCGCGGCCGGCTGTTCAGAGCCACCCGAGCCGCCTTGCAATCCGCGGCCTCGAGCACTGCTTTGCGCGCAAACTGTCGCACCAGATGGGCTCGGGCGGCCTCCGCATCTTCCAGAATTGCTCCATTTGCTATGGGGTTTGGGTCCGGTGTCAGAATGTCATCCCCTGGGATTTCCGGGTCACGCCCCAGGACCATCTGGTACGGGCTGTGCCCAGCCTTCCGCAGCAACATGTTCTTGGCTTCAACTGTGCAATCGACACATTCCACCCACTCGTCATAATTGCTGGGGTTTGCTTGGTCCAGAACTTTGATCAACATGTCCTCAAAATGCTTCCCCTGAACTTCTACGTCCCCAATCTGCTCATGCGCCTCCCCCGGAATATCCAATGGAGTTGTCCCATCCCGTTCCAAGGCGTCTATGAAGTGCTGCCCAAGATTGCATCTGGATGCGTCGAATTTCACCCACCGCGGTCTGCCATATGGCCGCGTCCACGACTGCCGATACAATCTCCGTATCAGGTCGGACGACTCTGTCTCTCGGAACGGGGTCATCTGCTGCAGTCCACTTGTGCGGCACACAACATTCAAGGCTTTGATCTTTTCCCCCTTGCGCCAGCTGGGAAGGTGCTTCACGTCCAAACCAACATATCGCAAAGGTGCCACATCTTTGGGGACTGCTGATGCACGAACAATCTTGGGTTCCTTTCTGGCCGCACATGTGGGACAGTCAAACGCTCGGACCATGTCTAACACTCCCTCAGAGGCCCCACGATGCTGCAGGATCCTGATCATGTCCGGAATGCTTGCATGCCCCAGATTGACATGCATTTTCTTGAGGGCATTCTCCACCTTCCGTCGACCCTCCCCTTTCAGTTCCTCTGTCGTCAACACATTTGAACATGCGTCTGACCAGTGGTCCTGCGCCACTGCTCCAGCCAGAATTCGTCTCACCAGCGTCGGTGGGTAGACCTGTGATTGGATGGATCGTGCGACCCCTCCCGAACTGCCTTCCACCAGCTGATGTTCGTGATCCCCGCTGCAAACCAACTTCCCCAATTGCAGCGCGATTGATTCGGACGAAGTGATAAACCTCCACGACTTCCCAAAAGGTTTGCCAGAGTCCTTGTCCCTCAAACCAACTGCACATGCCGGGACGTCAATCACAAAATGTTTATTGCCCAACCGTTGCACTTCTGGTAACTTCCAGGCACCCGATCCCCGTGCTGACTCGAAAAGGAAATGTTTCCCCACGTTGACCTGGCCTTCCGCCAAACTGCAACACCACCGAATCATGCTCTTGGCTTCCTCAACCTCTGCTGAAAATCGAGCCGGGTCGCGTCTCCGGGCACTGGGTGTTAAGTTCTGCAGCACCGACAACGCCCCACATGGCGGACTCATCGCCACCAGGTCCGGCTCAGTCTCCAGGATGGACTGCTGGGCTTCGCGCCTCGCCAACGGAACTCTCCAGTCCCATCCATTGCTCAGGTCGTAGATGCCCTTGCTCTCGAAGCCCACTCTTGCACACTCGTCCGCGAACCGCCCCGGCACGAATACCTCCGCCACGGACATCGGCTCGTTGGATGCTGCCATCACTTCCACCAGGTTGGCCTGCAACTTCTTCCGCTGGTTGCGGCTCATGACGCACCACTGGCCTGCCTCCTCATCCGAGGAGTCAGCCCCTGGCTCCTTACTCGCCACCGCCAGGACATCCGTTGTGGGGATCCCGTCCATCAGGTTCAGCTGGTAGGACCCGTCCGGCGGCTCGTGCATCTCCACCTCCAGACCATTCAACACGAGCGTGTTCTTCTCCAAGTCCAATTTTGCACCCAGTCCTTTGAGGAACTTCTTGCTGATGAGCAATGGGACCTTTCCCGGCACCACGTAGACCTTCATGCCGATGAGCTTGCCCCGGAGATAGCACGGAATCTGCACCCGACGAATGGCCTCGTCAGTCGACCCATTCCCATACCGAAACCGCTGCGGCTTCATCTTCAACTCCGTGATCTGCAGGCCGGCCTTGTTGAGGGCGATCTCATGCTTTCGCAACGTCATCTCGCCCACGATGCCTCGCCCACATCCCGTGTCTAGCACTCCGAAGCCGGCAGGATGTGTGAGCAGGCATTCACTCACCTCCTCCCCACCGTCCATGCCCTCCTCATCGTCAGAGAACGTCCCCGCCAAATTCACCGCCTGGTCCACATTGTCCAGCACATCCGTGGTGTCCTGCTCCCCCACGATCTCCACCTGCTCGGCCTTCGCATTCTCAAGGCCCTCCTGCAGCTGGTCGATCGTTTCGGTCAGGTTCTCCCCGTCCTTGTCCTCGGTCACGCGCCGTCTCCTCCTTGTCCCGGAACTCCTTGGTCTCGCCGATCGTGATCGGTCGCTTTCCAGGTCCGCTTGACCGACGTCTCTTCCACGTTCACCTCCGCCGGGGCCGCCCTTGATCCAGAAGATCGATCGCCCCGTCCAGAGTTGTCCCGCATGAAGATTAGCTTCTTGAGGTTGTCGCCATTGGTTCACGTACTCAAAGCTCCCGACCCCCTCGACGTCCATGATCGTCATTCGCTCGGGCTCCAGTTCGCTCCTGGGCACCGGGCATCCACCTCGCGGTTGATATAGTGCGTGACGTGGGACCTCGTGGATCCGGATGACCTGGTTGCCCTCCTGCACCCACGAGTCCTGCTTCTGGAGGAGCTCCTCGTCGTAGAACTCCATCTCATCCACAGTGTCGCCCTCCACCGGTTGCCCCGGCTCCTGGGAGACGCTGCTGCCCTGCTCTTCCTCTTCAACTGACGAGTGGGACGTGTAGGGCTCGTCCCGCTTCCACGGTGGAACTCGATGCTTTCCGCCGTCTCGCCAGATAGATCTCCTCTCCGGCACGTCCTTTCCATGAGGCCATGCCATGAACACGTAGTTCACGTTGCTGCCAGTGGCCTTCCCGGCCCGCTCGGCGACCTGCTTCTTCGGGCAGTTCCTGCTGAAGTGGCCGATCTGCTTACAGCGAAAGCATCTCACTCTCGCCTCCAACTTCTTCACATCCGGCTTCGGCCCCGGTGGGAGGCCTCGCGAGATGCGCTCCTTGTTGATGGTGGCCCGGGTCTGCTTCCAGGAGAGCAGCACCTCAATGGCGTCCTGCTCTTCCACCGCTTCCTCGCCATCGAAGGGGTCGAACTCCTCCGCGGCGAGCACCGCCTGGGTCATCCCGTCGTCACCCTCCTCCACCGTTTCCATCTCCACCGCGTGCACCCCTCTCGGGGCTCCTGATCCAAGCCCCTCCGGATACGTCGTCCTCAGGGCCGCCGCCACATCCCGTTCTTCATAGCTTTGCCTGGCTGCTGCCAGAATGACTGCCCGTCTCTCCGCACTGACCTTGGCGAACCTCAGCAGCATGTAGCCACGCGCCACCGACGGGAAGGAGATCCCCTCTGCCTCCGCCGCCGCAAACGCAGCTCTCACCTTGCCAGTGAAGTTCCCGGTCGTCTCTCCTCTGTCCACCTTCAGGTCGAAGATGGTGTCCATGACCTCACCGATGCGGTCGTGCGCCTCCTCTTCGGGGTACCTCTGATCCAATATCTCGTAGATCACCTCTTCTCCCCCGTGTTCTTCCAGCCTTGCCATGTCCACCTGGTCAAAGGCCCGGAGCGCAGTTCCATCCAGCAAAGTGTACAGCACGGACCCAAACGCCTCGGCGGGGGTCCCCTTTGCCTTCTGCACCGTGAGGTAGGCCCGGCTCCAGCGTCGCCACCGACGGTATGCCTTGCTGCTCCCGTCGTCGCCATCTCCGCTGAATCTCTTGATGGCGGAGCTGAAGTCCTTGCCTTTGTCCATCTCGATCGCGATCTCCCTGATCGTGTCGAAGCTCTCGCTACCAATTTGATCGCCGCGCAGCTTTTATGGCTCAGTGCCCTACCGTAAGTCCTCGCCCTAGGGCCTACCTACATGTCGAGCGATCCCTTGATCCAGCCAATAAAGATGCATACATGCGTGGCACCGGACATGGCAGTTTCCACACAACGAATAAGCAAGCGGAATGACAATCAACATGCTTCATGCCAAGAACGAACAATAACTTGAAAAATGCATGTGGTCCTTGAGTATTTCCTGGCAAACAGCAGGTAAACGTGTTTTCTGACAATGGCACAATTTACATCTTGCTTATCCAAAGCATCTAAATTGTCTATAGTCTCAAACGGAGTGACTCACTCTTGGTGGCAGGATTCGAAGGGGCAACCGATACATCAACACAAACCCAGAGGAACCCTGGACAAAAAATCCCCCGATTGCATCAAAACAGGCGCAGAAAGGGGTTTACATGGCACGAGGTTCCGAGGCTTTCGGGCTGCCCTCAAGGGACAGTTTTGTTTTTGTTTTGTTTTTCTTCTTTTTTTTTCTGAGGGTTTTTGTATTACACCCTGGGATTACACCCTTGGGAAATGACCCAGTGGTTCAAAATAACACGGTGTTATCCGGAAATGTGCCCAAATGGGGTCAATACCCAGTGGGTGTATTCTCAGGGTGTATTGCAAAACCCCTTACAGTTTTGGTGTTCGCTGTTTCCCAAATGATAACCAGCTCGGAACAAACCAAGGAGTCCCCCCAGAACTCTGCTGTGGCGGCTCGGACATGTCTTGGAAAGCGGAGCAAAGCCAAGGCACAGGGGCATGTTTAAATGAGAGGTGTTCCTTCTCCCCTCACCAAGCTGAAAGGCTTCCCTTGACACACCCACACGCACGAAATTGCTGGGGAGCCCCAGACGACCAATCAAAAGGGGCTCACGGAAAAGCTTCAGGTATACTTTTATTTGGATAAGACCCCTGGACAAAAATGGAAAAATACGTCCAGTAGTGAATTCGATTCCCTTTAAAACCAACAGGGGATTAAAAAAAAGAAGAAACAAAAACATATACTTAAGCAAATGGAAGCATAGAGGTGCGGCCACCAAAGCCTCCAGAGTTTTACCATACTGTTGACCCAGGATCTAAGTAGAGCCCGTCTCATTATTAGGGTGGTGTTCCCTCCAAAAGTGGCCTGAATCCCCCACGAAGGGGACACCGACACCCCCTATTCATCAACCAGGGGTTTATTCATCCGGGGTTAACATTACCCTGGAAGCTCCGCTCAAGTGGGGGCAAGGGCCTTGAGTGGTGCCCTTTCTCACCCCTTTTTTGGTTGGGAGGGTTCCGATACTAAAATAGACTACAGGGAAAAAAAGAAGAAGAAAAAAACGGTACCCGTATTCTAACCTCTCTACTGCAGGACCTAGTAGGAGGTATGACCTCTTCAGGGAGCCTTTCCCAGCCGGCATTTTCATGCGCAAACTCTCATGCCTCAGCCTCCCCACGACTGTGGCAAAACGGATTTCTCAAGACTTGGTGGCTCCCAATTTTACTTTTGACCCGCCTGCTGCACAATCACGGCGGTGACCAAGTTCAGGAGCACATATGCGCACCTTGAAATAGACACTTGTCGTGTAGTCAACTCGACATGGTGTGCGCCCAAATCAATGATGCAAAAAGCCGAGTTGTTCTTTAACTTTTGTTCAGTCTACCAGTCAAACAGTTTGGCCCAGGCATTCATCCCCACAGGGTGTCGTTCAGGTCAATTCGGTGACACCCAACCAAAGGGACATGGGCTGGTTTCTAACCGTGCAAAACCCCAAAGAAAGCTCTCTTCGGAAACGTTGCGTGACTTGCTTGCTCAGAAGGGCATGAGGGAATGACCCATCCCCTATGGTTTCTTGTAAGGCCCTAGGTTCATTCCCGCATATTCCCAACATTCAGGATCATTCCCTACTGGGCACCAGCAAGATTATTGTTGGACGGATGGCATCGGTCAAGCAAAACAGTAGCCATGGAACAATCGAAGGGACTGCGTCCGACAACATGAGACATCCTTGTCTTAGGCAAGGCAATGCTCTTGACTCGTTAGACGTTTCGCTGCATCTGATGTAATAGGCAAAGGGCAAAGAGCACCTATTGCCCCATTTCGTACATAGGTCTGCCATACCTAATTCAAGACTATGCTTGGCTGTGGCTCAAAACATGTGCCCAGAATTGGTATATGGAAACTAAGGCTAAAACCTGCCAAACCCCAGCTGCTTTTATTTTAAGGCACACCTATTTGATTTGTGACAAAAATCAGCTGTGGATGACCTTGCTCATTTTGACTCCCCCGCCAAGTCAATTTGACGCAACGCCAATATTTCTCCCTAAATGCACCACGCCACAAAGAGAAGAAGCGCCTAGAAAGTGGCGACCGCTTTTTTGTGACAAGGAAACCCACCTCTTTTCAACTGCTTCAACTGGCAAATCTCACTTCCGGTCGAGTGGATTGGCCAGAAAAAAGCCAACCACACTTTTTGCTTACCACTAGAATGCCAACCCTCCGCACCCCTCCCCGGCCCCTCTGCACCCCCGCCCCCTAGTTTCTTGCAGTTTTGCCCAAATCCAGCATGGTCTAGGTCCTCCAGTAGAGAGGTTAGAATATATGTTAGAATCAGGGTACCCTTCTTTCGCTGGTCTATTTTAGTAGGGGAACCCTCCCACCCAACACAAGGGTACAAGAAAGGGCACCGATCGCTGGGGGACCTAGACATGGTCCACCAGCTTTCAAGTCCGCGGACCTGAGCCAGCACTGACTTCCGTCCCAGGTCTCGCGCAAGGCAGTGAAGAGCCAAAGGAAGACCCAGATCCACGGCTGCTGCCTCGATTCGATCGACAGGAGTCACATCTGAGCTCTAGAAACCACGGAATTCCCCACTTCGGGTTGGAGGCCCATGTGGGGTGTGTCTTTTTGAGGCCCATGTGGGGTGTGTCTTTTTGAGGTTTGGAGTGTTGGTTGCCCTTGCAAACATGTTTGTGTGCGTGGGAACACTTGGAAAACAATGACTCGAAGATGTGGCTGTGGGTCAAAAAATTGCTAATCCAAATGGGTTGCCCTGGTAAACGGAAGCGTGGACTGAGACCTGCTGTCTCCTGATGTAAGCTTGACCACCTTCTGACAAGACCCAGCTTTGATATGTATACATGTGAATATATGTATCTATATTTACATACATGTACATATGTATATGCTTACGTGTGCGTATATAATAGATGTATATATATATGCAAATTATGCTTCTGTCCATATGTAGATGTACATCGGTAACGTTTAGACGTATACACATTGAATGACCTGCCGCGGCAAGCCAAGGGACCGGACAAACGGAGGCCCCAAGGGACCATCTTTTTGAAAGCGCCTTGGGTGGGTGGGTGGGTGGGTGGGTGGGTGAGTAAACCTTCTTGTGTTGCCATGACTGCTCACTGCAATAAGCATGTCCAACAGGGTGGATTCAATCGAAAAGCGCAAAACACAACTGAGCCTCACTTAGTACAGTTGCAAGTGTCATGAGATTCTCAGGCTTGATGGTTCATTCTGTTCACCTTTCAATGAACCACAAATCCCCTTAGTGCCTGGACACGTTCTGAAGGAAGCGCCTGATTCTGACGAGCAAGTCATCTCAACAGGCACAAACCTGGCTACAGTGCCTCCGGCGCCCTCGTCAAAAACCAACATCATCAAAAGGGTTTGCTTGTCGACTCCGCTTTGTGGGAAAAAACACGTAATGTCAACTACCACGTCCTTACAAGACTCCTGGTAGCTCCGAGAGGGCCTGGACTCCTGGTAGCTCCGAGAGGCTCCCTTTTTGGCACGGTCTTTTGGAAGACCCGGATGGGAGGCGCATCTTTAAAAGCGCACAAATGATCCCAATGTTCTTTCGCGGCGTGGATGCCAAGATTAACTCCTTAGCCCCTTCCAACCAATGACTTAGGAAGCTTTTTCCTCGGTTGCTTTCTGCTGCCCCGCTAAAAGATTTAACTTTTACTGGCTTAATGGAAAACCCATTAGTGGGCAAACAGTTAAAGTCCTAACATCCAAACACAACGCACTGAAGTATCAGGGCTCCTTTTGGGCCATCTCAAAGGGTGTGGGGGGCAGTTTTTCTCAACGTGGGATTCGCAAAAAAGCTACCCGCAAAGTTTATTCACAGGGTTCACGCTGCGCAGTTTTGTCTGGGTTCACAGTAGCTGCTGAAGGCTCTCCGAATACAAATTGTGAGCCTCGGATTAAACAAGTTGGAGCACCCACCTGTCCCGTCTATTCCGGTACTTGCGGCTGATGGACAGTCGCTGAAACCTATCCCATCTTCGCTAAAGCACTAAGGTGAAAATGGCGCGCCCAATGTGACATATATGTTTTTGCACTCTTGTCACAGAAACTTTCCGCTATCAAGACATCGTCCGACACCCGCCAAAACATGTGTTTCCCCCGGGGAGGGAAAAAAACAACCTGTAGCAAAAGACCTACCGGCATCTGCCGGAAACACCCACGGAACACCTCCTGCCGGCGGCCATCCGAGCAGAGGCGACGCCAGGCCGTTCCGCCCTAAGCTGAAAGCCGACCGAAGCTGAGCGGCTTGATCAGCACGTCCATGATTCCTTGAGAATCGTCGGAGTGCATGAACCTCGGAGCTGCGAAGGCTCTCGGGATTCAACTTCCCGACCTCTTTTTGTTGCCCCCTGAAGCTTCTGTGTGATTGCCCTGTGGTAATCATCAGGGTTCCCTACAGGATGCATCCCACAACCACCTGCTTTAGCCAATCCTTTATATCGGCGATTCTCTACTTGGCCCTAATGAGTGCAGAGCACCCCACACAACGGGACCCTGAGCGGGGGGTACCATATGAGCCACTTTCAAAATTTGCAGATCCGGCACAGGACATGGAGAAACGGGTGAATCCCCCACATGGCCCTCGCAAATGGAGCATAGACGAAACAGGATATCTTAACGAGCTGCATAGGGCCCACAGCCCAATTCTTCAATTTCAACAGCTGCATACTTGCCGAAATAAGGTACCCCGAAAATGGTTTCCTTTGAACAGGGGTCACTGGATTTCCCCAACAAAGGTTTATCAATTTACGGTGGTTTGCATTGAAGCTACCACTGTTGGAGGTCCAAAACGGCAAACTTCGGGGACCCTGGCTACACTCAGCCAAACGGGTCACACAAAAAACAGATCCAAGTTGATGGCTTCCCATGTTTACCCTCAGCCATGAACAGGCTCCGGTGATTTCTGTCTTGGAACCCGTATTGAAACCACGCCTGGGGCAGTGCTGTTTTGTGTGCTTTTTTGACAACCGTGCCTCCAGGGTTGCTTGGTGAAGTACGCCCTGGGCGTGAGTCTTTTCAGCCAGCAGGCGTGACTTCCCAAGAAACCAGCGGGGCCAGGCGTGAGGACAGAAAAGCGGGGCACCGGCCCCCAGGACCTTGCTTTTGTTTTGCTCTGGAAGAACCCGTCGCTCACTCACTTGCTTGCTCGCTTCTGTGAACATCACCAAACTCAGAATCCCATGAGTAATTCTAAGATAACCGCGGCTGGTGTGAATTCAAAAAACACTGGTTCCCCATCAACAATTGCCTCTGAAATGCGAGGATCCCACAAAAGGCCCTAAGGTCGCAAACCCTTGTTTGGGTAAGATCCGCTGCTTTCTGACCCAAAGATAATTATCGCTGAGGTGGGGGGGCAAAATGAAGGGCATTTAGCCAAAAAGAGCAATAGTGTTAAGTTGTCCGACTCCACTTCCCTAAACTTTGGTGCGGTTTGGGTGGGGGGGGGAAGGGGGGGTCGCAGTGCGAATTGTCTTTCCAAGTCGAAAACATCAACCTACCACGGAAAACTCACCTTAAACGGGCAAGCTGTGATGTTTAACGCCACAACAAAAAGGCACATGTGGAAAGCCCGCCTACTGGTTCTCGGCTCATTGAGGCAGCGTCCTCAAATGCCTGTTTTAAACCATCCACCTAGGCAATTTCGAGATCCCAAACCAAAATGCTTAGTTTAACGCACCCTGACACATGAAGCGGGGCCTATGGCTACTCTTTGTCGCTTCACAGAGAACCCCAACATGCAGGGTCCAATTCAACAACCCAGGGGCCGTATCAGCGTGATCATCGTAGTGAAGAGGCCCTGGAAGAGAGCTTGCGTCTCCAAGATTTCCTCGTCTGCGCCTGGATAAGACCCAGTGGCTGGATGAGGGCCCCGGTTGGTTCTGTAGCCCCAAGTCCCCCTGAGACACCTTTATTGGTTTAATTCGGTTCCTAGAAAAGCGTGGGGAAAGCGTGCAACAGCGATTTGTGTCCAAAAGATCTGCGGGCCGAAGGCCAGTCTTGGTTATGCAGTGTCGTCATTTTCTACCAAGGGGAATTAGAGATTGCAACGGCGCATGGCAACTCACCTAGATGTGTGTCTCAAAGTGTGCGCTTTTTCTTACCTTTGTTGTCGAACAACCCACAACTTCTTTCTGGGCCCGTGACAAAAGGAAAGCAGATGCCACTCAACAACTGAGAAAAGAAGCGGCAACACCGTTTGGACACCAACAAGCACCTGTGAATATACTTATAACGTGAAAATACTTATAAGACCATCCGTCCCACGTGGGCCAATGCGCTGCCATTGCGCCGTGGCCCCCTCCCACTTGCGTGCCGCATGCTGCTACCGTCATGCAAGGCGAAATCATGCAAGAACCAGGGACTATACGGGTCGCCGATTTGTTTCAGTAGTCTATTTTTGTAGGGGAACCCTTCCAACCAAAAAAGAAAGAGTAAAAGGGGCACTACTGGGGGACCTAGTTTCAGACCTTGACAAATGTGAAACCCAGGGGATGTTCGTGGGAAACAAAGGATCGGCACTTCTTTTTTGTTTCTCGGTAGTGGATGTTACAGGGGTCCACCCGCTCCGGAAAAAAGAATAGAAACAAAACAACAGAAAAACAACGGTATTTTGGCATTTGACTTTGCAGGGCCTCCAAAACAAGTTGACACATTTGTTGAAGCAGCCCACAGGGGCAGCCTACCCGGTCCAGTTTTTTTCTTTTTTTTGGGGGGGAAAGGAAGAAACCACAAATGGGGCTGATGTGCCGTTACCATCCACAGCCTGAGGCGCCCTTCCAAACCCTCCATTGGCTTTTTTGCACCAAAAACGGAATAGGCCAAGTGGAATACGTGAATATGTGCCATTCCTCCCTTTTCGCACCATTCCTCCATGTGCCCTTGCCATGAAAATGTCCTATAATCCTATTTGGTGATAGGTTCCCTGCAAAACCAAGGCGCACCTCAAAACCGAATAACTCACTTCCGCTCGAGTGGCCCAGGGAGTGAGAAGAAGGGAAACTCAGATGCCCAGTAGATGTCCATAGGGGAAAAAAACAGATCGGCATCGATTTCCTTTTTTAGATAGAGCTTAAAGGAATGGGAACGCTGCCCCAAAATGGGAGAAAAGGGCGCCAACTCAGTGAGACTCTTGCCAAGGGACCCTGGAAATAAACGCTGAACCTCTTGGGGACACGACCAGACATGGGACATCCAAATCAGGGAAACCCAAAGGTCAGATCCGGTCGATTCGCTTGCGCAAGTGAGAAGAAGGGGTCTGGAAGAAACCCACGGGTCTGACTAGGTCCTCCAGTAGAGCTTTTAGAATAAGGGTACCAACTCACTTGCCCAAAAGACCTGGAAATAAAAGGTTAACCATTTGGGACCTTTACTACAAATGGACAAGTGAGTATTAGTAGGGGAACCCTCCCAACCAAAAAAGGGTAAAAGGGCACCGATCGCCGGGGGACATAGCTGAGGTCGAAATGGTCGTTAATCCCACTGGTTCCGCCTGAGAAATCCTGGCTGCCGATGAGGTCGATGGCGAAGATGGCGAACATGTACAGCGTGGCCGCCTCGGCACGGCGCGGAGAAGAACATCGGCATCGGACCCAAACTGGTTGGCTATCTTTCACTTTCTAGGGGTACCTTCCATTTCCGTTCTGAACCCAGCGATCCGAATCTTTTCAGGAAACCATCAAAATGGGCTTTTTAAAAGCCCAAAGGAAACAGCCGGTTTTTGAAAAGAACCCTGGTTGAAAAGAAATGAAAATAATGGGGAAATACCCCTAGAACTTTTGGTTAACACCACCCAACAAAAAGGTAGCTTCAAAAGAAAACACCCCCGGAAGCACGGACTTGGGCTGCTCTAAAAAATGGTGCCAATTTGGCGGCAAAGGGAAACTCAAGGAAGCTGCAGTCACCGTTCTGTCCGGTTTGATCATCTGCTCGGGTTCGCCTGTCTATCACTGAGCCATTCCTCCAAATCCATGACAGAAACTCGTTTGCGCCCTAACCTCATTTTGGTTTGCACATTCTTATGTTGAGTGCCACCCCATGAGCCGTTTGGACACCAAAATGAGCAATCCTTACAGTGGATAATGTTGACCCCCATAGCTTTCCGTCAACCCCAGTTTATTTTCATCGGGAGATGTGGGGGGAAACCCCCCTCCAAAAGTGGTCTGATTCCATATTCACAAACAAGGATTGGTATCAAAATCTGGGGTCATCGTAGGCCACGAGTTCAGACCTGAAAGGTAGCTTCCGACCGCCAGAAGATAAACCACGCCGCCCATTTTTGTTGGGACTGCCACTGAAATGCTCCAAACCCAAGAGTGACGAAATGAACTCAGGAACTCACGAAGTGAGACTTCAAGCAGCCTACCAAACACGCATTCAGAAGAATCTGGAAGGGAACCCTCCATTTTATGGCAGTGACAAAAATGACCTCAGGAGGTGACTCGCTGGCGTCATCCGAAGTGGAGCCAACGTTGCTTCAAGCCGATTGGAAGCCTCTGATTGAGACCACTTTTTTGGTTGAGGTCTGTGAAACCACCCTCCCACACAACATGGAACCCGAAAATGGCCATTAGTGGGTAAACGTTTCAAAGGGGAACATGACGCTCACACCTCGGCCCGTTTTTTCGCGACCTGTGGTTCCTCCCTTTATGTGGGCAAGGATGACAAAACCAAAAGGATTTCTGCTATCAACTGTTTAACAACTGTATTGCCCCTGCCACCTACCACCCGCCCTTACCTCCTTAGGGGGAAGCCGCGAACTTTGTGTCTCCGAAAGCCAAACACCTTGCAAGAAGGCCCGTTAAGAAGATTAATGCAGGCACGCGGCAATCAGGCCCATCGCCGACAAGAGCGTGCCACCACTACCTTGCTACATCTTGTGCCACCAGGGGAAGGGGAAGGTTTGCTGACGCATTGTCAAACTTCATTGGAGCCCCGGATTGAGCCCTGGTTGATTTTGATTGGGGGGCGTCCTTTTGTGGAGATTGAGGCCACTTTTGGAGAAAAAAACACAACTACTATTAGGACGAGTTCTACTTGGATCCAGGGTCAGCATTAGTCTCCTCTTGTCGAAGGGCGGTTTGATTGTGGTAGTACTGTCAATACTGTGGATGGACGAAATCCTGTACCACCCAAGAAACTCTGACATGATTCGATTCGATTCCCCTCTAAATATCAACAGAAATGGTTTCCCATGTTCTCTTAGGTGGTGCTAAAGGGGTTTGGCAACCCAGTCGTTCCATAGTCACTTGAGGCTTCCTTTTTTTAGCTGGGTGCCCATAGCCAAGTTCATGCGGGTTCGTACATGAGTTCTCATGGATTTACTGTGCGTGACTATGTCTTTACGCTCCCTCCCACGCATCACAGGGCTCCCTATATTTCCCCTTAAAACATCACCCCCACCAAGGGACACTCACCATTGGGCCAAAAAGGTGATGTTTAACCCCAGCAAAAAGGGAAATATAGGGACTGCAGCACCCACTTTGTTGGGTGAAACCCCCTTTGTTCCCACAGACCTTTGACGTTGAGGCCGGGCTGCTGAACAGCTGCACGATCACGCGAGTCGGTTGAGTGAGGATTAGTGATGGGAAGAGCTTCAGGGTCTTTGAGGTATGGAGGTTGTATACCACTAATATAAGGGCGGGATGCCTAACAAGCTTACCTATATAGCTGGTACATAAGCATACCTCCAGAACACATACCTGAAGATGCGCAAGGGATGGATTCCTTCTACTAGGCTGGAATTAGGACCCCAGCAAAAACTTATCTTTTTTTGCCTGGGTAGTGGAAAACAAAGGGACCCCAAAAAAGCAAAAAAAAAGAACTAATTCTGGGGAAGTTCTAGAGGTCTGAGGCTCGAATCTTCCCGATTTTCATGCCGCACGTGGTGCAACATCAAGCGGCTGCAGGGGGACGAGCTCCTAGTTTTCCATTGCGTGGTCTCGGTTCAGCATTGATATGGCCAACTCAAACCGATTCAGGGCTAACCCTACTTGAAGAACCCCCCCTACAAACATAGAACCCCCAACAACAAGGGCTTCCCAAGAGCAGCTTCCTCTAAACCATGATGGCTTGTTGGGTACGTCGAAACGGTAGGGGAGTAAGTACCGGGTCCACTGCACCGCGACAAAACCGGTGCCAAGCTGCTGAGGAGGCCCCGCACGAGTTGGAAAAGGTCCTGGAAGGCCTTGAAGTGCTTGAAGAACAGCCTAACTCATCTCAGATGCCCAGTGGATTTTCATGGAAAAAAGGGCATCTCTTTTTAGTGGCCATGGGGAAACAAAGGGCATGTTTTTGTTCTTTTCTTTTTTGGTTGGTTGAGGGGAACCCTTACCAAAAAGAAAGGAAATAAGGGCACCACAAGGCAACAAAGGAGATACAGGGAATACAGGGACCAGGGGTCTGGGAAAAAGCGAGAGAAAACCCGTTCAGGACAGCAAACTCAAAGCTTACCCCCCCCCCCCCAACCAGTAGCAGAAGGAATCCACAAAAAAACTTGGTTGCTGTTGAACCCCCTGCAAAAAGTTTAACTTTTTGGGGGGTTCGTGGAAAACCCCTTGATTTCCCAAAAACTTAAAGTCTAAAGATCCAACCCAATAGCAGTGAAGAAAACGCCACCGTCCCAAGGTTTTGGGGAGTCGGACCCCCTTCGAATGGGCTGGTGAATTTCCAGCGGCTCCCATGACCTATGTGGCGAATCCTCGCCAAAGGCCGTCCCCTGAAAATTAACCTAGGTCCTCCAGTAGGGAGTTAGAATAAGGGTAAAACAACTTTTCCCTGTAGCCTATTTTACTAGAGGAACCCTCCCCCCCAAAAAAGGGGGTAAACGGGCTTTGCAGAAACGGGCTCAACTCCAACTCAGGAAGTGACACCATTCCCTCCCATCCTCTACCGCCATGGAACCTGCCTGATCCCAGAAAACAATTTTCCTCCACAAATAGGGGCCCTCTGGTAGGGCCCTCTGGTAGGTTCACGTAGGCGTGTAGAGAGAAAAATGAAAACCACAATGCCTTTTCAAGTCGGCCTTGGCAGGAAACGCCACCGCCATCAATGGCAAGCCCCACCCGTGCCATTGGCACTGAGCGGCACTATCCGCAGGAGCCGCAACATTCCTCGGTTCGCAAAGCGGGTGCGAGAAAAAAACAACCGCTTCAAGGCACAGCGTTCTCAAAGTTCCAAAGTATGCTGGTCCACTAAACTAGGTGCTCCAGTAGAGAGGTTTGAGTAAGGGTACCCTTTTTTTCTGTAGTCTATTTTAGTAAGGGTTTCCCCTCCCAACCGAAAAAAAGGGGTGAGAAGGGCACCTAATTAGCTGGGGGACCTAGAGTCGGTAAATTTTCGGCACCTTTGGGGAGTGGCACTGAGAATCCCGGCGAACTGTGATACAACCCCACCCTTTTCAATTATTGACTGTCAGGGACCTTCAACAGTGCCCGGATCGGTGAGCTCGGGACATACTGTGGATGGACGAAATCCTGCACCAAGAAAAGAACGCGTGGCAACCATTGCTTGGTACTTATAGGGGTAAGCATCATTCCAGGGTTTCTTAGGTGGTGCAGGGTTTCGTCCATCCACAGAATGTACCTCCTTGAGAAAACCAAAAGCGCCCCCCCCTTTCCCGGAACTTAGGGCTTCTTGGAAGGGTTCTGAGAACCTGAGTGAACGGGTCTAGGGAAGCCCTTTGAATAGTCAATTCAACCCCGGTTTCTGGCAAAACACCAGCTGCAGGCAGCCTATCTGACTGCACCTCGGAAAACGTCCCGGCTGAACCAAGCACTTGCAGTCTCAAATGATCTTTCATGGGCCCTTATAGCCTTATGGGCCCTTATAACAGAATCGGGCTGTCATTGCCATATCTAGCAAGGTCGTGTATCAAATGTTTGTGTCAAACAAGTTTTAAGTGGATCCAATCAAAAGCACCCCTTAGCGGGGGTCACGCCAAGCCATCATGTACCCAGTACCTGCATATGGGTAAGCTGTTCTTCTCCATTCACCACGGCTAGGATCACGTACTCGCTTGTGGATTGGCCAACCTTGCCTCAGCCTCTAACACGGTCCAAACTAAAACCTATGTGCGCATATGTTGTACGTGGTTTTTTTTGAGGTACCCTTTCACCTTTCTTTTAGAGACAAAACAACAACAAATAAACCAATAGATGTGGGGTTTAACTCATGCTCAGTGACTCAGAGCGTGGCTCAAGTCGAACCCGAGCTCCCGAGCTCCACGCCAATCTTTCGCCAGGCCGCGCACGGTGCGCACGACTTTCAGAAAGTCGGTGGAGTCGCCCTGGACCAAAGGCTGCAAGATCCAGACCTGAGACTCACGGAGTCGCCCAAAGGGACCAAAGGGACCAAAGGGACCAAAGGGACCAAAGGACCTGGAAATAGAAGGTGATATCACCTTTTGGGACCTTCAAAATTGGAAATCCAAATCAGGTAAAGAAAAAGGAGAAAGGGTCGATTCGCTTTGGGCTAGCGAGGTGACGTCACCTCGACTTTTGCACAATGACTGGCCAAACACGCGATGTTAACCTCAGATTCATCCGGAGTAATCCGGGGTCCCCCCCCTAAAATAGACAACCTCCATACTAAAATGGAACCATATGGAACCCGTACTGTTTATTGGCAAAAACAGCAAACAACGGGAACCTGCAACAACCATTGACAAATGGTTCCCAAACTGCCGTATTCTCCATCAACAAGGTCTATTCACAGAAAGCTATTTGGGAAACCGCCATTTCTATATGGTTGCAGGTTCCAGGAACAAACGATACCTTCGGATCCACCCATAGTACCGTTCTCTGGGGGGCTCCTCTAGTGAATGATCTGCTTTAGAGGGGCTCCACGGTCCTCCGCATTAATCCGAAGCTAAAGTTGATTTGGGGTTTGGAGCCTAAACTGTTTTTGTCTAGCGCGAATTGGGGACCAACCCCCCTGAGCGCAAAACCACCGAAGGTGAAGCAGGCATCAATCCTATTGGGCAAGTAAATCTGCCAGATTGTCTAAAACTCGAGAAGTAATCAAATGGAAGCTGATTGCGGAGCATATGTTTTACAGCAGGCAGACACGTAATACACTGTCCAGATCTACTAGCTGTTTAAGCAATATTGGACAAAATACATCTCGCACCACCTAAGAAACCCTGAGATGATTCAATCCCCCTTTAAATGCCAACCAACGTTATGATTTCAACCATGGTTTCATTTCGATACTGCGAGAAGCGGATTTCGATTTCAACCATCCACAGGTTTAGCAGGGGATTGCATCTCTAAGCCCCGGCAGTGAGAGACGTTGAATCTAGTCATTCACAGCGATTTTGGCCATGGGTCAAAACCCAGTACCCCCGGTGAACATCCCAATCCCCACTAAAATAGACTAAAATGGGTGGCGCACCTACCCCAATATGGTACCATTGGCAATTTTGCTGTTTTCGTTGTTAGTCACACTTTCCGGAAGATCGGCTTGGTAGCAAAGCAGGGTACTTGGGCTAAGGTTCCCTAAACGGGATGCTTGGACTGGTGAGTTGTTCTGGCGGTCTCCATTTGAATTCACAAGCTTCGCTGGTGGTGAAAGACTGGCTAGCATGTTTATTACTATTCGCCGGCCACCAAGGACTCCCCACATAAAATAGAAAGGGATCTATCATGGGGCTCGCTCGTTCTATCCGCAAACAAAAGGCGTGGGCTCGTTCGATCGGGAAAAAAAACCACCGCCCTGACAGGTGTCACAACCCGTTTGGCGGCCTTTGGGCGAAACAAATGAAACCGGTCATTGAATTGAACTGAAAGCGTTATGGCAATCCGGTGCCAATAAGTTACCAGTGGTGTCATATTCACCGCGTATTTCACATCTTCATCCGGACCTTGCCCCCTCCCGCCCCACCCGATCCCCCCTAATATTTGATTGTCGTTTTCAAACCTGAAAAATTGCCTTTAGCAAAGGACCTCACTTTAGCCCTGGATCAGTGAGCAGAAAACCATGACGAAATTGCAATTCTGGTTCATCACACTAGCAAATAGGAAAGCGAGCTTTCCCTTTGCTTGGCCAACATCTGGGGCAAACAGACAATAATATGTCCGAAACAGTCTTGAAGGAGACTCAAAGACCTCATCGGCAAGATCTAGAGTATGCTCCGACAGATTAACACAGAACCAACAAGAACCCATCTTTAGGATCGGGCACTCTGTGCGGCGGGCCCCTTTTTGGGGCTATGCTGTGGATGGTTGCGGAAACCAGTTCGAACCACCGTTCAAAAGCCCAAAGGAATGATTTGAATACCCCAAGCGCAACTACCAACCAACGCTATGGTTACCGGTTTCATGGTTTTTATTTCGGCGGTGCACCACTGGGAATGGATGAACACCCCGCAAAATGGATAAACCAACTGGGAACCCAGGAGGCTTACTGGGGACGAATTCTGATTCTTGTACTTGCAGTTCTTCCATTTGATTTAGCCCCCCGGCAAAAATAACACCATTTCCAGTAGTGAAATAGATTCCTTTTAAAACCAACAGGGCAAAAAAGAAGAAGAAAAAACAACAAAAAACTATATTCTTAAGCAAATGGAAGAGTTCTATACACCCCGGGGTCCGGGATCAAGAAGTCGCTCGCCAGAAAATGTGTCGTGCATTGAAAGCTCCTTCGAAGTCCAAGGCGCGGCCAGAACGCCGGGCACCCAGACCTCTCACGCTCCAGGGGGTTTTGGTTTCGGAGCGTCCCCTCATCTGGGCTGGAAAAAAGGGACCCCAGCAAAAAGATATATTTTTTGCCTGGGTAGGGGAAAACAAAGGGGACCCCGAAAAACCAACAAAGCAAAAGGGGAGCTAATTCTGGGGAAGTCATGGGGGGTGGGTGATGCATTCTATGGGTTTCAAAAGCCCACCCATGAGGGGACGCTCTCTTTCGTTTCGTTTGGGTAGGGGGAACTTCCATGTGGGTGTCGAGCTGTTCAGGCGGAGGGACCTATCTTTGTTTTTGGTTTTGGACTGCACTAGTGTACTCATTGCTCATTGCGTGGGGTAACTAGCGAAGTGCACCCATGTGCACAGCAAAGACTACATCAGCTCTCCTCCACTTGGTGGCTGGGATTGGAGGTTTGGTGGTTAAGGGCAGATTCGCATTTCATGTAGACCTATGATTAATAACCTCCCCCTGAACAAAGTTATGTTGTGGGCTGGCCCTGAATAAGAACCCCCCCCAAAAGGACAATTACGATTTCGTGCGTCCCCCCCAGAGGAAAAAAAACAACACACCAGAAAATGAGGACATATTTCCGGTAGTGGCAGATTCCCATTAAAACCACCTGGGGAGAATCCAACAAACTTTCAAGCAAATGAAAGGTACGTGCCACACCGAAAGGTACTTGCCACACCAGGCTTCCCATTTGGTTAAGACCCCGGAAAAAAAAGAGAAAAAACAATCAAAACCATATTTCCAGTAGTGATAGATTCCCTTTAACACCAACAGGGGAAAATATAAAGATATATGTATATATATATATAAATATAGATACCGCTCCCCCCCAAAAAAAGAAGAAGAAAACAACAACAAATGGAAGACCAGCCATCGTCCCATTTCAGCACAGCTGCGATAAAGGTGTCGAAGATCACCGTGGGATCCAGCAGCCAGCGCCAGCCCATCACCTGCCGCTGCACGTAACGTTGGCCCCACATTGATCCAGAAACCAACGCTGGCTGTGAGCGGTGGTACTGTTACACCCACTCAAGGAATTGGCGTCTCTTGTAATCAACCCCAGTTTATTAATAGGGGGTGCTCCCCTCCAAAAGTGATGATTTTCACTGAATCTAGGGACACCCCCCTATTAATAAACTGGGGTTTATTGATATGGGGGCAACGTTGGATACAAACTTTTACCAAGTTCAAGAGGCACCTCCTCCTCTCTACGCCTGTTTGATGCATCCCTTCAGAACGGCTACCAACACCAGAAATAAAGCAACAGAACGCCTGGGCAAATTGAGCGCGCACACTGCCAATCTCTTGTGGCATGTCCACCAACCGCTTTGGAGGGGGTTCCCTACTAAAATTCATTGCCATATATACAAAAATGTACATATGTAGATATGTATCTATGTATGTATGTATGTATGTATGTATGTATGTATGTATGTATGTATGTATGTATGTGCCATGTGTGCGCCATGTTTGAAGGCAACATAGGGCAACAACTTCAACTCGGCCGGGATCCATGCTATGGCACCCGAAACAGGGGCCAGAAGTAATCTGCAACGCGGCTGAAACTGTCCTACGATTAGAGGCGTCCCCTCCGGTGATGAATTCCCACTAAAAGAGGACACCCAACCAAAGTTTATGGGTGTGTCTTTTCTTGGTGGTATACCAGTCTTGGGTTTGGTTTAAAACGTGAACCAAAAGGAAACCAGTATCTTGGTGGCCCCCTACAAACCCCATTACTTTCATTTGCTTAAGCCGCCTGAAAAAAACAAATAACAAATGCATGTTTTTGCAGTGGTGAAATCGATTCCCTTCAAAACCAACAAGGGAACATCACACAACTCTCGCTTCGGCAAACGGAGGCCCATTCTCGGGGGTTCCTTCACTACAGTAAATTTCGGACGGCCCCCTGAGCCCCAGATTTGGGCCTTGAGGCGAACCAACCACTCCATGAGGAAGAAGCTGGTCACGAGGCTCTCCATGAACCTTGGACCGCAGTTCCTTTGACTTTGTGGGCCTGGAGCCCGAAGCCCCTCTTCGATTCTGAGCGGGGAAGCTAGCAGGAAACCAACACGTCCAGGGGTTGATTCGGATTTTTTGGATGGTTTCCTGAAAAGATTCGGATCACTGTGTTCAGAATGGCAATGGAAGGTACCCCTAGATGATTGGGCACCCAAATAAAGCCTTATTTTTAGGGGTTGATTCCTTGTCCATTCTTTTCAGCCATCGTTCTTCTCAAAAACCGGATCTGTTTTCCCTGGGTTTCCGGAGGTTTTCTAGAAGGAAGGATCCCTGGAAAGAATGGGGAAGTTACCCCTAGAACAGGACACAAACCACATTTAAGGGGATATGATTCGGTCCCTTTTGAAGTGACACCAAGAGGAAACTGGAACCTGAAACAACCCATATACAAATTGGTTTCCATTATAAGCTGCCGCATTTTCCGCAAAGAAGGTCTATTCATAGGACATGGTTGTTTAGAAAACCACCACTTGTACATGGTTGTTGCAGAATCCAGAAGGTATCCTTGTTGGATGGATTTGAAGGGAACCCAAAAGGAAACCAACTTTCTGCTTCGTTCTTTCTCTCTAAAGTTTTTTACTTGGGCCCTTGTTATGGGCCGCTAATGGCTGAAAAATACATACACTATATATACCCCTTATGTATTGGGTACGTAGCACAAGGACCAGGTGGCTGGATGTGTGCGTTTCTCAGCTGCTGCCTCTGGAGTAGCAATCTTTGACGACAGCAATCTTGAAAGGTTCCAACTCCATTGGGACTCTTCGTGCCAAGCCCCCAAACCCCGGTCCCAAAAATAGGGGCCCATTCAGGAAACCCACTGGCACAGACAGTTTCCTGAATGGGCCCCTATTTTGGGAGCTCAGATGTTTGGGTCCTTGGTTGCCCTTTTGCTGAAATCAAACTTGCAGATTTGCGTTCGTTGGAACTATCGTCTCTCCGGCCAGCAAACCACAAAAATAATGGCCCATAACAGTGGCCCATGTAAAATTCTTTAGATTCTCTTTCTTTTTTAGGGGGGGTGCCCTTATTCAAAAACAAACTCGTTCCCAAAACTACGGTGTTGTCATGGGAATGGCACGGTAAAGGGCACCCTTTGTAACGGACAAGCTTGTGAAAAATGGCGCAGTTTGATCATGTTGGTTACTTCCATTTGCTTAATCCCCTGGAAAAAAAACAAAACAAAAAAAAACATGTCAAGCAGTGAAATAGATTCCCTTTAAAACCAAGAGGGGAAAAACATTCTTAAGCAAATAGAAGGTGTAGTCTCCCTCTTTGCTTACCCACAAATACTTAAGTTGCATCTACTTTCACCCTGGCGCAAATTCCTCCGAAGTAACATTGTACCTTTCTGTCCGCAGTCATGGGGATGAAGGGATCTGGGGTCTCCGAAACAAATTAGCATTTTGGGTGTTGATTTTGTGTACCCCAGATATCAAGCCACGTTTTACGGCTTTGCTTTTTGTGCTGCTGCTCCCTTGCCGGGGAGGGGGGGGGAGGCTGCAAAAACGCCGCGGTGGCACGAGGCAAAGGGCACCTGAACGGCACCTTTTCTTGCTCCGAAATAGAAGGAACTGGACGAAATCCATTTCGCACCACCCAAGAATCACTGGAATGAATCGACTGTAATTACCAACCTGCACTGGTTTCAACCATGCTTTCAAAGTGGCGCGAAATGGATTTCGTCCATCCACAGTACCAACACTTGATCCATCCCCTTTGGTTCGGCATCCCAAGTGGCTCAAGGGTCTTTTTTTAGACCATGAGGTCAAATTCGGAGGCCGCTTTGGACCCAGTTTTGCTGAGGGTACCCTTTTTCATGGTGAGCTTGCTTTCATTTGCAGATGAATACACCCCCTTCCCCCTCCCCCTCCTCCCCCCCTCCCCCTTCCTTCCCCCTTCCCCCCAACCCCCCCTCCGCGCCCCTTCTCTCCGCCCCCCAATTTTTCGGCCTTTCTTTGAATTTTCCCCGAGCGGCTGCAGGAACACGGGCGCCTGCATGCCGTCCACCTCCCAGGCCACCGTGAGGACGCCTCCGCTGCCGGTTGGGTGCAAACACCTAGTTCTTGGTTGGTTCTAGGGATACCTTCCCCTTTGGTTGGTTGGTTCCATGGATTCCCGACTAAATAACCAAACAAAAGTCTCCAAACGTTTGGTTTGCCCGGTTCATCCGAGACTTCACCAACCGAATGCACAACAGAGCTTAACCTGGAGCCTTTTAGAGGAGGTCATGTATTTTCCCAAAACACGCCTGTGCTTTGGATCTTCCCCCCCCCAAGGAGGAAAAAACAAGTCCGGCCAAGCCACTCGGAAAGTAAGCCCCAGGAAGTGTCTCAAGATTGCCTTTTTTTTTGCTTGGAATTCAAAGGGGAAGCCAACAGGAGACTGATCTTCCATTTGCTTAAGAATATGTTTGTTTTCCCCTGTTGGTTTTAAAGGGAATCTATCACTACTGGACATGTGTTTCTTGTTTTTTCTTTTCCAGGGGGCTTAACCAAATGGAAGTGATCCATTTTTTGGAGACCCAGTGGTTTTTGCAAAGCACCCACAAATCTAGAGGTTGATTCCTTGTCCATTATGTTCAACCATTCTTTCAAAAACCGGATCCGTTTTCCCTGGCTTTCCGGAGGTTTTCTAGAAAGATCCGGATCCCTGGAAAGACAGGGGAAGGTATCCTTAGAACTTTAGTCACTTTTAAAATTTTAGGGTTTGGAGCATGTTAGTACCAACCCTACTCAATCCAAAATTCATGGGGAAAGCTCTGACGAGCTGCGAAAGGGCTTCTTCCCTTTCTTTTTCCCAAAGCTCACTTCCTCAGTGGATTGGCCAAACAAGTTCTAACTTTTGCCCGACCTGGATCGCCAGTTGCGATCGTTTTTCGTCCATGCACTTTACCCCAAACACCGATCGCAACAGTGACCGAAAAAAACGGTCGCAACTTGTCAAGTCCAAGAGCTGGTCCTTCGGAACCTCCTCTAGGTCCTCCAGTAGAGAGGTTAGAATAAGGGTACCCTCCCCCCAAAAAGGATAAAAGGGCACTACTGGGGGGACCTGGCCCTTCAAACGGGCACCCCCCCCCCCCCAAATAAAAAAGGCGACCAACGACCCCGTCTCGGCGTCACGCGCTGATCGGCGAGGCGCTGATCATGATGACGACGCCGCAGCCCATCTCGAAGATCCAGGAGGTCACGAAGGCCGTCTGACGCTCAAAAAAGACCGGGCTGCCCCTTCCATTTGCTTAAGCCCCTGGAAAACAGGAGGATACATTTCCAGAGTGGTGAAATCGATTCCCTTTAAAATCAACAGGGGATTATTTTCTCTTGTTTTTGGATACAAAAATCGAAATAAACATATTAAGCAAATGGAAGACTACGGTCGCAAAAGACCGGGCTGCCCGTTTTCGGATCCCCTGCCCAGCTCCTGGCCTTGGGAAGTCCCATGGAAGACCCAGACCCGCCATGGGACCATTCAGCGGGGAGTTGGGGTCTCAAAACCTGGCGGTTTTTGAGGGCCCACAATTAAATCGCGAGCGTCTGGGTGCTAAAAGTTGCGAACTTTTCGTGGGATAAATGGAACCCACAACTAAACACTAAAGGCCAAACAGCTAAGGGGATGGCTGGGAGCCACCAAGAAGACTTTGGGCAATTCGGGGCGGTTTCCGGCTCTGCTGGGCTGTGCGTTTTCAAGCTCCCCTGACAAAGGACGACACCCGCTATCTGCGATGTCCGCGCATTCAGAGCATCTGCGGGGAAAAACAAGTTGCCCCCAAAACTTAAAAACTTGCCCCCAAAACTTAGCAGTTCCCATCCGTCCGGTTCCTTGGCTTTTGTTTATTTAGCTTTTTCCCTAAGGATCCCAACTCTTTTCGGGGCGTCGTTTGGCATCGGGCCCTCAGGGACAGAATGGCGAGGGGCCATAGAAACACGACCCCTCGTAGCGAGGGCCCCGGCTGCTCGGGGTCTGCAACCACTATCGAGCATTCAATAACAATCGCTTTGACAGTTATTGGCCCGCACACCGTCCTGGCCGGCAAGCAAAAGATTCAGTTGCCATCGGTAGGCCCAAGTATTTCCTAGCAAGCACAGATCTCGGACGGCTTTCCGACATCTGCTTTCCGGCGGCGTTCTCACTCATGCTGGCATTCCGCGGTTTCTGAAAACTGTCCGACGGCTTCCCGACGTTTCTGACGGCTCGACGTTTCCGACGGCTTCCCGACGTCTTCCTGACGTTCCCGACGGCTTCCCGACGTTTCCGACGGATTCCCGACGTTTCCGACGGCTTCCCGACGTCTTCCCGACGTCTTCCTGACGTTTCCGACGGGTTCCCGACGGCTTCCCGACGTTTCCGACGGCTTTCCGACGCTCGGGCCCTCGCGGGCCCTCGGTTTGCCTAGTTTTGAGGGCCCAAGCGTTAGCTTCCCGACGTGTTTCCGACGCCAGACCTTGACGCGCGCCGTTCTTATCGGCACTCAACTGGCCCATAAATACAAACTGTGACTCTACGCCATTGCAAGCCAATAGCAGCGCTAGCGCGTAACCAAAGGAATTTTGCACGGCTCATGGGCCTGTCAGCCACACACACGCACAAAAAGTCAGCAACCTTTTGGCAAACACGGGATAACACGGGACTCCCAAGAAGCTGCGACACACCAAACATTTGAAGACACATCACCAGCCCGCAAGTACATCCGAAACAACAGGTAACGCGTTAGCGAGAAGACTGTGGACTCAAGCTGCCCAGCCTTCACCCATAGCGCCTGGCCTTTTTTACAATTATCTGAAAAGCGGAATTTTGTTCTGCGCAGGGGTGTCGTTGCGGCCAGTGGCCAGTTGGGTTTCAGACCTTGTCGCGTGCGCTCAAAACGGGTCTGGGCCCCCGGGGCGTCGAACTGTGAACTGCCAGAGCCCCGGAACGTCGTCAGCAGGGTATTTAGGCCGGACCCTTCCAATGCACATCCCGACCCTTCCAATGCACATACCAAAGAGCCTTAGGGTTAGTTGGTTTAGTGGTTGGCTTCCCGTACTGAACCACCAAGTTAGCAGCTTCTCTCGCTTGCCCTCGTGGGACCTAGAAATTAAGAAAGGGGTTAACAAACATGGACCAACATAGAACAACCAAAAGGTCAAAAGGTCAGTTCTTAACAACTGAGCTTCAGATTGCAATTCATTGGTAACTGAAAAACTGTCCGTCAAATCACCATAGGAATGGTGTTTGCTCAAGATCATTGCTCGGGGATGATTCTTCATGAACTTCAACAATCGTTCTGTCCAAAAAGAAACACGAAACTGCCTTTTGGGGTATGAACAACGAGTACCGGAACCCCTGGAACCGAATCTTCTTTTGAACCCTCCTTCTTTCAGCCGCCCCAAACCACCCCGAGAAATCGCCGACGTCTGGTCCTATGCACCAAATTCATAGCTGAATCAGCTGTTGGTTAAAAAAAGCTGGACAAAGGCATCACTCTCTACGGCTCAGCTTGCCTCGATGCTCAGTTCATCATCCCCGAGGTCTGTGGTCTTGCGCGGCCTCGGCTCAAACCCAATTTTGATCTGGCGGACGGATGCCGACTAGCGAGCCAACTGCGCGAAACGAAACAAGATTCGCACCTTGCTGAAAGCGGACAGGCTAAAAGGTCGCACCGAGGTAAAAGACCGGCTCTGAAGAGAAACATTGGGCGCCAACGTACCCTTGAGAACCCCTGACAATGTTCTAAGACTTACATCCTGAGTGGATTGGACAAAAAGAGTCCAAACTAGTGATTTACCACTGAGATGATTTCTCCAAACATGTTGAAGTCCAGGAACTCAGGGAGTGAGAAGAAGCTTTACTGAGAGGTTGGAGGGCTATGGGCTCTCCCGAGGTTCGGATGCATCAAAGAGCAACCACACGAAGAACACTTAAGCCCCAACCAGTGATTATTGTTTGACAAATTCCCTTTTTTGACGATAAATCAGATTTGGACCATCTCGGTTTGAGGCTGTCTACCCTAACGGGGGGTCCCTTTGATCTTACCCCTTCTCACTTGCACAAAGGACTTGGAAAAAAAAGACATGGACCAACAACCAAAAAAGCAAGGTCGTTTCAGGTCGGTTCGGGACAACTGAGCCTTGCTCGTTCTGCACCCCTAAGCCCTTGGGCTGGAGGGTTCTACGTATTCCCAAAAACACGGGGACCAGTCCAAAAAGGCAAACGTTTCCCCACACCCCACCAGGCTAGACGCAAGAGCTCCTCTGAAGACTTGCCTTGGCTGCGAAGAGCACCGAGCACCCGTTGGAAATCGGGATGGGGGAATGAAGGACTCACTCCGAAAATACCTTCCAACCCTTGGTAGGGCATACGGTAGCAACAAAAACACTGACCTGTTTCTTTTTTGGCAGCCCCCTGCGAAGAATGAACAGGACCAAACAACAACAAACACCCAAAGTGAAGAATAAGAGGTTGCACTTCCTAACATCCCATCCCAGTGCAATGCAGGTGCCGAATCAAGGTGGGAGGGTAATGGTCCAAACCACGAAAAAAAGTGAAACCGACCTTTCTCACTTTTTGAGTGGATCGTCAAACAAAAACAACCTAACCAAACTGTTCCCTTTGCCACTAAAATGGGCCAAACCCATAAAGCAAAAAAGCCAACGGGAAGTCAAGAAGCAATACTCAGGGCGGGTTTGAAATGTGAGATCCTCGCGTGCGGCGAAAACTTGGGCGGAAAGAGGTGCCCTTGGGAGGCCAGATCGATCCCACTCCCGGCTCCCTTTGGCACCGCAGATTGCCCGGTTACCCTCGAACAAAAACGAGCCACCCACATTTCGCCAACCTAGAAAAGTGGTGCCTCTGAGGCATACAATGATCCACCCCATTAGAATGGTAGCACCCGTTCATGTATTGGCTACCTGACCTGGGGCGCCGGCTAGAGAACAGCGCGACGGCCTCATCCGACGCCTGGACATTCCAAAAAAACAACAACAACCTGGATCGCCAGTTGCGATCGCCTATTTCCATCCACTTTACCCCAAACCAGCAACTTGGCTATCTAGGAATGATCCACCAGGATTGGGACAGGCTTGATAGACAAGACGTACATAGCGGTTGGATGGATCCACAAGGGTGGCTTGCCAGGCGTGGTAAGCCCGCGGGCCTCTCGTCGGGGAACGCCCGTGTATCTTCCCGGTTGTAGAGCAAGAGTGCCAAACCACTACAACACATTAGGCACCCCTTTCATTCATAGTGCTGGGAACTGTGGATGGGCGAAACCCTGCACCAGTTGGTCGGTGGTGTGTCCCAGTACCCGTAGATTTTTGTCCATCCAGGGAGTGTACGCAAATGAATCAAATTCCAAGCGCTTTTGGCTTCCGTTTCGGGAAGCTACAACAACTTGACCAGACTTGAACCCCTGCAAAAAGCTACACTTCTTAGGAAGGCAAAACTACGGAAACCCAAAAAGGCAAAGAACGAAAAGGGTAAGCTAAGCCTGGCAATGAAGAGTATTGGCAATATGGACAATATTATTAAAGGGTTCCTTCAAGGTTCCGACCAACAACAACCTACCTTGCAATGATTCGGATCCTGGCTGGTCAAAGCAACTTAACAGGACCAACTGATAATGGACTGTTTCCTTGGTTGCTGGGTGCGACGCAAGGGGGTCTGGAAATTTTGCTTTGGATACATCGTACACGCTGCATTTGCTATGTAGCACCCAGCGCGGTTGGCACGTCGGCGGTCAAGAAAGACTCTGTCATTCCATAATAGCTTCGTACCAACTCTAAAAAACACAAAATCATGGCTTTCCTTTTGATATTCCTTGAACCGCCCCCCCACCCATCCCCCCCTTCCCCCCAAAAAAAGAAATAAGCTCAGGCGATATCCCCAACAGCACATCCTCGCGGAACCCGCCCAGGACCCACCTCACCGCCGGTTTTAGGATGCCGCCTTGTAACCTTATAAAGCAAAGCTATGAGTGACAGTGCAATCGCGCCCTGATCGGGGCCCGACGGCGCAATCGGGTCCCGATTGGGGCCCCGGTTACGATGCAATCGGGCCGTGACCGGGGCCCAAGCGCGTGCAGCCACCTATATTCTAGCTCAACTCCGGTTTTCCTTAGGATGACAACTATGTCTAGCAAAACTAGGCGATGCCAGCTTGGTACAGTTGGCGGGGCCGACTGAGTCGGGCCCCGAATGGGGGCCCGACGGCGCAATCGGGGCCCGATCGGGCGGCGCAATCGCGCCCGGTGAGCCTCGCAAACCGTCCTCGTGGAACTCAGCGTTAAACTTTGTTGGAAGAGTCCCGCAGCAACGTGATCTCATTTCCCACAAAGCCAACATTTCGGGCCGCGTTGTCTGAGCAAGCAAGCAAGTCAACAAGGTGCTGAAAACCATTGATTTCGGTTTTGCTTAATGTTCCGCCAATGAGCAAAGCGATCTTCTGCTCTCAATTTACTGCTCCGATGGCTTTTCACACGGCGGGCGCACGACACATTACTTCCCTCCAGGGCACGAAGCCTTGCAGAACATTTATGGAACCTTTGTGGAACCTTGTGGAGCCCGGACCACCCCGCAGCCCTCGCAGAACCTCGTGGAACGCTGGTGAAAATTCGTGGAACCTTGTCATCGAACCTTACCTCGCAGAACCTGGTGCCTCGTGGAACCTTACCTCAATCCACCCCGAACGACCCCGCAGCCCTCGCAGAACCTGGTGGAACCCTGGTGGAACGTTGGTGGAACTCTGGTGGAACCCTGGTGGAACCCTCGTGGAACCTTACCTCAAACCACCCCGACCACCCCGCAGCCCTTGCAGAACCTGGTAAAACTCTGGTGGAACCCTGGTGGAACCCTCGTGGAACCCTGGTGGAACCCTCGTGGAACCTTACCTCAGGGCTGCCCCGGACCACCCCGGAGCCAACCCGGGCTGAGACCCCAAAGCTTTCAGCTGTTGGGGAATAAATGGCTTTCCTTTTGATATTCATTGAACCCCCCCCCCCTCCGCCCCCTTCCCCCCCCAAAAATAAAAATAAATGTGTTTGTTGTTTTGGGTTTTTTCTTCGGTGGGTTTCCTGAAGCCACCCATTTTGGGGCACCCGCACTCCAAGCGACAGACCCCCCCCAAGTCCCGTCCCACGTCGCCTGGCCGATCTTCACTGGCAGCGCCGCTTGGGAGGCCTAAGCTAGCGGGATCCACAGCTCTGATCCAAATGTCTCACCTGCCCAAAGGACCTGCCCAAATAAATGGTGATCGCCTTTTGGGACCTCTAAAAATAGACCAAGGGAAAACCAAAAGGTCAAAAGGTCGGCTTTGAACAACTGAGATGTGCCTCTTGTCATTAGAGTTAGGCCCAGTTATAGAAAGTGTATTTTACTGGTTGCTTCACTTTGAGTAACTTGTAAAATCGGTAAAATGTATCCTAAGTCTACCCCAGTTGTGTTTGCTTGTGGGCTTCGTCTTCTTGCTGCTCGTTTGTTTTTGTCTTCTTCTTTTTCCTTTTGTTTTCTCGGAGCATGTTTGAGATTGCCGGTTCCTTTTTACTGGGGATGGGGGAGGGAAGCGTTGATTTGCTTGCTTGTTCCATAGGTAAGGAATGAGATATGGAATGGCTCCAAGAAAATCTGCCGGATTTGGCTTTCTGGAATCCCCAAACGGGTCATTCCCAACACCCGGACTCGGTCTTTCCCTACTTAGCACCAGCAAGAAAAGGTCCTCTTGACCATCGCTTGGAAAACCAGGAGAAAAAGACTTGGTGCGATAGGTGGGGAATGACAACGACATGATTAGAGTTTGGCCCAGTTATAGAATGTATATTTTATTGCTTGCTTCACTTTGAGTCAATGGAAAATGAAAAATGTATCCTAAGTCTACCCAGACGAGTCCGGGTGTTGGTAATGCACCGCTTGGGGCTTCCATGCCCACGAATTGCCCAACCGAGCGGCCCATGCATTGAGGGCTAAAACCACCGAGCCGTGCCAAAGTGATGGGCATGCAACCGGCCCCAAGAGGTGATGCTAAAAACAACCCTTGGGGAGTTGTGCAGGGGGGAAATCTTGAAATGTGTGATTGGTTGGGTATGCCCAACTGATTGTTTCTCCCCAAAATCAATCTTGGAGGGTGGTGCACCCCTCACTTCCTGAGTTTGACAAATGCATGCCGCTAAACTAGGCTGTCCTCAGATCCCCTGCTAAACAAAGTTTGACTTATACCACTAAACCCTATAAGGGGCGAACTGGGGGGGTTATCCCAAGACCCGTAAGGGGGTAATAAGGGATAGACTCCCCATAGCCCCCTATCTTGGCCGGAATTAGGACCCCAGCAAAAAAAAGAAGCCTGGTTAGTGGAAAACAAAGGGAACCCCAAAAAAGCAAAAACATATTTAAAACAAATGAACTGATTCTGGGGAAGCTCTAAGGCTAAAATAAAGTAAACTATGTTTTGTTTCTCAACACGTGGAAGACGTCCAACTCTGCGCCCGGCCTCGGTCAACACACTCATTCTTCTGGCCTGCGCGAGATTGGGCCTTTCTGGGCCGCTCAATGGCCAAGGGCCTTCTCTTTTTGGCCTGAGTTTGACTCACTTCCAAACGAGTGTGCTTGGCAAAAAGGGTAACCAAACTTTTGGTTCACCACTAAAATGGTCCGAACCCAAAAGTATTCCGAAACGAAACTCAGGAAGTGAGTTGAAGGGAAGCTCAAAGCATGTTCAAAACAAGATGAAACAAGAGAACAAACCACTCGAGACACTAACTTACATTTACCAACCTAGGAGAACCTCAGCCCAATGCTGCGACCAGGGGTCGCAATCTTCTTTTTGTAGCCCCTGTTCGGCTGAGCTTGTGAATCAATACGCGGAACTACCATTGCGCTACGAAACAAAGCCCACGTAAGCCTGCTTACCTGCATTGGTGACTGGAAGCACTGGGAAAGGATCCATTTTGTTCAATGCCCACCCCGGACAGGACGGAGATGCGGTACAACTCAGCTGGGTGTCCTTTCTTGAGGGTACCCTTTCCGTGGTTAGTTAAAGGGTAACCAAGTGGAAACAGTTTGTCGGGCCCTACTTGGAGGCAAACTGAGTAGTCAAGGAGACCAAGCAATGTCAAACTTGGATTCGCCGCGAACACATTAATACATGTTGACAAAGCAAACCACCTGGCTGTGCCAAAATTGCAGGCCCCTCCGTCGAATCCATGCTATTTCAGGAAACCTCTGATCCTCACTTCCAGTGGAGTACTGGATTGGCCAGAACAGGTCCCTCCTTTTATTTACCAAATCTGGTCGCCCCAGATTAAAGTTAAAGTCCAGGAACTCAGGGAGTGAGTTTTGGACCTTCTAGGAAAACAACTAGTTCACTACCAAGATCACTCAAACGAATACTTCCTGCATGCTTACGTAGGTCACAGCCATAGGATGTCCATACGCCCTGAAAAAGGGATTCCAAGTCAACCTCTTGGACGCTCTTTGGGTTTGGGGTCATTCGATTAAAAAAAAAAAAAACGAGCCCCCGTACGGACCCCACAATCCTCCGAGACTTTTTTCTGTGCCCAGCCTTCCAAATGGAGGTCAAACAGTTGCGTGCGTGTCAAAGCAATGGGGGACTTATTGAACATTTTGTGGTTCCGATTGGTTTCCGTTCAACACCGAATCCCCAAAACTTTACCCCAAGCAAACAAACCCACAACCCTCCTCCCCCCCTCCCCCCCCAACCCTTTCCCCCCGCCCCCAACCCCCAACCCTCCCCCCCCCTCCTCCCCAAAGCACACCCACTCAACTCCCGGCCTCTCCCATCCTTCCCCGCTGCCGCGGCCGAAAGCCGATCCGGCTGCAGATTTGGAGCTGATAGCACACCAGGGTACACTTGTTGGAGTTCTTTCTAAGTAGAGAGGCTAGAATAAGGGTACCCTTTTTCTGTAGTCTATTTTAGTAGGGGAACCCTCGCCCAACAAAGGGTAAAGATGGGTAAACTCTATTTTTGCAGGGGAACCCTCCCCCAACAAAGGGTAAAAGGGCACTACTTGACTACTTGGGGACCTAGCTTTGAAAGGGAAACCAAAAGGATACAAACTCTTCTTTGGTGTTGATCCCTTGTTTTAAGACACCCGCTTGTTTGTTGCTTTGCTTTCCGTTTAGATATGTAGATATATATCTATGTATAAATCAATTTAGATGTGTCTATTTTGGGGGGAGCCTGCAGGTTCGGGGTGGAGACAAGGTTGTCAGGGAAAAAAGAAGCCAAGGTTTCTCTCCCAATCATGACTTCATTCAGTTGTTGAAATACTACTTTGGGCCGTACGGTGCCCATGCTACTGGGAACGTGGGGGTCCGGTTTTCATTGTTGTATTGACCATGTGCCCACGTGAAATGCATAAGAAAGGACAAGACATGTATTTAAACAGTGACTACAGTCCGAAACGGAACTCACAAAAAAACATATGGGTATGCATTTTCTAGAAATCGGACCACAAAAAAGGGTGGTTGTCCTTTTGGCTGCCCTTTTCACCGAAAACGGGGTATCGGGCCTCAAAATAGATAAGACTCCACTTAGAAAGAAAGGGGTCGCGCAAGCCGCTGTGTCCACGTGACATTCTACCGTGGATGGTTGTGAAATCCATTTCGCACCACCTAAGAAACCCAAAGGAATGATTGGATTCACTGGTAAATACCAACAAACGTTAGGTTTTCAATCCCATGGTTTCATTTCGGTGCGAGAAGCACCACAGTAGCTGTGCTGTGGTCCTGCTCAAAGTTTAACTTGTAGGTTAAACAAACACCTCTAAAGCTAAGGGGATGGCTGGGAGACACCAAGAAACCATTCGGGGCAGCTTGCATCTTGTTTTGCGGAAAATACCCAAGACCCCTCCTCTTTTCTGGGGCGGAAATTTCAAAGGCGGCAACCAGAGGTCTCCCCCGCCGCAGGACAGGGACCAAAACTTTCAATTAAGGGCTCCTCGTGGCCAACCGATTTCTGCTTGGCTTACATTGGTTCACCTTCCGGCATTGAAACAGCACAGGGTTCCCGAGAGATCCCCTAAATACCGCCCAAAAAGGCAACTCTTTTTCTCACAAGCACCAAGAAAGTCTCTGCTAACAAAAGGAAACTCACTTAACAATTTCATTGGTAATGGCTTTCAGCCCGCCTTGAAACCAAATGGACAAATACAGCTACCATGTCCTTAGAGGCCGAGCGCTAGCTTCGAGCGCGGCCCCCTCTTTCAAAGCAAGTTTGGCGACCGGGATAACCCCAGCTCCCTTCGTCCCGATAGAAAACAATCCTTTCTGGTTTCCTTTAAGGGGCCAAAGCCTGGCTTCATTCCAATTATCATTCCCCACCCATCGCACCAGCAAAAAAAAGGCTTCCCCCAACTCCTCTGCTCCCCTCAAACCACCAGCACGAAATAGCTTGTTGGTGCTCAAGACGCAATGAGGGAATGACCCTTCTAAACCATCCTACTGGTAGTTTCCTTCAAGGGAAGCCCTGGGTTCATTCCAATTCTCATTCCCTACCGATGTCGCACCAGCGAGCCCAACTTCCGCACGCTTCCGCTTCTCTTTCCCCCGCTGGAGCTCAATGGCGGCCCCAGAGCTCCGCCTGGCAGCTCGAATCGGATCGATCCGGCCATCCCACAAATCCTGGTGCTTGTTGCGGGGAAAACGACGAAAGGCGCGGATGTCCGATTTCCGGCTTCGGTGGATTTCCGGTGGGTCCCGGAGGAACTTTAGCGGATTTCAGGTGGGTTTTGGTGGATGTCCGATTTCGTGTGGATCCTGGCCGGTTTGTCTGTTTTGGTCACGTCACTTTTGGCCGGAGGGGGGAAAGGGTGAGATCATCTTGTTGGAGGTGAAAGATGGGAATCCAAAATAGCAGTCGCTTCGCTTTGGGCAACTGAGTCAATAGGCCCTAAGACCTCGTGCTATATGCTTGAGGTCCCAAATTGACATCACGCCACCCGCTTTCTCTTACCAGTTGCTTTTGCTAAGCTTATCTGTTGTCATACTTTGAGGGGTGGCGCAGGATACTCAGGGCCTGGGTTGGCCTAACATCTTGGAGTTTGGAAAATCGGGGCTGTGACAAGGTGCCCTAAGGGTCATGCCCCTCCATGGATTCAAACCCTCCGCCCCAATGGGCCCAATGGGCCATGAGCTCACGGCAGCGCCGGGAAACTACCCATTTCGAGGGCCCGGCCTGGAGATGCGCGGGCGTGCACGGGCCAAAAAAACAAAGCCCAAAGCCCGAAGCTCGGGGTGTGTTCTTGCAATCGTGAGTCATCCCTATGACTACTGGGCCCTCCACTAGAGAGGTTAGAAGGGTACCCGATTTGGTTTGTTTAATCTGTAGTCTATCTTAGTAGGGGAACCCTCTCAACCAAAGCAAGGGCTAGTGGGGGACCTAGCCAAAAGCCCGCAGCTGAGGATGGTGTCTGCATCCCTACGACCAGTTTGCAACCTTTTTTGTCACAGAAAGTTACCCCTGAGCGGCGAAATCCTGCATAGGGAGCCCATGAGAAGTTCTTAGTCCTATCTTAGAGAGGTTCTGATCGAAGTTTTCTGGAAACAATTCTGGAGAGCTTGGGTTGCAGGTCCTACCGTCCTGCTTGACTGCAGCTATGCTTCGTCTGTTTGATTCCGGGGTCCCTCTCAAAGGGACAAGGGATCTCTCTAGGTATGCGCCTTATCAAAAGCCAACTCAGCTGGAGAGTCTTCGCAAGAGGTCTTGGGGACCTACGGGCCTTTGTCGCTGTTTTCCCGGGATTGGGGAATCGGCTGTCGGGACCCGCATCAAGGGAGTCCCTGTATTTGGGGGCGGTCGAAAGTCGATAATTGTTGATCTTTACCGGGGCTGTCCTCAGATCCCCTACTAGGGAACCACCAAGTTTAGGAGAGCCTCTGCATTTTCCACCAGGAAAGGAGCGGCCTGGAGCTATAAGTCACACACAGCCCGTTCCAGGACTCTTCACCGTCACGCCATTCTCCAAGTACTCCGTGGCGCGGCGCACGCTCCGCGCTCCGCGAAAGGCGGCGCTGCGGCAACGGCATGCGACTGCGCTGAGGCTTGGCGATGGCCGACCACCGCTCTTGGTTGCTGTTGACCCCCCTGCAAAAAGTTTAACGTTTTGGGGGGTTCGTGGAAAACCCCTTGATTTCCCCAAAAAGTTAAAGTCTAAAGATCCAACCCAATAGCAGCAAAGTGCTTGACCCAGTTGGAGCCCCGTGCCAACCCCGCCTCCCGCTTGGCTTTCTCGGGGTCTGGCCTCAATTAAGACCCAGCACCCCAGGGCCCCAAGGTTGCGCGGTGGATCCCCAAAACAAGATGCCCTCCAAGGCTCTGGGGGGAGAACAAACTACCAGGGTTCCAGAAAGGATGCATCCCAAAAAGCACTTGCATCCGCTCTAAAAAGTAGTCTCCCTTACGTGACCCAAAGCAATCTCCCTTAAGTGCCCCTACCCATTGGAGGGATTGCGAAGCTCCCAGAACATCCACTGCCGCAGAATGCTTTTGGGGGAGCCCCCGAAAATTGGGGTTTTCCGTTTGGTTTCCTTTCAACGCCACCCTCAAAAAGGACACCCTAATTAAACGCCGGCAGCCCAAAAGACCTGTGACTCAACTTCCGAAAGGCTAGGCCCACCCGTTGGCCAGGCGCTTCCCCAAACCTAAATCCAAGAAAGCTGCAGGAAGCTGTTTTTTTTTGTTTGGGGGGTGGGGCGTATTTGGAGCCAAAAGCAACCTCCTGACTTTCCTGTAGCTGGCTTCTGTGACTAAAGGTAACCCAACTCTGGGCGCCTCTCGGTGGTTCTGCAGCCAAGTCTGGAGTCCAGAGGCCCCACCCCGAGAATCCCATACCCACGACCAACTTGGTTCCTGTAAGAACCCCTCTGCAACAAGTTTAACTTTCGTGGGTTTGGTGGACAACTCCTTGATTTCCCAACAGGTTTAAAGTCTAAAGATCGAGTCCACGAGCAGTCACGACCAAGGTGCCATCTCCAAGCTTGTTATTTACCACGAACGCCGTCCGCCCCGAAAAGCCTCAAGCCTGGGAACTCAGGCGATCGAACCACACGCAGCGGTCAAATCAAAGGAGTCTCCCTCCGCAAACTCTCCATTGCAGAGGTGTCTCTGGAAAGTGTCAGCACATCACAAAGGCGTAAGCATTTGAGGTGTGGCACCCCAGTTTGAACGCCAGCTGGCCATGATTCCACGATGGGTCTTAGCAAATTAAAGCAAAGGCAGGTCCCTGGCCTGGGTTCCTTTCAAGAGGACACCATCCCCTCACTAGGTTGCTTCATGCGGGCCGCAGCCTCTGCAAAAAACGGGACGGCCCCCCGATGCACCTGTTTTTCCTGACAAGTACCTACGAGAAAAAACAAAAAAACTTTCGGACTTCCGCAAGTGAATTCTGGAAGTTCGCTCCGCCCCCAACGCCGACGCCCAGGGGCGTCTCGGGTTCCCGGCGTGCCCGCCAGGAGGAGGTGCGAGATCTGCACAGCTCGTCGCTCCTCCTTGGACAGGTTCGGGTGCCAGAAGCGCAGCACCTCGGCGTCCAACTCCAAAAAAACTGGGCTGCCCTCAGATCCCCCGCTAAAAGTGACTAACTCTTAGTGGGCTACATTTTAAATAGAACGCACCACTAAACACTGAAAGGCTAAAAAGCTAAGGGGATGGCTGGGAGCCACCAAGAAAAGGTTTGGTTCTCTGGGCTGTCCGTTTGCAGATCGCTAAAAGTTTAGCAGGGCTTCTCCAACTTTCCGGTGTTTCCCTAAAAAATGCAACCAACCTTTGTATGATAGCAAACAGCTTTGTTTTGTTGCAGCCCCCCACCAAGAACAAAAAACGTGCCATCAACAGCGAAGCGTCCCGCCGACAAAAAAGCCAGCCGACCAATACTTTTGGGCTGTTCAAATCTCCGTTTTTTGTTGGAACCCCCTGGTTCTGGATAAATGGGAAGCCACCCCGCATCTCCAAACCAGACTCCAAACCAAGCCACCCCGCTCTTTTGGGTGTTCCTTCTATCACCTGATGGGTACCACAACACATTTGGAGCCTGGTGGCTTGGAGGTGTTCCGAGCTGGTTTCCCATTTGGCCTCCACAAGAGCAGGTACTTGAGCACTTCGGCTCTATGGGGCAAACCAAACTAGGTCCTCCAGTAGAGAGGTTAGAATAAGGGTGCCAACTTGTTTTTCGGTCTATTTTACTAGGGGAACCCTCCCCAAAAAAAGGGGTGAGAAAGGGCACCTGGCTGGGGGGACCTAGCAAAAATGATGGATTTTTCGCCATTTACCAAGGACTTGGATTCAGGCTTCCTTGCTCCAAGGGTCCAAACCAAAGGATGTAGTGGAAATCTAGGGGCTCCTGCCTCTTCCAAAAATCATGTTCATTCCTCAAGAGGGGTGAAAGGTTGGGGGGAGTCAAAACTCCAAACGATCCACGTTCTTTGGGGGGGGGAGGGGATCAACCATTGCATGTTGTGCCTTCTTTTTGTGGAAGGGGAGACGAGACGTCACACCCATCAGATTCGGAGCTCCAGCGACCCTGGCAAACTCACACTCGAGGCACCCAATGTTGCACCCGCAACCTTGCTAAATCTTCAGGCTGGGGTGGGTGGGTGTCTCAATCCAGGACATGGACCCATTGAACAGCATCTGTGGTTTCTCCTGGTGTGGAGCCTCTCTGTTTGCCAACTAGCCACTCATGATTGTGCTGGCGTTCTGTACTTTTGCCCAGTTGCTCAGTGATTCGGAAGGTAGAAAAAGGGAACCATCTGACGAACTTTCCTTTCCGAAGCCATCAAAGCGAAAACAGTTGGTGTCAGTGAACACGTGAGACACATGGCCGCAGGTTGTTGTTGCCCTGCTGTATTGCAAGTAAACCAACCAGGCTTTGCAACAGCTTCCGGAACATCCCTTTACCGCATGTCCCTTGTACTCAAGGGAAGTTGCACGGGAACCGCCCCTTTATCTGGGGTGTATCTTCAACATGGCGAACACCTCCCCGTTTAGGCTGTCACAAGGAAACCAACGGAAACCAACATGTTTCAGCTGAGCTTGTCCACTGGCCCTGACAAGGAATGTTGTCATTTTCAGGTCACGAGATGCGGAACAACAGGCCTGTTTCTACTCAAGGTCAAGAGCGAGCACCGTGGAACGCATTCCACTGGCACTCCTGCAGGATTGATCATTGCGTAGCTGGAGTCATACATGTCTGACAGCTTCAGCTCCCAGGAAGCAACTGGAAAATCCGCCACATTCTCGTGCACCACGATGTCTGGCTGTGATTGCCGAACTACTCTTCAAGAGTATGACGAGGAACGCAACTGTTTGGCCGGCCACTTTCATGCCTCCGAACTTCGAGTAGTCCGGAGGAGATGGCACAACTCCCACTACGTGGAGGATGGCAACTTGGGGTACCCGAAAACTTGTTGCAGGTCGGTCTCACCACCACCCACGCGCCAAGGCGTTTAGTGGCTCAATGGCAACCAAATTGAGGCTGTACCCTCCAACTAACATGGCAACTGAAAGAGGCTCCCTTCAAAAGGAAATGAATCCAGGTACCTCCCCACAGATGCTAGGTCCTGTAGAGAGGTTAGAATACGGGTACCACTTTTGTTCAGGACATCTATTCTTGTAGAAAAACCCTTTTAACCAAAAAAGGGTTCAAGAAAGCACCTAACTGGGGGACCAAAACTTCGCACACGAAAAGGGAAAAACCGGCCGATTCCACCCATTGGTTTCCACCGCCTGACCCTCCAAGCAAGACCTTTCTATTTTCGGAGTCTTCTTCCGACGAAGCAGAAGACGCGGGTGGGGGTTTGGGGGAAGGGTTTGGATCAGAGCAACAAATAGACGAATGTTGCTTTGCGCATTTGCGAGTTCAAACTGCCCCAAAGCGGCCGCTCCGCCGTCCTGGGGCTGCCGCCAACACATAGCGACTCCTCGAGGAGTCGTTGGTTGCCTTGGCCAAAAGCAAAGATCCAGGAAGGGATGCAACAGAGTCCTTTAAAGCTGCATAAAAGCACCTTTACAAGGGGATCCTCTCTAAATATGCTGGCAAAAGTGATGTTGTAACTGGCCCAAATGTATCCTTTCGGGAACCCCTCTTCGCCTTCCCAACGTTGAGTACTCCACGGTTGCCTTCCCTGGAGGTTGATAAATGGCTGGTTGATGATGATGAGGGTGGTGTCCTTTTTCTTGAGAGGGAACCATCCCGCTATGAATCCAACCGTGTTGACTACTTCTGGACTTCTGCCCCCCCCATACACTGTTTCCGGGGTATTCCCTTTGTTGGGCACGTTCCTCTCGTTCCATTACTTCCTTGGTGAGATTGAAAAAAATCCCTCCGCACGCACGCACCCGGTCGCCCCGAACTCCCGAACTCCGTGTCCCGAGACCCAGGCCGAATGAATGAAGGTGGTGTCAAAGACGAACGCCTTGGATTTCAAACACTCGCCCTCGCAGCTCCCAGCTCCCAAGGTGTTTGAGACATCCAGACCGCGGCACATGATATGACTACACCAGCAATTCGCGGGTTTACACACCTGGTTCTGACATGGAGATTGCCCTCACTCCCTCTAGCATGGCACCTGACCGGTGGTTTCTTTAAGAGGAAACGAATCTTCTAGGTACCCTCCCGCAGCTGCTACGTTAGTGGGAGGGAGGGTAATTACCCCATGTTGAGAAATAAGTTGAAGGAAACTCAAAGGGCAAGCAAGTTTCGAGATCCGCGCGGTTTGAGGAACCCTCCTCAAAAGGCCTTTCTGGCGGGAAACCGAATGGACGCCTTTCCCGTCCGAAGACTTCCCCTGGAGAAAACCCGACCCCGGCCCAGTTTGATCCGCTGTTCCGTTGCATGGCCCCGTCTCCCCTCAAAAAAAAAACTCAAAGGGCCTTTAAAAAATGAGATCCCTGAAGTCAGCGGCTTGTACCGATCCATGCACCCCGTGAAACAAAAAAAACACATAAAGAAAGCAACAAGCAGGATTGGATCGATCGAGTCCCTATTCCCCCTGGTCTTGGAGACCAGGTAAGGCAATGAACACCTACACTCCTAGCGGGGGCATGTACAGTTAAAATGGCCTCCCCTACACCCATCCAAAATGGCTTGCCCTACCCCCAAACCACTACAAGGGGAACATTAGTGGATATATGGCGGCTGTAGATACCACTAACCCCCTAAAACAGTGATTTGTGGATAGTGGAAACCACCCGAAAATTAAGTTTTTCAATTAAGGTAGTGAACAGTGCCGGCCTGGTACTTGACAACACCTAAGAGGGGTGGTCAAAATCATTGACCCAAATGCCTTGGGGGGGGGGGGCCCACTATGGTTGACTAACTAGCCTTTACATGGGGTCTCTCGGTTTCACGGCCAGCTCTTGCGAGATGCAGTTCAGAACAACTTGACTAAAACTGGACTAAATCTGGACACCAAAGGGTCAAGAGTCGCGTCCCGGTGGATGACTGAGAAACCAGGGTTTGCATTCTTCTATTTGCTTAAGCCCCATGGAAAAACACACATATTTCCAGAAGTGACAAGTCCCCTCTAAAAACCAACTAAGAAATCAGGGATCCTTACATTATACACCTGAACATTGCCTTGTAAATTGTGGTTTCCCTGTATTTTGGTGTTGAAAAAGCCATGTTTCAAATGGTGGCAAAATGTATGTTTTAAGGAGCCCTGGAAATGTTCGTAAGCAAATGGAAGGATTGAAGAACCCGCCGGGTTTCTGGTGGCTATGCTCATCGCCCGCGCCTGCCCTTCTTCCCAGTCTCGCTTGCGTTGCCCTGCGGCAGCGTCATGCCAGATCGAGATGTTTCGGATTCGCCGTTTGACCCGCCTGCCCACGGATTGCCATGTGTGTGTGTTTTACAACCACCTGACGGGGGGTGGTGTCTGATAATATCCCTTTTGGCTTCCTTTTAAAACTGTAATAATTACTCGGTTGCTTTCTGCTCCCCTGCTAAAAGTTCAACTTTTAGTGGTTTAGTGGAAAACCCATTAGTTGGCAAAAAGTTAAAGTCCTAACAGCCAAGCAAAATGCACCAAAGAGTTGGCCAGGCACTGCTCTCATTGAGCTCGAGATCTAAGCCCGCCATGTGGGGCACGAAGCGCACGGCCGGGCGGAACCCAAATGCAACCTGCCTGCCAACCTCTATGACCGACAAGACGGGATGATTTGAGGTAAACTGACCAACTTGTGGCGTCTGCACTGCTAGATGCTTGTGTGGTCAGTAAGGGTACCCGTTGCCTAACGCGCCCTTGGCAAAACTCAAACATGTAGCCATGGGTCAAGATCCCGTACCAGTGAACATCCCAATCCCCACTAAAATAGACGAAAATGGGTGGTACACCTACCCCAAGATGGTACTATTGGTTTTGGCCCACAGCCATGTGACTAGTGAAAGCTAGGTTGCTCCCTCTCCCCCCCGAACAAGACACATGGTCACGATCCACCTTTCGAAGGTTTAGCTTCGCGGCTTAGCTCTTCTTCTGGACGGTCCGGTCGCGCCAAAAAACAAGCCACGTAATGTAACGACCCCGCATTTTAAACCCGTTCTGCTAATCAAGGGGCGGTCCCCTCCAAAAGTGGCCTGAATCCCGACTTAAAAGAAAACAGCCACCTGAGAAACCCGGGAATCATGATTCCCCAACGTAAATACCAACCAACACTGGCTTCAACTGTGGCTTCAACGTGGTGCGTTGGATGGATTCGTAACCAGCCACACTATTGGCCAAACAGGGCTTACTACCATCTCCTGGCAGGACCTTAGCCTCCCTCTTTGCTAGGCTGGAATTAGGACCCCAGCAAAAACATATCCTTTTTGCCTGGGTAGTGGAAAACAAAGGGACCCCCAAAAAAGCAAAAAAAAGAAGAGAAAAAAAGGAGCTAATTCTGGGGAAGTTTAAAGGCAAATCCCTAACGGCTCCCTTCCAACCACCAACCTTTTGATTCATCCGGGGTTCCCATCAAATGAGATGCTGACCTGTGGAGAGCGCTCAACCCGCCCGAAGCCGCCCGAATCCCGAAGCCTCGCCTACTTGCAGCGAGCACTTGCCCTGCTCCAGCCTGTCGCTAGGCTTCGCACTGGCTGCCACGTCTACGTGTGACTTGCACCCCCTGCTTAAAGCTGCCTTGGTTGTTGGTTGAAAGGGGACATAACGAAAACACAAAAGGGCAACAAAGAAAAAACATGTGTGGGTTTAGTCTGGCAATGATCCTTTTGACATGCAAATATATCCAACTGGTCAATCATATTCATACGAGACCCCATTTGAGTTCCCGTTGAATTCCCGCTGTACCTTCCCCATCGGCCAAACGCCTCATAAAACGATGTCTAGAGGGAAAGATGGGTGAAGTGAATGGAGAATCACCCTGAGAACCCTGACTTTGGCAGCACCAAGCGGCCAGTATCAGCTGGGCTTGCCAACGCCAGCATTCAGGTTAATGTATCTAACAAACACGGTTGATGTTCAATAGCGCGTGTTGTGTAGTCATGCTACTGATCTCACTTCCTGAGAGGACTTGCCACCAAAAGCTCAAACTTGTTGCTTGCCACTAAAACGCGCTTCCCGAAAAGTATGAAGTCCGAAACGGAATGCAGGAAGTGAGGGGCAATTCTTGATAGTAAACCGCCCAAGCACTTTCCTGTTCCAGTTGGTCGGATCGGATTCGGTAAGTGGTGCTACTTGGGTGTGTCTCAGGTAGGCCCAGGGTTTTCTTTGGTTTCCTTTCAAAACGGCTTCCAAAAAGTGGCCCCCTATTTGGAGAAACCCGCAAGGTAATCCGGAAGTTAGGTTCTTGGCAATCCATCGGGCCCCAGTTCAGCCCTGCAAAGCCTTGTCTCAGCTGCACCTGACATGGCCCCCTAACTAGCCCCTATTGGAATTGGGAGGCCCATGCGGGGTCCTGAACAACCATAAAACAATTGAGCCCATGACTGAACATGGACCAAAAGGTCCAAAAGGTCTCGCAAAGAAACCTACCTACCCAGTTGCTAGTTCGGCGTCTTCGTGGCCGCGCCCGCTGATCTTCTCCGAAAATGCGGATCGTTGGTCCGACTCTTGTTGGTATTTGACTCCCCTCCCCTGCTGGTTGAATGGAGAACCCATGAGCTGGAAAAAGTTAAAGTCCTAACATCCCTTGGCAAAATGCACCAAAGTTTTGGCTGGAGGGGAACCCGGGATCCGCCATCCCCTGCTTGATTCTTAGGGGAACCCACTTAATTGGTCCAATTTAGCCATAGCACACATGCAAGAGATTAGGCAGGACGACTCACCAGGGCTCCGCGCAGCAAGCCCAGGTGGAGGGTCAAGATCTGAGGCGTTTCTTCGCACATGGTCACGGCTCACATGACGAGTCCACATGGGTCTGAAAATACGGGACGCAAAGTACAATGGTTCCTTTCCGATTGGTTTCCCTTGAAGAAACCACTCTACAAGAGGTAATAAGAAGCACCTAGATAGCCAAGTTGCTGTTTTCTTCAGTCACTGTTGCTGGTTTTTGTGGTAAAGTAGATGAAAAAGAAAAGCGATCGCCACTGGCGACCCAGGCACCTAACGTTGAAAAGTCAACGAAAAAAATAATGGGCTCCGGGCGTAATTCTGGTTGTCCGAGTGCTCCAGAATCTTGGTCTTCGGCGGCCTGGGGAATCAGTCTGGACACGTTGCTGGAAAACTTTCTGGCTGTCTCTAAAAAAATCGGATTCGGACCCCCCCCAAAAAAAAAACTGATTTTCCAACCAACCTGGCTGAAACTTTCCGGGCGCGTATTACAATAGGATTTGGACCCCCCCCCTCAAAAAATAAGCCCAGGTGGTATCCCCAACTGCCCCACAACCCCTCAAACCCTCCGAAACCCTCCCTGACAGCTGCCCCAAACCACCCCTTATTGCCTGTTTGGGCCTGTTGACCCCATAGCTTTCAGCTGTTGGGAAAAATGGTCTGTGTGTATGCGTGTATGTGTGTCTGTGGGTGGGCGTGTGGGTGTGGGTGTGGGTGTGGGTGTGGGTGTGGGTGTGGGTGTGCGGTTTCCTTTGGCTCCGTTGGTTCCCGGAAAAGAGCCTGCGCGAGTCCGTGCCCGGCTTGGCTCAAAGGGAAACAACCCAACCCAAGGGCAAACAATCCAGTCAACACGAGTGGAAACTGGAAACTTCTGGGAAAAGGGGGGGGGGTGAGGGCACACCCAGTCAGCCAAAGGGGCACAGTCCTGGTTGGGGGGGGCTTGTTTTCCCTGTCGCTTTCGAGAGGGGTCATTAAGGGATTCAAGGGATGCCAAAACGAGACCCATCGTTGTGCTTGTGTTCAAGCCTAGGATCTTAACATCACATCCTACTGAACGCTGTCCCATTCTTGGGGTGTCCCCGCAATCTGATGTGGAAGTTCGTGAAAAACCAGCCCCGAATTGGCTTCCTGTAAGGGAATTCCCGAAACGGTTTGATTCCCAACACCCGGATTTGTCGGAACGCCGTTTCCTTTCGCAGGCAAACCCTCCGGCCAGCTGACTAGGTCCTCCAGTAGGTACCTTTTTTGTTGTTTTCCTGTTGTCTATTTTAGTAGGGGAACCCTCCCCAAAAAAAAGGGGTGAAAGGGCGCTGCTGGGGGACCAAGCTGAGGACGGAAGGCCACGAGAAAGATCGGGGCCCGCGCATCTGGGCGAAGAAAATCTCAAAGGGCTGGACTGACAGCCTGCGACGGGCCAACTCCCTCAGCCCTCAGCCGAGGCCCTGGTTGGGAGAAGGTGGTCTCCTCTCTGGGCCCAGGACTGAAAATATAAAACCTTTCAAATGGGAAACCAAAAACCTTTGAAGATACAACACCCCAAATGGGACACCAAAAAACCATTGAAGATACAAAAGCCCAAAATGGGAAACCAACAAAGGTCAAGGCCAATTCGCTTTGGACCAGTGAGCTTCACGATGACCCTCCCGGCCAGAAGATGCGGATGACGCGACTTCCCCTGCTTTTGCTTCCCTTGGTTTTGGTTGCATGTTGTTTTTGTTCATCTTTTTGTTTCTGTTGTCTGTTCTTGTTTTGCTTTTTGTCGGGGGTAGGAGGCTGCAGAAAGAAAAGCAATCTGGCATCCCAAGGGCTGGGAAGTTGAGACAATGACAAAAATGGCGTGCGACCCTCGCTCTGAGAAGACCAAACTCATCACATGAAGGATGAAGCGGCACTCTGGAGAAGTGTCAGTCGAACCTTGGTGTTTCTGGGCTGTCCTCAGATCCCGAAGGCTAAGTAAATGGGAAGCCACCAAATAGATGCTTCCCCTGCCCAAGTCCAACCTCAGCGATGGTCCACAAGTAACCTTACCCCTTCCTTCCACTAACATAGGATGCACCTGGAAAATCAGTTTCCTCTTGGAGGGACCCCCTGTCAGGTGCCATGTTGGTGAGAGAGAGGGTCAAAGTTAAAGCAAATTCCAAAGAGACCCCGCCCAAGACTGACACGCACGCATGTTCTCGTCTGCTGGGCAGGTCGAGCAGCTGAGTGAAACCTTGCAAATCCCGCGCAAGTCTCCTGAAAGCTTCGGCTTGACCACCATCTTAGACCTCTAACTTCCGGAGCTGGCGATGAGATGAAACTCAAATCGGATCACCGAAGAATGGGTCGAACTCGCGGTTGTCCGGACCCACCGTGTACCCCGAAAACATCGCCACCTCTGGCACCTTTGGCGCGATGTTCTTGGCTTCCTCCGGGGTTTGAGCGGTTGGGGGGGGGGGGGAAAGGGGGGCCTTGCTGAAAGATGCTAGTGTGGAGCAATGAGCTCTTTGCCCAAATGACCTGGGAATAAAAGCTGATCACCTTTGGGGACCTTTGCTAAAACTAGTCCAACAAGGAGAAGCCAAAAGATGAAGAAGTCGGCTTTGGGCAAGTGAGAGTCAGCATGCCCAACCAATAAGTGCAGCTAACACACACAGGAAATGAGGTCCGCCGCAGTTGGGGGTCCATCTGCGAACTGCTTCATCTGGAGGCTACGGAGGCCTTCCTTTTGCAGCGCCTTCCCTTCCGCCAGCAAAGATACAACAGGGCTCCCTATATTTCCCCTTAAAACATCACCCCCACCAAGGGATACTCACCTTTCATGGGCCAAAAAGGCGATGTTTAAAACAGCCAAAAAGGGAAATATAGGGACCCCTGTGCAAGGGCCTTCCTGTTGACGCATAGTCAGAACTGGGGTTTGGGGCCCGGTTGCTATGGCACCAAATTAAATAAGTCACGGGAAAACGTTAGTAATTACCAACCCCTTCTATGGGCCCCCTGCAAGTGGGAGATTCCTCGGCAGATGACGCCTTTTTGATTCCATGTCCATCGGGTGAGCACTGGATGTCCCCTTCAAAGCTGATGAATTTTAGGCTGGTTTCCCTTAAAACTGCCACTTCTGGAGGTTCCAACAGAGAAATGGAGGAAACCCCGTTTTAAGGGGCCAGAGGGTCGCTTGAGTTTTGCCACCGACCCAGTCCTCCAAAGATTTCAAGGAAGCGTTCTGCCTCGGTCGTGCCATGGGATTCCGTGCCAAGGGTGGCTTCGGTGTTCATGCTTGCTTCCCTTTAACAACTAGGTCCTCCAGTAGAGAGGTTAGAATAAGGGTACCTTGTTTTTTTCTGTAGTCTATTTTAGTAGGGAAACCCTCCCCCAAAAAAGGGGTGAGAAAGGGCACCTAGCTGGGGGACCTAGACAACCAAAAAAGGAGGTACCAACTCCACAAGACCCCTTCTCCAAATACCCTCTTTTTTAGGGCATGATGTCGACCCTCTACTAAAAAAGGAGGTATTTCCCATGGAAAACCGTGCTTTTTTCCAAACATACAATTAAACATGGATGTTTGGGAGTAGGGTCTTTGCGCCCCCGCGGACTTCAGGGTGCTTTGCCTTACAAGACACGTGACTTGTGGATGCGTTGGTTGCGCGTTGCCGCGTGGGCCCTCCGGCTGAGAGTCCAGCAGCGTCAGTTTGCTTTGGGACTTGCGCAAGACATAAAACTGTCTGAGTCCAACAGGGATCCTTACATGACAACACCTGAACATTGCAACTTGTCAATGGTGGCTTCCCTTTATTTTGGTGGAAAAAGCCATGTTTCAATTGGTTGCAAAATGTATCTTTTAAGGAGCCCTGTCCAAACCGGTGGCAATCCTCAATGACATAGGACAACGGAGGAGTCCCCCTCTAGTTTCGTTGTGGACATTTGGTGTAGCGAGTCCCTCACTTCCTGAGTGGATTGGTAAAAACAAGTCAAACTTTTCTTTACCAACATTTTGGTCTTCCCAAAATCTTTAAAGTCCAGGAACTCAGGAAGTGAGGTCCCTCCCAAACTTGACCATGGAGGAATCAATGTTGACCGACCATCATCTGCCTCGCCTTCTGGCTTCGGGTTAGGGTGCCGGCTAGATTTCGGTAGACAACAAATGCGGGATTGCCTTTTTGGATGGGTACGCTTTTTGTCGATGTTTACATGGAACACCAAAAACACACCAGCCTATTGTGGAGTTCCGATTCCTGATTTTTTGAGAATCCCATTTTCCCTCAGATACTGGGCTGCCCGCATAAACACTAAAAGGCTATATAAATCGCTAAGGGCATGGCTGGGAGCCGCCGAGGATATGTTCCCCTCATTTCTGATTATGAAAAACATCGAAGCCCTCTGAAGCCCTCTGAAGCTCCCTGAGATATATTCCCCTCATTTCTGGTGCTGAAATCGGGCAAAGTACACACATCTCGGCAACCGGCAAGACCAATCTTGGCCCCTTGAACCGGAAATAGAGAAACCACTGAGCAATCTAAAACCATGTTAGTGAATAACCCAAAACATAACCTTGATCTTCCAGGACCCTGAACAAGCAGGTCCCTGGCTGAATGTCTAACTGAAAACAAGAGTTCAAAATCAAGAAGGATCTTCTTTTGCGGGTGCCTGGAAGACAAAGGCATCTAAGACCATGTTAGTGACTAGCCAAAAAACATAAGCTGAGCATTCTAAAACCATGTTAGTGAATAAGCAAAAACATCAGAGAACATACTTTCCACATGTTACTGAATAACCCAAAACATCAGAGAACCTGTTCTCAACATGTTCGTGAAATAACCCAAAACCGAAAGAGCACGTATTTTCCACCTGCGGATTTAGCCTCTTGCGCCCTGAAAAGCCCGTGGATCGTTCGGTACCAAGTGGCCGGCGTCGGGTGATCAGCGCCTGGAGGCGCCGGACGTTGGCGCCGCCCAGGGGCGCCACGGGCTCCGGCTGGGCCAGCGAGAGCGTCCGCAGGCTGGGGGACTTGGAGATCTCCTGGAGCCATCTGCAGATTTGTTTTTTCTTAAAGGCTCAGGAAGCGGACGAGATGAAGAGTAATGATTCATCAACCCCTGTCTCTTAGGGGTCCCGGTGGGTGAGATGTGGTCAGACCACTTTATGGAGGGTTTTGTCCCCTTCCCCCTATTAATACTCAGATGCCCAGTGGATTTCCATAGGAAAGAAAGGCCAGTGGATTTCCATGGGAAGAAAGGATCGGCATCCTATTCTGGTTGGTTCCTGGATGCCCAGGCCACGGACGGTTGATTTTTGGAACAAACTCCTTCACTTGCTTGTGCAGGCAGTCAATGAGGGAATGAGAATTGGAATGAACCCAGGGGTAGCCCTTAGAGGAAACCAGTTGGATGGGGAATGAGAATTGGAATGAACCCAGGGAATGAACCACAGGGAGAGGGAGACTCGGGCCCCCCGGCGTGGAATTATGGTCAGGAATATGTGAGACAAACCCCGCATTCTTTCCTCGTTTCGCTTGTGGCAGGGGATGCGAATTGGAATGAACCCAGAAGAGACGCCCTTGCTTGTGCGATAGGCAGAAAAAAAGCGAGGCAATGGAAGGAACCCAGGAATTGGTACCCCTTAAAGGAAACCACCAGTTGGATGGTTTAATTCGTGGTCCTTCCATTTCTCATTCCCTACTGAGCACCAGCAGAGCAGCTTCAGATCCACCCCCGCCATAGGACTTCTGGGTTTGCAACAAAAAACGATCCTGCTGTGGGTGGACGGCATCCTGCACCACTTTGAAGCCACTGGAAATCATTGTTTCGTATTTACAAGGGAATCGTTCTTCCAGGGTTGCTCAAATGGTGCAGGATTTCGTCCCCCCATATTCAGGCCTTAGGCCAAGTGACACTGGGATGAATGGCCAGAGGTCAGTTTTCTGATGTCTTGAATGCAAATGGCGGACCCTAGCAGTGAGAGTCCTGATTCCTCCCAGGTTGACATTACCAAACTTGGCGCGTGCAACGAGTGCCCTTCGGCTAAGCATTCTTCGGCCATTGGAAGGCAACGACTGTCAAAGAGCACTGGTAAATCGAACCGGCGTGACCAAACATCTGAACTAGCTTGCAAACAAAAAAAGAGGGGGGGGGGGGCGGCCAGCGACTCTGCCGGAACCTTGTTTTTGATTTCATTGGTTGTGGGCCTCCTGCCAGTCCAGCCAAACAAAAAAAAAAAACACTGAGCAAACAGGTTTGTGACAAATCAGCACCAAAGTAGTTGCCATGCCTATGACTTGTTCGATTTAACATGCTTCCCGTGGCAAATTGCAGAACGTGGCCCTAAACTCGGAGAAACAAGTCATGATTGCACAACCATGGGCTCGAGCGCAGCAGTTGAAGCAAAGGTACCACCTTGGACTAAATCATTGATGGATGGAGTGAATGATTGTGTGACTGGAAAACTTTAGTTCTGGTGGGCTCCAAACAATTAAAGGGTGGAATCCATTGCGCCGGGTGAGCCTCGTCCATGCAGATCTGGAACTCCCCCCCTTGAAACCAGGATACGTCAACCAGCCTTGGGAAACGTATCACGGTTTAAGACCCGGAATCCCACAACCATAACCACCCAAAACCCATTGACCCTTGGAACAACCCTCCCAAAAGGGCTTCCATTTAAATGGGACATGGGGTTGGTTGTCTAATCAGATTTGGCAACCAAGCCTGGTTGGTTCCCTAAGTATTGCAAGTGAACCAAGCGGATGCAACCATACTGTGGATGCACGAAATCCTGCACTTGAAAAAACCATCGTTGAACACATTGAATCCATTGGTATTTACCTTGGGAAATCGAATCATTCTTTTGGGCTTCCGTGCAGTAGGGCGAAACGGATTCGCGACCCACAGTATGGTTGCACGGTGGTGCGAAAACAACAAAACCCTGCAAACAAATAGTTTCCTTGTGGTTCCTTCCCCCTTAAAGAAGCAACCCCAAAAAGGGCAGTTACCCAGCCTCCGAAAAACAACAAAACTCGCTTCCTGAGTGGATTCGCCCAAAACGTCCAAACCTTTCATTTACCACTAACACGGTCCAACCCCAAAAAGTTTATAAAGTCCGAAACGGAGCTCAGGAAGGCAGAAAACCCAGTGGCCATGGGTCAAAAGCCCGGTTCCCCCCAGTGAATATTCCAATCCCGACTAAAATAGGTTCTAAAACAGGTGGTGCAACCGAAAACCACAAAATGGGATCCCCAAACGCTTTTGACAACCACAGCCAAGTGTCCTTTTAGAGCAAATAAACGGCCCTGGTAGATGATTAAACCACCAGGTAAACCAGGAATCACAATCCATTTTTCTGCCAAAAAAACAATAATGGACACCTATGCCCAAAGGACATGAACATAAAAGGTTCACCTTTTGGGGTCGATTCGCTTTTGGGCAAGTAAGAAAAGGACACCTATGCCCAGAAGTGGAACACCTATGACCAAAAAGCCAAATGGGTGGTGAATTCACCTACCAACCAAAATGGGATCCCCAAACGCTTTTGACAGCCACAGCCAAGTGGATGTCTCGAATCAGCGCCTGCAGGCGGTGCAGGAACTTCTGCAGTTCCGCCGTGGAGGGCTCCCCCCGCGCGCTCAGCGCCGACGCGCGGCGCTGCTCCTCCCCCGCCAGCCGCTCGTACCTCCAAAGGGGCGTCGATTTTCTTCCATTTGCCTAAGCCCCTGGGAAAAAAATAAAATCAAATCCAGTAGTGAAATCGATTCTTTTTAAACCAAGAGGGAAACATAGATCAAGAAAAACATGTTCTTAAGCAAAGAGAAGTTTTGCAACCTCCTTCATTTAGGTACCTGGAGACTCCATGAGCCTTAAACATGGGTTCATGACCCCATTGTTTTGGGTAATGACCTCATTTTTTAAGGGTCATGGAGACTCCAGGCATTGCTTTTTTTGCTCGTTTAGGTATTGGTTTTTAGGGTTTCAGGCTGCAACATAGTCTTTATTATTTAGGTATTGGTTTTTAGGGTTCCATGCTGCAAAGTGGACTTTCAGTGGGTCTATTCTGCAACCTCCTTCCTTTTTGGTATGGGTTTTGTCGCTAACCCGCGCGGCAACGACCCCGAGGTGCTCTTCCGCGATGGAGGCCAGCAACCACTGGCGCTCCGTCTCCAGAGCCTCGCTCGCTCGAGCAATTTGTCCCTTCTTCGCGAAGGCTTCGGTTTTCCTTTGATTCTTCCTGGAAACTAGGTCCTCCAATGGAGAGGTTAGAATAAGGGTCCTCCTGAGAGAAACTGGAACTGGTTGAATTGATTTCTGGGCTGCCCGTTTTCGGATCCCCCGCTAAAAGTGACATTTTTTGGTGGGTTGAATGGAACCCACCACTAAACACTAAAAAATTGAAAAGCTAAGTGGATGGCTGGGAGCTACCAAGTTTCAGTTTCCCTTTGAAACCAACCCAAAAAAGGGACCTCTCAAAAAACGAACACGCCCCTTTAGAACCCGTGGCATCACAAAATCTTTCTTTGCGGCTTGCCAAGTGCAATGAAGGCAGGGCGCTGCACGGGTTGTCTCGAAATGGGAATCGGAACACCAAAGGGTCGTCCTGTTCGTTTCGCTTTGAAACCAACCAGAAAACAAGCCCTTTGCAGATCGACTAAAATGAAGAGAACTCAAAGACCACAAACAACACACCATCATGCCAGTAACTCAGTTGCTCCCAGTTGGCAACTAGAACTAAAAGGCGATCACCTTGGGGCAACAGGTCGAAAATTCCACCCCAGGCCCGAAGTTCTCTTTGATTCTTGCTGGGTGTTCCAAGGATTTGCCCATTTTGCTTGGAAATCCAAACGCATTTCCAGCCAAACCCCGAGTGCAGTGCAACACCATTTTGGCGGCCCCTTTTTCCCAAGGACAAAAACACCCACCCGCCCGCCCTCAAATCATCAGTGGACTTGCTTTGGTTGCAACATGTTGCAACTGAGTAGTCAAAGGACCCTAAACTTCCATTTGCTTAAGTCCCCTGGGACAAAAAACAAACCAATATTTTTGTCAAGTGGTGATAGATTTCCTCTAAAAACCAACTAGGGTAATCTCACTTGCCCAAAGGATCTGGCAAAAAGGTGAACAGTTTGGACCTCTGCATGCCTTTACTCAGACAGACCAACCAGGGAAACCAACAGGTGAAAATGTCGGCTTTGGGCAAGTGAGTGATAAAAAGGGCAAAATATGTCGAGTAGTGAAATCGATTCTCTCTGGAACCAAACAGGGATACCGCCTCGCGGATGTTGGCGGCCACCTCGTCCATGTCGTCCAGGCCCAACGGCTGGCCCATGGAGGGTAGGGAGGCCAGACTTTGCAGGTCCTATGCCGACGAATGGGGACTTTGAAGCTTTGCGCGGTGTCCCTTTGGGCGTAGAACGCAACAAACAACATGTTGGGTGTCGTGGTAGGCGTCTGCTGGGCTTGATTGAGCAGGCAAAAACAATCTTTGGATGATTGGAAGAGGCCTGAGAATTCCCTTGAAACAAACATTTTTAGGGCGGTTTGTCAGGTTCCTTTTTGGCTTTGCAAGTCCTCAATAAAGAACCCTCCCAACAAAAAGGGGGATCGTTACGGCTTCCCTTCAACACAGCGTGCAAAAAGGGTACCCGCAAAAAAGGACGCGCCAGCAGTATACAAGAAGCCTTTGACCTGCTTTCCCATTGGCCCTGTTAAAAGGACCCCAAAGGGTCCAGACAAAGTCAATGTGGTTTGTCAGCACCTACGACACACTGGTTTCTGATCATTCCCCGGATTTCGCAAACATCCACAGAATGACCGCCTGGAACCATGTCACGGAACATCTTGGCCTCATATGGAAACTGGTAAACAGGGAACTGAAACCACCTGAAACGCCACTAGGGCATGTTGGACTTCTTGTTCTGTTCCCCCTTTGGGGGGATGCAAAAAAAAGAAGAGTGGTTAGCCTGGGGTGCGTGCCGCAAGCATCGTATGCCGCAAAAGGATTCGTTGCAGCGAGCTGAGGTTTGTCCAAACCGTTGGCTCAACGGGACCCCAGAAATCAAAGGTGACTGCCTTGGGCCATGGCTATACTTGGTGTTGAAGGGGAGCAAACAGTTAAATTTTAGCAGTTAAGTGGTTGGATTTCCCAAACCACAATAAGCAAAATGCACAATGTTTCCCAACAACAACCATGAATACACCGAACTGGGAAAACTAAAAGGTGAAAAGCTGGATTCGCTTTGGGCAAGCGAGTCCAAGCAAGATGGTTTCAGTGGCTTCCATGTCTGAGCTGCTCTCAGATCCCCGCTGAAAGTGTAACTTTTAGTGGGATAAGTGGAAATCCCCACTACACACTAAAAAGCTAAAAGCCTAAGGGTTCAGTGGCAGGGAAAGGTTTTTGAGGCTTGAAGAAATGACCCGCGACCATACTGCGGATGGACGAAATCCTGCACTTCCTGAAACACCCTGGAATCATGATTCCCTTGTAAAACCCAACCAACAATGGTGTCCTATAGATTGAGAGTGGCGAGGGATTTCGTTCATCCACGGTATCCTTGCTACAGGGCTCTTGGTGGCTCCTGAACCGCTCCCTCTTTACAAGCAAAAAACAGAATACTTACCCCCAGCTCCGTCACGGCTCCCTTCCAACCATTGGCTGGCTGTGTTCCGTGGCCTTCAAAGCTGACCCCCCCCCCCTCCCCAGGGTTCCACTTTTCGACCCCAAGATAGACTTGAACCCTTAGGAAATCAACAATCCCTGGGCTTAAGCCTCCCTTGAGGTCGAAAAGTGGAACCTCAAAGCCTAGGTCCTCCAGTAGAGAGGTTAGAATAAGGGTGCCAACTTTTTCCAGTAGTCTATTTTGGTTGGTTGGAACCCTCCCCCAAGAAAGGACCCGTAAACAGGCACCCAGCTGGGGGACTTAGAAGCTGCCTCCCCCCCCACAACCGACTTCGAACGGCGGATCGCTCCGAGGAGGAGTTCCAGGTGGATGCGGTGGACGGCCGAGTGGAGGGCGTTTGTGGAGGCTGGCATTTGGCGCCCTCCTGCCACTTGTTGCTCTCTTTCAAGGCACGGATGGAATCGGTGTGTGTGTGTGTGTTTATTTGTCTCTTTGGTTTGTTTGTTTGTTTGTTTGTTTGTCTGTTTGGTTTGTCTGTTTGGTTGGTTAGTTGGTTGGTTTGCTTTTTTGTGTGCTTGGTGGGTTTGTTGCTTCTTTTTTCTTCTGTTTTTTTTGTTTGCCTGTCTGTTTGCTTGTTTGTTTGAGGGTGGCCTGTTTCGGGAAACTGGAAAACCACGACTTTTCGGGGCCAACGTTTAGGGTTCCCCCTTTGTTTGACGCCTGCTAGAGAAAGATTTGGACGCCTTTTCGGGGGTTCACCAACAAGGGAAGCGAAGGTTTCACTGAGCAACCGGGACCCAGAGCCTTTTGATTTTGACCTATGGATTCTTGGTTGCTGTTGACCCCTCTGCAACAAGTTCAACTTTTGGCGGGTCCCATGGAATATCCATCATTTCCCAAACAGTTGAAGTCCAAAGATCCCGCCAAATCGCCGTAAAGTGTATGATCTCACTTTCTGAGAGGATTGGCCAACAAAAAGGCCCAGGCTTCTTGTTTGCCACCACAATTGCAAGCAAACCCATTTGTGTGACTCAAGTCCAGTGGGGAGTGGTTAGGGTGCCGCTGACAGCTGGGGTAGCCTAAGTTAGCCTAAACGCGCACTCCTCCTGCAGGTAGCCTCTGACCTGGCGCCGCCGGGTGGGCTTCGCCCGAAGAATTTCAAGAGATGTCCCCCTTTTGCATGGTTTGAAGGGCAAACCAAAGGGCCAAGGGACATCAGTTGTTTGGGGGGGGGTATTAATCAGAGGGTGGTCGTTACTTAAGTATTCCCAAGCCTTCAAACCAAAGGGACAAACATCAACCACAACATTCCCTAACTTGCAGAAACCGGGTAAGTGGTTTGCACCCCCACTTCTATGTCTCCATGAGAGATTTATGCTGGAGGCCATTCACTTTTCAACAGGGGGTTCCTTTGACATTGAGGTTGGTGGAATGAACCCGCATGAGCTCACAGACCCCGTGCCTTATTTAGGTTCTGTTTCGTCCCCCTGCAAACTCACTTGGAACTCTCCCCCCAAAAGCAGCTAGGTCCTCCAGATAAGGGCACCAACTTTCTTCTGTCGTCTAGTTTCGTTGGTCTTGAACCCTCCCAACCCCCCCAAAAAAGGATTCAAGGGCACCTAGCTGGGGGGACCTAGGCAGCTTGGTCTAAAACGTGCGGGTTTGTTGGGTTCCATGTCCACCTGGGTCACCACAAATCCTGCGCCTCATTCCGTGTTGAATTTCCAAAGGGCAACACGACGCCCCTCTGTTGGCTGCTGGTTTCAGGTTGAAAAATACACCCACCCCAAAAGCTGAGCTTTCCTGAAGAAACAGCCCGCTGCAAAGGAGGCGCGTTACTTTTGGATGGTTGGTTTTGAAGGGCAACTATTAGCGGGCCAAATGGAAACCCCAACCACTAAACCAACTAAACACCTACAAACCGAAGGAACGGACGCCTGGGAACCACCAAGAAAAAGGGAGCCTGGCAAACAGTGCGCGCGCTATTTAGCACCCGGTTTTCTCGCACCTTCATCCAAAACATGAGCGACCGGGCACCCAAAAGGGTGGATGGAATGCTCATGAAAAATTGCTGCTCTTTCTGGTGTCCCTTTCAAGCCAACCTAACAAGGGTGCCCCCCCGACCCCCGAGAAAACGCCACATCCATCTGCAACATCTGAATTAAGCGATCCCGAAGTAACACTACATCAAAATAACAAAATGCAGATCCGTTTACCACAGCAACCCAAGCCCTGCAAAACCAACCTGAAAAGCAGCCCCGCCCCTTCCCCATATGTTCAGTGGTAGGTCCCCTTCAAAACCGACAGGGGAAAATAACAATAACCATAATCTTAAAGAAAACAACAAATGGCAACTCACCCATGGAATAACGTAACAAAATGGCAACTCACCCATGGAATAACGTAACAAAATGGCAACTCACCCATGGAATAACGTAACAAAATGGCAACTCACCCATGGAATAACTTAACAAAATGGCAACTCACCCATGGAATAACGTAACAAAATGGCAACTCACCCATGGAATAACCACAAAATTAACATCTCTTCCATCCATCCACCGGCAACGGACCGAAGCCACATGGACCGAAGTTAGAGGACTCGATGGCTAAACCGCCGCCTTGCAGTCCTTGAGCTCCGGCACCATGTCCTCCAGGCCGTACCCGCAGGTCCCCGTCTGCGAGCGCAGGTCCTCCGGAGACTTCCGACGTGGGATGTGCCAAACAAAATCCGCCATTTGCGACTGAATCCCGGGGGGGGAATCCAATAGTGATAGACTATGATAGACTCCCCTTTCAGCCAATAGGGGAAAATAAAAAGAACACAAAGCAAACGGAAGAAGTCGGAAGCTTTGTTTATCACTAAAATGGTGTTCCAAAGTAGAAAGTCCTGAAACTCGGGGAGTCAGATTTAACTTTTTGAACGCCATCCCAAAGTAGCCGATCTCCGAAAAGTGGGCCTCACCTGCGCAAAAGTTGAGTCATTGCATCAAGCAAGTCTGTCCTGGCCCAAAGAAATACAGGGCTCAAGAAAAGTCTTCAAATGATTCTTCTAGGTCCGTGCGCTTTTTTTTTTAAATATATATATATATATATAGATTAAGCGAAGCTAAACTCTTCAAGAGATACTATCTTAAAGTGTTGCTTACGATCTGGCAGGTTCGCATTTGGAGCCCAAATGCCGTTAAAGGGATCTCTCCCTTTGGGTCACCCCTTTGAGCTTCTTTCATTTGCTTAAGTCCCCCGGATAAAAAAATACGTTCAGTAGTGAAATCGAATTTGCATGGAGAACAAAACAACAATCATGTCTAGCCGCTTAGCCGAAGCTTGTTCTGGGGCGCCCCCTGTGTTGGGTATGATTCCTACAAACAAATGCGGAGGGGTAGCGGTTTGGAACCATGACCAGCATTCGGCTGAAACTGGAAATTCAAAAGGATAGATCGATCCGGACGCTTCGTTTCTCTCAATTGCTCTTTCGGGACCTGGAAATACCTACCATGTGCTTCCAAAACTCCTGGTAGCTCCTTAGCTCCCTGTCTCAGAGCAAACTTAGATCCCCCCAGCTCTTTACCCTCCCAACCACCAGCTGCTTGAGAAGGAACACACATATCCTCAGGCCAGAGGAAACACAGCCCTTCTGAGGGCATGATTCAACAGCTCCAGAAAAAAGGGGAAAAAACGCACACTTGACCAAAAGCGACTCAACTGAGGCCAACAGAGCATGTGAGAATAGGAATCGGAGACCCATGGCCTTCGGTTTCCTGCATCATTGCCCTTCAAACTGACCTGATAAAGCCTCCTGAGCAGCACACACACAAACACAAACAGGGTTCCACTTTTTGACTAGGGTAGACTTAAACCCAGCGGTTGGCTCATTACCCCTAAGGGAACCCGGGTTTAAGCCTATCTTGGGGTAGTCAAGAAGTGGAACCCTGAACACAAAATCCCATGAAGCCTCCCGCTTGCGCCCGGGCCCTTCCGGGTCCTCCAGCAAGATCTGCGCCTGCCGCTTCCTCGAGCGAAATCATCTCCAACGAGGCCCGTTTGCCCCCCCCCACCGTCCCCCTCCCCCGTTTTTCGCTTCCCCTCAAAGGACCTGGAGAAAAAATCCTAAAACAGTTGGCCTTTTCCGGGATTTTGGCGAAAATGGACCGGAATGGGAAAACTCTAAGGTCATCTCAGGTGGATTTGCTTTGGAGAACTGTGTGGTCAAGGCGAGGTTCAGAGTTTAATTAGAGAAGCAACTGGTTCAAAAAGAGATAGTTTGCTTAAACGGGACATGTTGTAAGGAAACCGCACATCAGGAACTTGACCCAGAGAACCTGGACATAAAAGATTGGCCTTTGGGAACCTCGACGTATGGGCCGGCCTTATTAGGGAACAGGGAACCAAAAGGTTCACAAAGGTCGGCTTTGGGCAAGCGGGTTTTACCAAGTTGCAAACTCGTTCTCCGATTCGACAAGCTCGACCATGACCCAATCGCAAAGACCCCGCAGCAGGAAGTCAGATTGGGGGGTCGACCAAGTTTAGTCGGGCTGCCACTAGGGAAAGAAAACAAAACCAGATCGAACACTTGGGATAACTGGGTCGGGCATGACCGCTGTTAAATGCCATCCGGCAAGCAATCCTTAAACAAACCCATGTTTGGCTTCCCTTCAAAGGGACGAGGGACCGGTTGCTTCAACATGCTTTAAAATTGGATTCTCCCTTGGTCAACCTGAATTTTCTGATTTCCAGTGCCTGAAGGACCCCTGAATAATCTGTTCTGCAACTGATCACTTTGGCAGGGCATTCCCCTTGGGAGGCTAAAACTCGTTTTCCACAACCTTGAGTGACAATTATATCTGGTAACCCTTAGTTGGTGGTTAGGATTGGCGGTTTGGGGGATTGAACACGTGGTTCTGGTGTTTACCAATTTTGCCCATGGGAAAGCACCCCCCCTAACCTCCAAGCCACCAATCCAAACCACCAAACTACGATGTCCTTACAGGACTCCTGGAAGCTCTGCAAGGCTCTCTTCAAAGGCAACTTCAGACCAGCGCCGGCTCCCTTACCGCTAGCAAATACGTGGAAGCTGACACATTGCGTCAAACGGTCTCACGTCGGGGTGCAAGAGCTCGCGGTGCTGAGTGTCACAAAGGTCGGCATGTTGCCTTCGCCCTTCACAAAGTTGATCGTTCCTCAGCTTTCCACCCCTTGGTCTGGCAGCTTTGCAACCCCCAACTAAGGCCCTCCCAAAAATGAACAGAACAAGAACAAGTCAAACAACCTAAAAGACAAGAATATGCCAACAACGGGGAAGTCAGGTCGGCTGAGGTACGCGTCAGCTCATGGAACCCAGCAACTCGCTTCCAGGCCAAACCAAGTCCAAATTGTTTGTGTGTCACTAAACTGGCCCAGGGTTCTACTTTTTGACTGCCCCAGGGTAGACTCCTAATATCCTGCCGGGCTTCTGATCCCTGAACTCCGCCAGCATTTGCCGGAGAGAGAAGATCTCGTCCCACATCAACCTCACACGCACGAGGGCCCTGGGCTGCCCGTTTTCAGATCCCCCGATCTAAAAGTGGAGCTAACTTTTGGTGGGGGAAAAAATGGAAACCACGACTAAACACTAAGCTATTGGGATGGCTGGGAGCCCCGAAAACCCGTATCTCACGTCTCCCGAGATGGGCCTAGGTCAAAACTTGTTGGTTGCCACTACGGTCCAAAAACAACAAGCTTAAAGTGCAGGAACTCAGCGAACTCAGGGGGTGAGGCCTCGGTTTCAAAGACGGCAAGGCTTGTGCCTCCTTGGGACACGAGCGGCCCTTAAACAAAACAAAATACTTTGGTGGACCATGGTGGCCCAGTTGCAAAGAAGGCAACTAGGCGCTTACCGCATTGGCAATGCTGAGGGTACCCTACGCTGGGCTCTTCAGTTTTGGCTGACCAGGTGGTTTGGAGCACAAGCTTGGCTAAACCTGGTAGGACCTTCCTTGACCAGACTCAGGCAGCCGCGGAGGGGATGATGTGGTATGATCATGCTGGTTTTGGCCAGTTGTGGGGAGGTGGCTCTGTTGTGGTGCTATTTTGGGGTGCCCCCTTGTCTTGTTTTGGTTTTGTGCAGTTGTGCCTGACAGCCATGAGCATTTGCCACTTTAAGTGGCACTTGTTGCTTATCTGCCAGCCGTGCCAAGCGAGCTCCACAGTTCATGCTCACATGTTCCCTTTTGTTGCGCCACAATGGCCGCAGCATCTTGGCAGGGTTACCCCATCTCAGCTTGCCTCCAAATCCTCTAATTGGTGGTATTCTTACCCCTTAAAACTCCAAGCCCTGGGGAAGTTCTCATCTTTTACAGACATATAGCCCATGTTACCCAAAAACGTTCAGAAAAGTTTCGTGTTTTTAAGAGGTAAGTACTTCTACCCCTCACGGAGGTGGTTCGGGATTTTCCATTTCTCCGCAAACCGGGGATTCAAATCCAAACCCACGGGGATCCAAACCAGCAGCCGCGTAGAGTACTGATTCGGCACTCCCCGCTCAAGTGCTAAGGGGTACCTGACCATCTGCCGCTCCCATAAAGAAAAAAAACTGGCGGAAACTAGTAAGAACTTCATAAAAAACCCAAGCCCAACCCGAAGATGCCCTCAGAGTGCCAAACGAACGCTGTTCGATGTGTTGTTTCAACAGCCTTCGCATGCTATGAGTTGAAATGACCCCATCCCCCATGGTTTCCTCTGCAAACCCCCTTTCACCGGTTCATTCCACCGGCAAACCCGGAAAAAGAAAACACCCTTCGCCTTGTCGTCCCCTTTTCGCCTTGTCACCGCGTGTTCTCGCGTTCTTTTCTCTCCGAAATCCCTCGCCGGCTGGACGGGGCGCTTGTTCTGCTGGATCAGCTGGTGGCCCACGAGCCGTTTGATCAGCTTCACCTCCGGCTTGTAGAGCTGCTGCCTGCCAGTCACGCGACCCATTCGCGCGAGCCCCATTTGGCGCGCCGGCCCCGGGGCACGCGCCGGATCGGGCGGCACTCCAGCGGCGCAAGAAGGCGCGCGGGAAATGTGTACCCCGTAGAACCCGGTACAGAACCATTTGGGTGTGGCTCAAAATTGAACAGGAGGGACAAACCGCAGGTTTTGGTCCATGTTTCCCACTTACCAGGGCAAGCCATTTTGGTACCGCTTTTTTGAGCCACAGCCATTTGTCCCCTGTTGGGTTTTTGGCCAGGCCAGGCGGTTTGGGGATTGAAGCAGCCTAAATCGGCTTCGAGGGGATTGGCTTTTCTGGCACTCCGTAAGCTGGAAAGAAGGGTTACCCGGTTACCCACTCAGCTGCTGAGTTGCCACCATGATGCCATGGCTTGCTTCTGTGGTGTGTTGAGATCTTCCCATCCACCAAAATGAAGCCCAAAAGGTCCTTCGGTGCGAACCATAGTAGTAAGGACAGCACAAATGGCCCTAGTAAATGGAATGAAAACCCATCTACACCAGTGCCATCCATGTTTCACCAAACCAACCCAAAAAGCACACCCATCTATTTTGCAATTGTTTGATTTCTCAATTTTGGAAATAAGGAGAACGCCGTGGGCGGCGGCATGCTAACTTCTATTCAGGTTGCTGGCTCCAATTTGCGCAGATGAACCAGGGGTGAAAAACTCCTCAAATCCGAAGCACCGATCCAGGGTTATCCGACCAGTTGCAAACAAAGGGAAACTCACCGAGCGAAACCCACTGAGTTGAGCCCAAAATGCGCTACCAGTTTGTGCCACAAACCGAGCGCCGGGCTTGATGATGTTCCATAGCGGGCCATCTCCCTCGGGCTCTGGGGATGCCAGGCCCGCCATCCTCGCGAGAACTTTCGAGATCTCGCGCGTGCGCGAAAGGCGAACTCGTCCCAGGGGCGCGTATGGGGGCGGTTTGGCATCCTAGATCTCCTGCATCTCTTGCGCGACCATCATTTGATAAAATGAAAACAATCAACTGCATCATATCCTATGAGGTGTGATGAGGCCGGGGCTACTAGCCTTGAGGAGCCCGTGCGCAAGTCCCTTGGCAACTATGAGCGGCAAAACAAACGCCCATGTTGCACCCCATCCGGCGAAGCTGCAATGATTTGAGCAAATGTTATTCATATGCCTTCAGCTAACCGAGTGGACGCCTGCCTAACTCCCGACCAGTCCAAATCCAAAGTGCACGTCTGAAAACACCTCCTCACCTCCACAGGAATATTCCTGCCTGATCAGTTCTCGGGAAAAAAAAGCGATCTTCAAAAATGATTGATGTGCCTGGGTGTGTGGTGCTGTAAGTTCCATGGTTGGTGTTATTAACATGTTCCTGTCGTCAAATTCACTTGCCCGAAGGACCTGGAATAAAAGGCTAATCGTCTGGAACCTTGACAACATATTGACCGAATTAGGGACAGCAAAAGGTTGAAAGGTCGGTTCGCTTTGGGCAAGGCAAACACCCATGTGGCATTTGTTCATATGAGGCAACACGATTTGGTCCAACACATTCCAAAACAATACGTAAATGTGGGTGTAACTGTTTATTAGGGATCCTTTAAGGTGGACATCATTTACACCGAACGAACATTCTATCCAAGCTTTTCCAGGGTTCCTCCCTGATTCACAAAAGCCAAACGAGAACCCCTGCTAGTGTGGAAGGTAAGCCTGCCTTTGATACCGGGCCATCCCATGACTGGGATTGAAGTTGCCTCCTTTGATATCAGCAAGGTGCCCCAATCATGGCCTTCAAACGATGTGGAGAACTTCCGGCTGGGAACTGGCACACTGCCATCCGACCCCGAAGAAACCAAACCAAGCCCTAATCAGCGCAGCCAAATGAATACCAAACCAAGGCAAACAAAGAGTAAATAGCACATTACTAGCACCTCGTAGAATATTTGTTGTGATCGTTGGAAAAAACACGTGTAAACACGCACGCACATGCATGAACAAACAACATGTCACCCTCTCCCCACCAAAAGGAAGAACGTGGAAAAAACAAACAAAACAACCATCAAATGAATCATATATAATAAAATGATCCCCCACCCACCCACCCTCCCTCCCTCCCTCCCTCCAACCAATCGAAAAACAGAAAAGCTTCCACCCTGCGTTGCCTTCGGCGGGCCCCCTTCTCCGGGCCGTTGAGTCCCGGCCCTTCCCCCGAGCCACGTGGCTGACGGAGCGTGCGGCGGTTTCCCAGGAATTGGACCACAGGTTTTGGTCCATGCCACTTGCCAGGCTTCCATTTGGGGTTACCCTATTTTTTGACCCACAGCCACATGAACATCAACTCACCATAGGAGCCGCTCTCACAAGCGCAAGGGCGTCCCTGTCGCCCGGGAAGCTCTGCTAAGCTTTCGTGGGTATTGTCCAAAGGTCGAAAGACCGCTGGCTTTGCCTCGGAAAAAAAGCCGTCTGCGCAAGCTGCTGCGCCCCTGTGATTACAACAAGGGGTAGTTGAGCGTTTCGGGCTCCTTAGGGTTCCTTAGGGGGACCCCCCACCTTTGGACCCCATGTTTATAGACAAATAGGGTGTATTCATCCGTATTCATCTGGGGTCAACATTAAACCAGTCCCAACAGTATCTGGTCCAAAGGATTAAACAATTCAGCCCGCCTCTTCAAGATCCGCTGCGTCTTGGGGAACCGCCCCTCCTGCGATAGAACGACATGATTTTGTCCACCCACAGTAGGAATCGGCATTCTCAGAAAGAGTTCAGGGAACCTCTCTGAGGGGTTGCGGGGTCCTTGCCTCTCTCTTGCCCCGAGCTGTCAAGTTGCATCTTTCTACATGGTAGCTCCGAAAGCCTCCCTCTGAGAAAAACGAGGAGAAAAAAAAGAAGCAAGCTTGGATACCCCCAGCTCCGAGTCTGGCTCCCCTGCAACCACCAGCTAGCAACAACACGTCCACACCACAAAGCAAGGAATCACCCAGTTAAGGACCTGCATGAGCTTCGCTCGTTTTGTTTCCGGACAGGTGAGCTCGAAATCGGCCAATCCTCCCAGTGGTCAGCCAAGAAGACCGAGGCGATCTTCCACTCTGGGGCGTACTGCTTCTGCGGCGCGAGAGAATGCCAATGGCGGTTCGTTGGAAACCCCTAAGAATCACACCACTAGGGAACCTTGTGGAGCTGCAGGGCTCTCAACTACCCACGCCCCTTGTACCTACCCCAAACGGATTGATTCCATAAGCCTTCACCCACTGGCGTGGCCGAGCTGTATGGGTAAGAACTCTTGAACGCGCCGTTGAATCTGCGTGTCAAGCCCTTGACCAGATCCGACCCCCTGCAAAGCCTGCCATGTGTTGCTGCATGAAAAGAGAGTATGAAAGAAACCCAGGAAACCCCAAAAGACAAAATAATAGAAAGGTCAGCCTTTGGTCTGGCATGTCAAGCATACAACAAATGTTGCGCCATAAGTCCCATCCAAGCAGGGTGTTGGGCAACTTTCCTGTAGTGCTCGTTCAGAACCCCTGGGTTCAAGCCACCATTGAAGCCATGGGGGTTCAGATAACTATCATATAACCATGATTTGCCCAATGATTGTCATCGAAATTGGGCCCTTGCCTTTGCTTTGGGGGCAAGGAACCCCAGGCTGAGATAAAATTAGGGCCGATCCCACTTTTTGGGCTCCGGTCGATTGGCTTGAAACTCATGCGAACTGAGCCATCCCGCAGATGCCCAGTGACCATGGGCACAAAAGGACATTTTTTGGGGGGGTTGGTTGAGTTTTAAAGGAATCGGAACCCCTGCAGAGGAAAAAAAGAGCAGAAAAGAGCGACTGGGTTGTGGTTTCCTTGGGATCTCCAGGTTCGTTCCGGGTCATCTGTTTGTCTCCGATCTTCGTTCTTTCGCTGTCTGTAGGTCTCTCCTTGGACCTAGTCCCTTTTTCCATTCCTATTGAGAACCAGTAAGGGTGAGGGAATCCTGGAACAGCCTCTTGCTTCCAAGCCCCTTCTTAGCAGCAGTGTCGATCCTTCTTGTACCCCCCCCCCCCCGCACACTAGAAGTGTGTGCGGAACCTCCAGCAGAGAGGTTCGAATAAGGGTACCCTTTTTTCTGTAGCCTATTTTAGTAGGGGAGCCCTCCCCCAAAAAAGGGGTGAGAAAGGGCACTACTGGGGGACCTAGGGGAAGCCTTGTTGGGGTTCACTATTTCTTGCGAAGCCATCAAAGAGAACGGGAACATGGGTGAACTCCGCTGAACAACCGGGCCTGAATTGGAGGCTTGGTGGTTTAAATGGCGCAGCCCAACCACTAAACCAACTTTAAAAAAAGAAAGAAAGCAAAAGTCGAAATGGATGCCTGGTTGAACAGAGAAAGGAAGACACACCCAAATACGACGCCTTTTAATGGCTCAAATCCATCGGTATCCGCGAATCATCGCCATGAGCGATCTGGGGGCCCCAACCGCGTAGATGCCGGGAACCCAGACCTCGATCCAAAACAGATTGGTGTGTGGAAGTTTTCTTGGGGCATCCCCTTCAGGTTCATTCCCCAAACCCTTGTTGATCCCTGAGAACCAAGCAAGGAAAGAACCTTAACAGGGCCAGACCTCCAGTGGTGCCCTGCTTTGAGGAGTCGATAGGCCCAAGATCGGCGATCTTTTTGGGGTGGTTTGGGGCAGCTTTCAGGAGGGTCCCGAAGATTTTTACCTGGAACCCAATGCTTGATCCCCAAGATGGCGCAACGGTCTTTCTGTTGGTTTCCCTCGAAAACCACAACACATTGGGGGGTACCATTTCCAATAACTTTGGGGTTTGGCTCCCTTATGCTAGTCTCAAAGAGTCTATAGCATGGGAGAACCCCCCCTTGAACCACACGAAGATCATTCTTGGGATTCCCCAGTTTCACATACATAAACAACGGATGGCTTGCTTGCAAGAAAATGTCCGGAGTCAGCTGTGCTGCATTGAAAGTTCCCAGGTCACAAGAGGAGAAAAAGGGGCCGGAAGCCAACGTACGCCCCATGAGAGGTTGGTCCCATCTTCCTTCTAAACTTCCTTCTGAGCCAGCTCTCTTCACCTCTCTTCTGAACTCTCTTATGGATATCTGACCTGTTGGGTTGTGAAGATTTCTTCAATCGAGCGGCCGATCGGTGGCCGCTCGGAACCGCCGAACCCGGGGCTTTGGTTCTGCCCTTGGTTCCCATTTGGCCTGCGGGTGGAAACAACACCGCCCATGGCCCAGCCCCGCCACAAGAAGTCACCTAGGCCCCGCATAACAGAAAACGGCACAAACCGCATGACGCATGAACCCATGATTTCAAGATAGCGTCTCACTTAGATTGGCCAAAATAAAGCAATCGGACTTTCTGTTCACCACTAACATGGTCCAACCCCCAAAAAGTATAAAGTCCAGGAACTCAGGGAGTGAGGCGTTCGCATGCAGGATTTGCCCGCCAAAATCTGTGGCAACTCTCTTGAAACTCCTTCACCCCACGACCTTGCCTGGGAAAGGCATGAAGTCACCTAATTTGGGAGACTCTCAAAATTGGATTCGGGCCAATTTCAGTTCGCATCTAAAGTCAAAAGGTCCCGTAACATGGCGGGTCCACTCCCTTTCAGTTGGTATGCAAAGGCAGGAGGGACACCAACCAGGCAGCCCCAAGTTGAGAGACACGCAATTTGCACCTGAGTTGTATTCAAAACCCGGAAGTAAAAATTGTCTACCCAGAACAATGTAAAGAATTAAGAAGGCGGATATCCGCAGCTATTTATTGTTGGGATTGTCCCTAACCTTCATCTACCCAGGTTTTGATTGTGGCTCACCTTGTGTTGACTCACTTGAGATCCCCTTTTGGAACCAAGGCGAATCACGGGAATTCAAATCGATTCTCTGTGGTTGCAAGTGGGTGTGTCTTTCTTTTAAGGGACCGCCTCCCAACAAGAACAACAACAACAACAACAACAACAACAACAACAACAACAACAACAACAGCAGCAGCAACAACAACAACAACAACAACAACAACAACAACAACAACAACAACAACAACAACAACAACAACAACAACAACAACAACAACAACAACAACAACAACAACAACAACAACAACAACAACAACAACAACAACAACAACAACAACAACAACAACAACAACAACAACAACAACAACAACAACAACAACAACAACAACAACAACAACAACAACAACAACAACAACAACAACAACAACAACAACAACAACAACAACAACAACAACAACAACAACAACAACAACAACAACAACAACAACAACAACAACAACAACAACAACAACAACAACAACAACAACAACAACAACAACAACAACAACAACAACAACAACAACAACAACAACAACAACAACAACAACAACAACAACAACAACAACAACAACAACAACAACAACAACAACAACAACAACAACAACAACAACAACAACAACAACAACAACAACAACAACAACAACAACAACAACAACAACAACAACAACAACAACAACAACAACAACAACAACAACAACAACAACAACAACAACAACAACAACAACAACAACAACAACAACAACAACAACAACAACAACAACAACAACAACAACAACAACAACAACAACAACAACAACAACAACAACAACAACAACAACAACAACAACAACAACAACAACAACAACAACAACAACAACAACAACAACAACAACAACAACAACAACAACAACAACAACAACAACAACAACACAACAACAACAACAACAACAACAACAACAACAACAACAACAACAACAACAACAACAACAACAACAACAACAACAACAACAACAACAACAACAACAACAACAACAACAACAACAACAACAACAACAACAACAACAACAACAACAACAACAACAACAACAACAACAACAACAACAACAACAACAACAGCAACAGCAAGCAAGCAAGCAACAGCAACAGCAACAGCACAGCAACAGCAACAGCAACAGCAACAGCAACAGCAACAGCAACAGCAACAGCAACAGCAACAGCAACAGCAACAGCAACAGCAACAGCAACAGCAACAGCAACAGCAACAGCAACAGCAACACAACAACAACAACAACAACAACAACAGATTCTTGGCTTTCTGTTTGGTTTCCCTTTAAAAGCCACGCAAAAAAAAGAAGAGGATACCTTCAACCCCCCCCCCCTCCACCGGGAAAAAAGGAAACAACACCTTTAAGAAACTTGTCGGCTCCCTTTAACAACCCATCCAAAACGTGATACTAACTCGAAGAGGGAAAACAAAAAAGCAGGACAGACCCCACGGTGCTGGGCTCCCAGCATCCGTGTCCAGATTTGCCTGCAGCTCCGCCTGGATCTCCGTCCAGTGCTTGCGCCTGCAGCTCCACTAGGTCCCCCCGTTGCTTTTACCCTTTCTTTTTTGGGGGAGGTTCCCCTATTACCCCCGTTAGAGGCACCAGACAAGGTTGAACCCCCCCCACTAAAATAAAATAGATGATTTATTTTGGATCGGACCCACCCCAACTTATTATCTGAGCCTGCAACGGGGGTCCCTATTAAAATCGACTACAGAAAAGACAGGGTACCAACTTATCCCAACCTCCCTGGGGTCCTAGTTCCAAGCGACGAACCCAACCCCACGTTGTTCATCCGCCAGGTTGGTTGCCGGCAGATTTAGGTGGAATTCATATTCAACAGGCTGATTTCCCAGGAAAAGCGGTAGCTTTATATAAACACGCCCGCTCCTTGAATCTTATGTTCATCTGAAGGGGGTTTAAGGGAGAAGAGAGTTGAAACCCTCACTCGGCAAAACATAACAATTTCTCTTTCCAACCATGGAAGTGCACAAGGAGCCTGTTTTCTTTCGAGCACATGCGCTTGACATGCCGGTCGACAGCCCCCAAGTTGCCCCCAAATTGCGGCCCAGTTCCTGAAAGGTGATCACCTTGTGGGACCTCCAAAATAGGAAGTTTTAGGCAGTTTTAGGAAGCCAACATGACTTTGCGAGAAAGCAAGTCTTAACAGGGAGCCCGGGTCTTTCTATCAAACATCCAGCCCAGAAACCGCTTCCCAGGAACCCTCAACAGCCCAGAACCCCGCAACAAACCACACCCTTGCAAAGCTTACCCCTTTAATTTTCGGTCTATCAATATTGGACCTCCTGATAGCTATCGCAACCTATGTGGATCTATACATAAAGCTTTATGATGTTATATATATATATACTGTATATGTATACATATCTAAAAAGCAATACATCCATATAATAACAAAATCAGAACCCACGAATGACTTTTCTGGTTTCCTTCGGCATCGTTCGCCCAACATCGCCTTTGCAAGGAGTCGGATCCCTTCCTAAAGCAGTTGCTGGCTGTGTGTGAGTATTCTGTTTGGTACCTTGGCGATTCCAGGGAAGCTCCCAGGACCCCTTAAGGCTTGGCTCCATTTACAGAGGCCAATTGTGGAAGCTTCCGGCTGTCAGTCTGTGGCAGTGTAGTTGATGTTTTAAAGGGGGCCCTTCAAACAAAAAAGTTGAAAAAGGGCCCCCGCGTCGCCCCGCGTACCACCAGGAATCCGGTCTGCTTGATTCACCGGCGCAACCCCCCCCCAAAAAAAAAAAAAAACAAAAAAATGTTTCGTTATGTTTCGTTGGACGCCCGTTCCCCGTTTCGTCCAATCGGCCGTTGGCCGTTCCGATCGGGTGCGTTCCGGGTGCCCGGACAGAGCTTGGGCCCAGGGATACGCCTTCGTCACGTGGAACCTCGGACTCTCCACCCGTAAAGAAGGGCCAGCCGCTGCCCCTGGCCGGCCCAGGTTGCAGGGCATCACCCCCCGGCTGAAGGAAGAAAGGCATCGCCAAAAAAATCAGCTGGGAGTTGGACATTTTTGTTTATGTCCAAAATACCCCCGTCTGACTACGGAAAAAAAAAGAAGCTCAGGCGATATCCCCAACAGCACCACACCCTCCCAGAATCCTCGCGTTAAAAAGCAAAGCCAAGAGTGACAGTTCAATCGCGTCCTGATCGGCGCAATCGGGGCCCGATCGGGGCCCGACGGCGCAATCGGGGCCCGATCGGGGACCGACGGTGCAATCGGGCCTGATCGGGGCCCGACGGTGCAATCGGGGCCCGTCGGGGCCCGACGGTGCAATCGGGGCCCGATCGGGGCTCGACGGTGCAATCGGGGCCCGATCGGGGACCGACGGTGCAATCGGGCCTGATCGGGGATCGGGGCCCGTCGGGGCCCGACGGTGCAATCGGGGCCCGATCGGGGCCCGACGGTGCAATCGGGGCCCGATCGGGGCCCGATGGTCCCGTGGTGCAACCCCAGCCACCCATATTACAGCTCAACGCCGGCTTTCCCTGATTTGCAAAAAAGCAAACATTTCGGGCCGCGTTGCCTGAGCAAGTGAGCAGGTGACAAAACAATGAAAGTGTGCTGAAAACCATTGATTTCGGTTTTGCTTAGTGTTCCGCCCATGAGCAAAGCGATCTTCTGAGCCCTCATTTTAGTGCTCCGATGGCTTTTCAGCGGCTGGCGCACGACGCACTAAACCTTGCAGAACATTTCTGAAACCCTTGTGGAACCTTGTGGAGCCTTGGGGAACCCTTGTCACATCCTTGCGGAACTCTGTGGAACCTTGTGAAACCTCAGGGCCGCCCCGCCTTCCTCTCATCGAACCTTACCTCAAACCAGCCCGGACCACCCCGCGTCACAGCTGGTGGAACCCTGGTGGACCCTGGCTCGTTCCTCAAACCACCCCAGACCACCCCGCAGCCTGGAACCTTCCTCAAACCGCCCCGGACCACGCCGCAGCTCTTGAAGAAATTGGTGGAACCTTGTGGAACCCTGGTGGAACCCTCGTGGAACCTCACCTCAAACCACCCCGAACCCTCGTGGAACCTTACCTCAGGGCCGCCCCGGACCACCCCGGAGCCCATCTGGGCTGAGACCCCAAAGCTGTCAGCTGTTGGGGGAAAAAAAACGGATCAGCTGGTAGTTGGACAAACGTTGTTATGTCCACATTTTGGCCAAAGAGTCAGACTTCTGAGCAATACCCGTTGATCCACATGAGTCACAATCAAAACCCGGTATTTTAATGGTCGTAATCCCAGAACCATGCTTCAAGAATTAAGCCGGAATTCCGCCACTATTAACTGCCCCTAACCTTCATCTACCCGAATCGGTTTTGAGCACGTGGCTCACATGGACCCTGCCCGCGGGTCCTCTTGCCTTCCGCGTCCGAGGCTCCGGCGGGCTGCGGGGCTCCAGGCCTCCGAGCTCGTCGGTCGGGGGAAACATGTGCATCTACCGTTTAGGACTCTGCACCGTTCAGAAAAAATTGGGCCATTTATGACTCCCCTGTAAAAAAAAAACATATGTTTTTTGTTGGATGGTTGCGAAATCCGCTCCTCGCACCACTTTGAAACCATAGGACACCATTATTGGTTGGGTGTTACAAGGGAATCATGATTCCAGGGTTTCTTAGGTGGTGCGAAATGGTTTTCGTCCATCCGAGTTGTAGAGGGTATATGGAATCTCTTGTAGGGGTCCCCCAAAATGCTGGTGTTCCTTTTGGTTCCCCCCCCAAAAAAAGAAAGAAAGAGGTACAACACAAAAAAAGGTACCCTCAAAAAGACACCCCACGTACAAACCCATCTCCTCTGCTCCCGGCCTTCTATGAAGCCAGGCGCATAGCGCTTGCCGTCCTGGCGAAGCCAAGTGTCCGAAGGCCCGAAGGCCCGAAGGCCGAGGGGGCGGAGGGGGTCTGATATGGTTCTGGATGATCTCCTCACGTGCCATCGAGTGGATTGACCAAGGCAACCTGTTTGCCACTAAAATGGTGGCGGAACTCGGAGTGAGGAAACCAGTTGGAGACCCAAAGTTCTGGGGGGACTTTTCCTCAGTTGAGCTGAATTGGCCTCAAAAAGTAACCAAATGACAATGAGGGGCGGCTGGCCAGCCAAGAAAAAGGGGGAGAACGTAGAAAAACCGTCGCAAAAGCAACTTACTTCTTTAATCAAAGGAACGCCAAAAGGAAAAGAACGCAATGGCGGGGGGGTCCAAATCGCCATGGTACCCATGAGCTACTGTTGAAAAGGGGTGACAGGTGAAACCTCTGAAGTAGAGGGAAGTCCAAGACCCATCCAAATCCAAAGATTCTGGGCGCTGGGCAGTATCAAACCTTTGTTTGTCATGGCCATGGCCTTTGAAATTGGAGCAAATCCCACTGCGCAGTTTCATGGCGGGGGAGCCAAATCTCTAGATAAGCCTGGGATAAGCCAAGGACAGGATACACCTGAAATTAGGCGTTCAGCTACCATGTCCTTACAGGACGCAAAGGCTCCCTCTTCAAAAGCAAACTTGAGTCCGGCCCCCCTCCAACCAGCAGCTAGTAAGGTTTAAGAAGTGATAGCCCCCCTCAGAGGTCCACGAAACCTTCGGGGCCATGGATCTAGTTGTTGGCTCCCCATTCTTTTCAATCGTTCTTTTCAAATCCCAACCGTTTTCCCCGGGTTTCTGGAGGTTTTTACAAAGAAGGATTCCTGGAAAGAATGGGGCAGGCACGCCTAGAATGAAGGACAAGCGCAAGCGCTGAGCAAACGAACCGACTCGCGCCTCGTTCTCGTCCTGGAAGACTTCTCCACGGCCCATGCGCTCCAACATGGCCTCGCCACATTCCCGCAGCTTGCTGACCCCTTTGGCGGTTGGACGCTTGGACGGCATGAAGTACCGGACCACTGGGCTCTAAAAAATGGGATGCCTGAGCTTTGGAGTTTTGGTGGCCCTAATTGCCTGTAGAAAGAAAATAGATCAAAGCCGTTTTTGGAGCACGACTGCCGCATTTAGACGCCGAGAAACAAACCCCAGTCACTATTGCTCAGTGCACAAACCCTTTTTGGAAGCCGCCTAGAACAAACAGGTGTCACTATGGCTCAGTGTTGGCCCTCCACCTTGCCAAAACCAAAATATGCCTTGGCTTCTTGGAACCACGTTCCTATTTTCAAAGGAATGGTACTTTCAGGGATGAATGGTTTTCCTCACGATATTCTGCCCCCAAGTCGAAAAGATTGCTTTCCTATAACATGGGAGTGAAACGAAATAGGCCCAAGAATGCTGACCGCTCGGCAAGAGCCAATCAGAGCCAACATGCAACCCCAAAGCCAAGCGAGGCTGGAGATGTCGGGATGCGGCCAGCCAACCAGCCGAGCAACTGACCGACCGACCAACAAATCAACCGGCCAGGGAACCAGACGTATAAGAAACACCAGCAATCCCCTGGATTGATGGTTAACAAAAACCCGGCGGCGAGCAAAAGCAGCACCCCCTCGTGCTGTCACTAAGGAAGACAAACATTGCCGGGTCTGTCAAGTCCAGAAATCCTGCTTGCCCCTAACTTTGACTGGCACCCAATGCAACAAGGGACAAGGGAGCAATAACAAAGTAGGGGAACATGCAGGGTCAAACGTTCCAACAAAAACTCACACCTGAGATGGTGTCCACATGTTTCCACTGCCCACCCCCAAACAAACAAATGCGACGGAAATCAGAGTGTATACCCTTTACATATGTATATATATATATAGTGTGGCTCTGTGGTGGTGCCCCATGTTTGTTGTGGGGGGGGTCGTGATTTGCAGGTAGCGGGCACCATCCCCCTTCGAGACCCGGAAGAGAGGCCTCCACTCGCTGCAGCCGGGCCCCAGCACCTCAGGAAGGAAAAATCTGGGGTGGTGCCCCTTTTTTTCCTGATCTCCCATTTGGTTTAGACCCCTGGGAGAGGAAAAAAACAAAAAAACTTTTCCCGTAGTGGTAGATTCCCTTTAACACAAACAGGGGAGAATACCACATATTCTGAAGCCCATGGAAGTGATCCCCGTCTAACAGTGACGAACTTGTGGGCAGTGGGGAAGCCCGACCACACCAACCCAATTTCATTCCTCAGGAACGTGGGGTTCAGGGAGAGAAAACCCTAAGGCACTGAGCCAACTGAAACAACTACAACCCGAAGGAACGGGACAAACAAAATCCGACAAAATCCGACAAAAACCGACAAAAACCGACAAAATTCGATGGGAACCACCAAACGTGACATGTCTCATGGGTCTGGGAATGGTTTGGGATGGATTGGGGGGGTGGCGTGACTTGGGGCGGCGGTTTTCGCATGTTTGTTTCAACGAATGACCTCAAGGCTAAATGAGTCGAACCTTCATGCGTCTGGAAGAACAAGTCAAAGGAGACTGCCCTATCACAGGAGTGCCGTCCCAGCACCAAGGATCGCCACATCGCTCAAAAACGTTCAGCTTCAAGGGAACTCCCAACGAAGCGGATGGATCTCCCTTGCAACTGGATTGTCATGGTTGTGGTTCACTCGTTTCGTGTCCAACCGCAGCTTGGGTTGCTGTTGACCCCCTGCAAAAAGTTGAAGACAAAAAATGGGGTTTAGTGGAAAACACCTTTAAGTCAACCAAGAAGTTAAAGTCTAAAGATCCGTTGCCCAATAGTCAAGACATGAAGGCAACCCGTTGTTCGCTATCAGACAACAGCTCGAGCCGGAATGCGGCTGCTTCCCACAATCCTAACCACGGCCTCGGAGTCCCAAAAGCCCGGCTTGGAACGGGCGACTTCATCCTGCTTTGCAGACCCCCACCCACAAATGAACACAACCAAACAGTGAAAAACAAGCACACACCACATTTAGAAAAACAAGAGCACATGAACAATACAACCCCCTCCCCCAAAACAAGTTTGCCGAGAGCAGTGATGCGCTTCAACCCCCCACCAAAACAAATGAGCATATCATAACCTAACCAAACAATCAAATAAAACACAACAAACAGACAACAACACAAAACCCCCCCAAAAAAAAAACATGGCAAGACCTCCCTGAGAAAACGGCATTTCCCAGGCATCAACTCCTGCGCGCGAGCGCTTTTCAGCGCGCTTTTCAAACCGAGGCCCGTGCCGGGTCCCAGCTCCTTGTCCAGCAAGACCCGCAGCTGTGGCACCTTGCGCGGTCGGCGGTTTGGACCCAGCCACACCCAAAGCCTCCATTTGGCGATGGGTCAAAACTCAGCCAATCGGACCGCAGGGTTTACTCCATATTTCCATTTACCAGGGTTCCGTTTTGGGTACCGATTCTTGAGCCACAGCCATTTGTGAATGCGCCGCCTGCGAAAATAAGAACATATATCCAGCAGTGAAATCAATTCCCTTAAAAACCCATCAGGAACATAAGAAATATGTTGGATGGCAACTGGAAGCCGAAAGGAACAGGGGGATGCCAAGCTCAAGTCGCCCCAAAAGGTGCTGCTTCGCTTTTAGGGTTAATTTTTCTTGTGTGTGTTTCCGCTCATGTAAAGGTCATAAACCAACTATAAGATCCAGAAAACCTCGGCACTGCCAAGAAAGCCTTGTGAACGCAAGCTAATTGCAGCCCTCTGCAATCTAAAATGGCTTCCCCTACCCACAGAAGCGACCCCCAAAGGAAAATGGAGCGCATACCCTTTAGTGGCTATACAGTGGCTGTATCTGGCATAGTCTCTGCGAGAATTGGTTGGGGCGTCATGGAAAACATCGTCAAATCAAGCTTGGAGACAATAAATATGGAATCCGTATGGACTGGATTGCTCCCCCGAAAGAAAAGCGATGTGTTCCAACAAAACAAAAGGTCTCTCCTGTTGGGCATTGGGCGATGCAGTCCCCCGAATGACCCGATTCGGGCCATGCGTTCAAAGAGGCCAGGCGTTCGCGCGCTGGCGCCTTCGATTTCTCCTTTTCTCAGGCGCGAGTGGGACAATTCCGCCAGTCGCCGCTGCAGGGCGGGCAACGGCCACGTCCTGCCGCATGTGACGCAGGCGGCGCAGGCGGCCTCCAATGCGATGGCATCGGCCTGGGGCTTCTGGTACCCCCAGGTTGGCGGCTTTAAAGGGGAAGCTTCTATTTGGGTGCGGTTCCCTTTTGTTGGGCTCTGTTGCCCCCGGTGTGTGGCTTTGAAAGGGGAACCCAAAGCTGAAAACAACACAACTTTCGGTTGGCCTGCCAAAAACACACGCGCACACACACACACACATTGGTTGAAGCCATTGTTGGTTGGTATTTACGTTGGGGAATGAGGATTGCCGGGTTTCTCAGGTGGTGCAGGATTTCGTCCATCCACAGTATGTCATAGGTGACGTTCCCCTTGCCATAGCTTCGGCTTTGCAACGGGTGGCACTTCTGCCTTCTTGGCTAGACTGATTCAGCCCTCCTCACCTTGGAGTCTTAGAGAGGGGGGCGGGGGGCCCCTTTCTGTGCTACTCTTTGGTGGGAGTCCCATCCTGGGGCTTGTCGGTTTGAATGGCAAGCTGAAAACCAAATGTTCCACAGCCATTGTGCATCAAGCATCAGTTGGCTCTACTGCACAAAGCGGATGGTTGTTTGCTTTTATCTGTTGGTTTAAACGGAAACCAACAGGAAACACAATTTTGCAGGTTCCCCTACAAGACATACAGTACTCAGCTGAAACCTTTTTCATCCACTGGATACCTCCCCTCAGCTGCCCGAATGAGACAGCCTTGGGCAAGCGAGTCATAATCAAAACCTGGTATAATAATGGCCTACCCAGAACCATGGGGAACAAATAGGAAAAAAAAGGAGAAAAAAAACGGCGGCTGCGCCCATTTATGGATGAGATGATCCCTCACTAACCTTCATCTACCCGGGTTTTGATTGGTCAAGCGAGTCTCCCCTCAGCCTCTCCTGGCAAAGCGGATCAACTAACTGGTGGTTTCCATTGAAAGGATCGAACACCACTGGAGGAATGTTTGAAAGAAAAATGGCTCGGAAACCCTGCCTCATGGGGGCTGGGGGGGGGGGAGGGAGGGGAGGGGGAGGGAGCCCAAATAAGCCCTTATTAAGCCCTTAATAAGGCCTTATTTAGGGCTTATTTGGGCTCCATCCCCCCCCCCCCTCCCTCCCCCCCAGCCCCCATGACTGCCTTCACCACTACCTTCCATTTGCTTCTTAGCCGCCTGGAACACATGAGAAAATATGTTTGTTAGTGAAATCAATTCCCTATTTAAAACCAACAAGGGATAATCTAAAAGAACATATTCAAGCTAACCTTCATCTACCCGGGTTTGTCTCACTTCCAGAGTGGATCAGCCAAAACAAGTAACCACACTTTGTATTTACCACTAAAATGGTCCGAACCCCAGTCCAAAGCACAGTGCGAAACGGAACTCGGGGACTTGGGGTGTTGAAAACGCGTGGAATCTCTCCCAGCCTCGTCCCCTAGCTCCGCCAGCAGCCACAACGCAGTGCGCCAGGCGCCGAGCTCCTTCCGCGTGGCCGCGAGGGCGCTGTTGTAGGTCACCCGGTCCGGGCGAACTCGCGCCTGCGCCATGCCTCGCTGCGCTTCGCTTCGGGCGTCCTTCTTATCGGTGGCCACGGGGCAAAAATCCGGGCACCCGGACTCTCAAACAAATGTTGTTGCCCCCACAAGTGTGGGGCACATTCCCTTTTCTAAGGGTGGTTTGAGGGTCGAGGTAGTCGGTTTTAACGGGTGTTACCTCCAAAAAACATGGACAAAAGGAAGCAACCCACTGAAGGTTTGGGGTTTACTCCCTGCCAGCAAAAAGAGTTTCCTCTACGAGGGCTTCCAGGTCCCATCTTTCTTCTGGTGTGCTGCACTTGTTTTGAGGTTGGCACATCCCGCAAGACCGGACTCACTTTTGGATAGGCGGCCTGCATGCTTTCCAAAACAGCCACGTTGCAAACGGCATGGCAAACATGAAGCACTCGCCGCCTGCTGTGTGTTCCACCCACAAGACGGCCTTTGCTTCGGCTGGTGCACCGAAGCCAAGGAGTCAAAAGGAGAGACCTGGCAGCCCTTTCTGGGTTGTCCCCTTGTTCTGATCCCCAGTCCAAAGTGACTAAAGTCTAGTGGGTCAATTACATCGGCTAAACCCAACCGCTAAACCAGCGAAAAGCAACTAAACACCTAAGTTGAACCGGCGTGCTGGGAGCCAAGGGTTCCAACTAGACCTGTCCCCTTCGGCGCCACGGAGGCCTAAGGTGGATGCCCAAAGCATTGCATGTCTTCTTTGCCAAGAGCCAAGGGGAACCAACTTAGTGTTTTTTGGTGCTTGAAGCTTGCATGTTTTCAAGGGCCCAGGAAACTGCCTTTTCCCGCAACTTATTGCTTTTTGGTGGTTGGATCTGGTCGGTTCGCCTGCATTTTCTGGGAAAAAATCCCATTGTAGAGCCTTGCCCAGGACCCAGAAGTACAAGTGTGACTCGTTGGAACCTTGACAAAAGAACAAACAAAGACACAGGGGGAACCGCTGCCAAGCCTTGACCAACAAACACACACACACACAAAAAAAAAACAAAAAACCAGGGGAAACAGAAGCGGTCAAAAGATCGACCTCCGCTTTGTCGCTTTCGGGCCAGTCAGCTCGGTAAACGTGCCGCTTGCCGCTCGGATTGCGCGCCCCCGGCGAAAACGGGGAGGCGGCTTCGAGTATCGACCCAAAGGCCTGCCAGGAGGGTCAAAATCTTGTCCAGCTGATTGCCCTTCTCGAGGGCACTGGCTGCAGCATTGTACACCTCAAGCTGAACGCATTCTTTAAGCAATGCAAAAATGGAACCCCCCGAATCGGTCTCCCCTCGGGAAATAAATTTTGATAATTAGAACTCACATATGCTGATTGTGTGCGCCAGGTTGATGGGGTAGTGGGATCCCTGCTGAGAGTAAAGCATCACACCAGGAGAAATCTGAAAGCAATGGCCGCGCTTTCAGAAAAAGTCTGTTGGATTGCAGGACGGCCCATGCCTTTGACGCCCCCAGGCGCCAGGGAAACTGAAACCGTCACTCCAAGGAGTCTACCTTCAGAACTCGAGTAGAGAAACTCACTTCTGATCGAGTGGATTGGTCGAAAAAAGTCACCCCAAGTGGCAACCAAAGACTACAGTCCGAAACAGAGGAGAAAAAAGGACTGAGACATCTATGGTTTCAAGAACCTGCCTGTTTGGTTCCCCGAAAATGGGGAGGATCCTTCACAAACATGGGCACGATGGAAGAACAGCCGCACGCATGACTTTAACACCAAGTTGGCCATGGGTCAGAACCCCGTACACCCAGTGAACATCCCAATCCCCACTAAAATAGACTAAAATGGGTGGTGAATTCACCTACCCCAAAATGGGATCCCATTGGTTTTGACAACCACGGCCAGTTGAAAGCAAACAACTCTGGAGCACCCGGGGCAAAGCCGGTTTTGGGAGCAAAGGAGTTGAAAGCCACCAACCTGAGCCCGACGGATTGCGCAGCTGAGCTGCCCAAATCGCATTGGCTAAGGACGCCAAAGACGTCTGCGCCTCCTCGAAAAGCAGCACCGCCCTCCTCCAGCGGCCGCTTTTCTCGCAGGCGCTGATGACTGCGCTGAAAGCAAACTCGTTCAATTCCTGGCGGAGGGAACTCCAAACATACAGCAGTGATTGGCTACTTTGAAAGCCAACAGGGCTGCGAAAACAGAAAATATCCGTAAGCAAATGGACGTAAGTACACTCCCATCCACACACATGGAGCCTCACAAGAAACAAGAAGGGTCCTGGAAGGAAAAAAAGAAAAAGAAAGGAACTTCCTGGTGGGTTGCGTGGCAACGTGGAAAGGAGCAATCCCCAAAATCATGACCCCCCCCCCGGTTGGAAAAATTATCCCCAACCAAAGTCAACCTAGGTCCTCCAGTAGAGAGGCTAGAATAAGGGTACCCTGTTTTTTCTGTAGTCTATTTTAGTAGGGGAACCCTCCCCCTACCTAAGGGTAGAAGGGCACTACTGGGGGACCTGGAAACCATGCTTTTTTTCTCCCGCAAAAGCAGGACCCGCTATGGCTGTAGACTGATGGGATGATGGAAATGGTAAATGGGTGGCCTCTGGCAGTCTGACTGGATGGAGCAAGTTGCTTCTGGCCTTGGCTCCAGAAGAACTAGAAATAAACTTCCATTTGGTTGAGGCCCCAGGAAAAAATATAAATATTTGATGAATTCCTTAAAAAAAAAAACAAGGGGAAAACAATCTTAAGCAAATGGAGGTAAATGGACCAACATAAACTAAAAGGTCACAAGGTCAGCTTTGACCAACAAATAAAAATCGTCTAAGCACTTTTGCATCGACAAGCTTACAACTTGCCAACTGAACAGGTAAGGATTCTGTGAATGGGCCCATCATTGCTTAGGTTTACCCCTACCATTTAGGCTATGACACAAGTATGCACTGCTTCCTGATGGCATCATCGCCGAGCTACGGGGCCCAGTTCAGTGCAAGGGGCACATACCTTCCCACAGAATAAATAAGGTCTTGGCATCCCCCCCTTACCAAAACTCGACAATCAGTACGAAAGGAAGCAAACAAAAAACACCACAGCTACGCACATTGCCACATCAACAAAAACGAGTCTACTTTCCAACCCATGGTTGCAAACAACCTGTTGTTTTTTACAGCCCTCTCGATGAACAGAACCGAACAAAAGCAAAAACAAAGCAAAAGCAACAACAGTGAAGTCTTTTTCAATCAAATGGGTGTCTTTTTTAGTTCACCCCCCAAAACGGCTTCAGGCTTTCTTTTGGTTTCCCTTGAGCCACCAACCAAAAACCCAAAAACGGTTGGTAATTACCGAGCCTCAAGACAAACGACTGGCATAAATCTTCCTAAGGCTCTATGCCGCTGTCTCTGGCGTCTTCCAGCAGGGCGAGGGCAGGCTCCCAGGCGAGGCGGTTCTCGCAGGCGCTCATCGCCGCGCAGTACGTGACGATGTTGGCGCGCACGGTGCTGCGCTTCATGTCCTCCGGGCGTCAAGTTGTGCGGATTCTCAAATTTAAAGAGCTAGGGCAAACCGCAGGTTTTGGTCCATGTTTCCACTTGCCACTGTTCCATTTTGGTACCGGATTTTTGAGCCATACCCATTTGTGTGGATTCCCCACTTTTTGGCCAAAGGATGGCAAGTTGCGTCTGTTTAAAGGGACTCATTTTTGGGCGATGATATCAGGGGCCCCTTTTTCTTTCTTGCCCAGTTCGGACCCAGATTTTTTCAAAGTCAGCACGACCTTTCCTAAAACTGGGCTGCCCGTTTTCGGATCCCCCGTTTCCCTACAGGACAGCCGCTCCTAAGCAAAACGGAGGAAACACCTCCCGTTTCCTCCCACCAAATGGTCGCCAAAGTAAGTGGATTCTAATGGACCATTCAAAACCAAAAATATGCGGACTCAAAACTAAACAACCGGACTCAAACAACAAAATGAATTCGGACTCAGAAAAAAACAACAACCCAAACAACCGGACTCGGAAAAAAACAATCATTCAACAAAAAACAAACAATAATCAAAACAAATACAATTTCGGATTCAATTTCAGACTCGGGGGCGCAGGAGGCTGGGGGAAAGGGGGCTCGCCTTTCAATTTGCTTTTTACTGCTCTTTTTGTTTGTTTTTCTGAGTCTGAAATTGTGTTATTTTTGGGCCTGGTGTCTTGAGCTGAGTCTTTTTTGAGTCCGAGTTGTTTCTTGCCCAATGTAGGTTTTGCGGCTGTGTGTTTCTTGAGTCTGTTTTCTTCAAAAAACAAAAATCATGTGGTACTACTGCGGTACCTATTCTCTGAATAGACGTACTCATAAATGTAGTGAGTTCCTAAATCGAACCTCGCGCACAATGGGTGTCTCAAAATAATTCCACCGTTGATGTTCTGATTCCCATGGTCTTCTTGATGGAAACCCTTACAATACTTGTCTAAATCCTTGGTCGGGCATGGTTTACTTGCGCCCAAAATTGGTTCAGAGCCAAAAGGCATGGGAAGGCAATACTTTTGGTAACCTTTTCTCGGCTGCAATGGCTGTTATAACTCCAAATCCGTATATGACCAACCAAGCAGGGGACCCTAAAACAAGACGCCCCCAAATAGAACCACTGGCCTGCTATGGCTTCAAATCAGTTTTGGACGATGCTAAGCAGCACATGTACGCGCAAACGAACCTTGGGTACAAATGATGCTGCACATAAGTTGTTCACCTAGCGTTGGACCGTGCTGCGCAGATGATACCAAAGTAATTAGGCAGGGCCAAACCCCAACAAATAATACATACACACACACACCCCACCAGGGTCGTCCTCTTCAAACCCGGGGTCCATGTCCAATTCAGGCACTACGACTCCATCGAACCCAGGACCTCCAAAACAACACCTTCCTTTCTCACTTCCCGAGCGAAGTTGTGAGAAGTCCAAAGCTGTTCGTTTGCACCCGACGCTCACTTCCTGATTCGCCGGAGGAAAAACACACTTTTTGCTTACCCCTGAGAGCCGGTCTAAAGCCAAAAGCTTCAAGTCCAAAACGGAACTCGGGAGGAAGGAATCTAGGCTGGAATTGGGATCCCAGCAAAAAATACATTGTGTGCCTGGTTAGTGGAAAACAAAGGGGACCCCAAAAAAGCAAAAAGGAAAAAGGGAGCTAATTCTGGGGAAGGAATGGTGTTCCTGAAAGTGCTTGACGTTCCGAAACTGGGGAAGTGAGACGTGTTTGGCCTTCCTGGTCTTCCAGGGTCGTGTCAGAAACTTCCTGCGATGTGGCAAAGTGAGGCCGTAAGGAAACGCCTGGCCCAGTCAATGACATTCCAGTTGGGCTTGCAACCACGTTTGTGAGAAAAGCCCGCCTACTCCATGTTTCTCTTGCACTTGGATCCTTGAAAATACTGAACAATTACATCATTATCCCAATTATCCCAAGGTCTCGACTTCATTTGGCTTTGAACTACCCTATTCTATGCCCCTGTAAGTCCCCTTACGGATGCGGCCCGACTTGAACCCCATCAACGGGTTCAGTGCTGGGGGCGCCTTCAGGATCGCCAAAGCCAACTGCCAATCGTGGGACTTCTCGCAGGCAGACACCAGTGCGCTGTAGCTCACCTCTCATCGGTTTGGATGGTCTCGCGAAATCCGCTTCTCCCAAGGAATGAAACCATGGCATAGAACCCACGTCCGTTGGTCTGTTGGAGACTGGCTATTTCCAAGAAGAAGACCCAACCGCAGTTGGTTGGTAATTACAGAGGAATCATGAGAAACCAGGGTTTCCCTCAGCTGGTGCGAAATGGTTTGCGTCTATCCACGGTATTCCCTAAAAACAGGGGGAAGAGCAGGTGAAATCCGGCAGGACGCGCATGAAAACCGTTTTCTTCCCCCCTCGGCGAAGGCTTCCCTCGAAAGGGAGTTGGATTCAGAAACCCGCTAGAACAAGGGGAACTCATCCACAAAGCAATCAGCACCACAAGGATGATCTGAACTCAGAGTACACCACCAGAGTACACCAAACACGATATTCTTGGAATCTGATTCACATTCAGCCTGCCCAGACATGCAACATAGTTTTGGAGATCTCAGCCCTCCCCTTTCCCAAACACAATAAAGTAGGGCCATGACTCTGGTATTTTCCTAGGCTTTCCCCTTGTCACGGATTCGAGTCCATGCAACCCTCGAAACTCGAAACCGACCCTTCCCATGGTTGCTTTACACTGAGTTGCCCAGTTCGGACCCAGAAATACGAGGTGATCACCTTTTGCAATGACTCATGGAGCAATATGAGGGAAACTAAAGGGTCAACAGCACGATTCGCTTTGGTTGCAAGTGAGTTATATGTCGGCTCGATTTGTAAAGCTCTGGAGATTTCGCCTACTTAGGTACTCACTTAACTTAGCCAAGGAGATGTCCAAAGCTAGAGACGGAGGAATGCACCCAGCGAATGAACGTGGAACCCAAAACAGGGGTCGCTGGATTTCCCGCATCAAAAGTTGACCAATTTACTCGTGATCACCACTTTTTTTGGGAGGTTCCCTTTGAAGGGCAATGGCTCGTGAAACCTGCCAAACCGCCTGTTTCTTGAAGACGCCTCCCCTCTTGGCGTGGGGTGACGGTCAAAACGGATCGGCCGCGTCGCAGTGTCCGGGGCGATGCGGTGCTCGGCCATCTCCTTGAAGAGCGCCAAGGCCTTGTGCAGATACCGTGCATGGGTGCGAATTCCGCTTCTCGCACCACCTAAGAATCCCCAGAATTGGTGGACTCCCCTGTAAATAGCAACAAGGCCTGGTTTCAACCATGGTTTCAAAGTGGGGCAGGATTTCGTCCATGCACAGTAGATCCTCACTAACTTCACTTGCGATCGAGTGGATTTGCCCGAAGAAAAAAAAAGGTATCCAAACGTTTGGTTGCCACTTGAACAGAAAGCTGCCCTTACAAAGAATGAACACACGGTAAGGTAATGCAAGGGTTTGGCAATGCCCATGACTGGCAAACTGGCGCCGCCGACAGAACCAACAAAACAGAAAACTAAAAACATGCCAACAGCAGTGAAGGGTCTTTCCAAGAAGTATAAACTTCGAAACGGAACTCAGGGAGCGAGTCACCGGGGAGGCTGAGAGGTCCACCATGGGAAGGATACCCTCAGGAACATGTCCGTCAAGTTCCATCTGAAAAATGGCGGGGGGAGGGATTTCCCCTTCCAAGGGGATTCGGCAAAGAGTCTGCTGAGCCTCTGTGGGATTGAACCTCCGGGAAGCCAGCGGTGCAAAAAACAATACCCAACCACCTTTCTTGAGGGAAGCTGGACAAGTGTAGGCAAGCCCCAATTCGGGGCTGTCTGAGTAAACAAGGAAAACAACACTAACCAAGAACAGAAGCCCACCAGGTTGCTTTTCTTTTCAACCCTTGGCATGGGCAATCAAAAACAAAAAAAACAAACAGTTTTTGAAGCCCCCCCCCACTCAAAATGGAACAGAACCAAACGACCAACTAACAAAATGATCCAACAACATTGTAGCAGTGAGTCCCCCAAAAGTTCACCCAACCAAACAGACTGTTGCCCACCTCAACAGCTTGTGTTTTAAGACAACCCAACCCAAACGCATGGGGCTGAGCAACTGGGCTTGCTTGGGTCCTCCCCCCCAGCCTTCCCTCCCCCCCCCCTCCCGCCCCCAGCGACAAACGAGTCTTCCAAGTGGCCAGCTCCAGCTGTTTGGCCGCCCCACAGGCGCTGATCGCTGAGTTGAAGCTGATCCCGTTAAAGCCGATGCGCCTCGATGCCACATTGCGACATCCGGAAGGTGTTTCGGTCTCAACAAAAGAACGGCGGACCCTAGAATGATCTCACTTGCGGGGACGGATCCTGTGACTTCCAACTACAAACCGGTTTTTTTGGACCCATCAACCAAAAGATGAAATGGAGGTCACACTCCAATGAGCTCAGTTGCCCCGAATGGGACCTGGAACAAAAGGTGATCACCTTTTGGTGTTACTACATATGGACCAAACACGAAAAACCGGAAAGTAAAAAAGTCGGTTTTGGACACCTGAGAATGGGCTTCGGTTGCCTTGTCTGTGCGCACCTCCAAAAGTCAGTACCATCAGGACCCATACTGCGGATGGTTACGACATCCGCTTCCACAAGGAATGATTCGATTGTATCCCCAACGTAAACGCCAACAAACGCTATGGTTTCAGCCATGGTTTCAATTAGGTGGTGCGAAATGAATTTCCTAACCATCCACAGGCAGACGCGTCCATGACTTCCATTTGCTTTTGCGTTGCCTGCACTCCAGAGGCTCCCGGAAAAATGGCGGATTGCACCGCGGCTGGAAATCAACCCAATTGCCCATTTGGGCAAGACCCCTAGAAGAAATCCACACTAATTCATAGTGCGCTTGAGATGGCTTTAAGCAGGGTTTCCTCCATTTCCCTTTTTGGCACCTCCAAGAGCGGCAGTTTCGATGGACATCGCCAGTAAATTGCAACCTTACGAGAACAAGTCTGTATATTTACAAATATGTCTGAATGTGACTTTTGAGTCACATGTGATCACTCAGTTTCTTGGTCAACTTTGTGAGAAAGAAGGCTAACCTGAGGAAACACCATCATCTTAATTACTCATATATATATATATATATAGAGTTGACCAAGAAATACATCCGCTTAAAATCCGCTGTAAGAAATACATCCGCAATCGTAGGAAACATAAGCTTAAACAGGGATCCTTACATGATGCACCTGAACATTGCCTTGTATATGGAGGTTTGCCTTTATTTTGGTGTTGAAAAAGCCATGTTTCAATTGGTTGCAAAATGTATCTTTTCAGGAGCCCTGTTAAACAATCCCATCCGCTGGAGGCTCCCGCCTGGCCGGCATGTCCCATAGCAGCTGCAAAGCCCGGGGCCTCAATCCACAGCGCCATATGAGCGGTTCATGCACATTGCCATCGCAGAAAGCCCACAGTGCAGGACAGCCAAGGAAGAACCCTTCAAAGGAAAGGGGGAAGTGGTTGTACAGCTTTACTCTGGTTTGGAGCCGAATCAATGGAGCCCGGTGATTCAGTGCCTAGGTCCTCCAGTAGAGAGGTTATAATAAGGGTACCCGATGTTTTTCTGTAGTCTGTTTTGGTAGGGACACCCTCCCGCAAAAAAGGGTAAAAGGGCACTACTGGGGCACCTAGGTGCAGCTGGACAGCCAAGGAAAAACCCTAGTTTGAAGGGGGAAGTGGTTGTACAGCTTTAATCCGTTTCCCTCGTTGTTTGGTGGTTTGGAGCCGAATCGGTGGTTTGGCGGTTCAGGAGGGGCAACCCCCATTTACCCACGAGAACCAGGGACCCGTTCAAATCCAAATCCAAACCCAGCTTCAAACCACCAACGTGACGGGTTACCTGTTTTCAGGGGCCAAAATAGATCCATATCGCAAAATATAAGCAACACAACGCATGAGGCTGGGTAGTACCCACCTACAACAAATCGGCCCTTTGCGGGATTTCAGGCACTGAATTAAGGGTATCCAAAGGGCCTAAATAAGTAGAATGGAGTAGTGGGGGTAAAATAAAAGCAAGACACCGCCATAATTTCCGAAAACATGACAACGTGTGTAAACTACACTTCTGCAGATCTTTTTCACATTCAGCTTCCCTCCAACGGGCTACCGGAAACATGGGAACTTGCAAACCCTTCCCCTCCCTTAAGTTGCCCTCTGTACAGCATTCAGGCCACCGGAATTTTGTCTCAAAATCGCTTTGGAACCTAATAGCGTTCAATCTCCAAGTGACGTTTGCGTACCAAGAAAGGGTACCCTGAAAAAAGGCGAGCCTGTTGGCTTGTATGGGTGTCTTTTGGGTGCCCCAAAATTGTGGTTTTCCGTTTGGTTTCCCTTCAAAACCGACAACAAAAAAGGTACCGAGACTCAAAAAAGAGACGCACCAGGTGTCCTTTGGTAATATCGATGGCCCTGGCAAAAGGATCATAAACAAAAAACCGCCTATCTAAACCAGTGGAACCGATTTCTATCCAAACTAACTAAAACAACTAGTAGTGAAATCGATTCCCTTCACAACTAACAAGGGAAATAAACAAAAGCTATGCTTAAGCAAATGGAACTGACGAGGTGACCCCCCTAATGCAGCGCGTCCCCGGCGTCCCCGGATCGGTGAGCTCGCCATAAATTATGCGGACCGACGCACTCGTCTTCTTCCGTTTGCTGAAGGCCCCTGGAAAAAATGAAACATGTCCAGTAGTTTGAAAGCAACAGGAAAATAAACAATACCCCCTACTCAGAATACCCGCTTGTTTCAGGGAAATTTTCGGAATACCTGGTTGTCCATGGTAAACACCTCCTTTTTTAGTACAGGGTGGACCTGATACCCTGCAAAAAGGCCGGGTATTTGGAGTAGGGGGTACTCGCGCGTCCGCCGGCTCCAAGCCCCACGCCACTGCCAGCCCTTCTCGCAGGCCGCGATGGCGCCGCTGCAGGCGATGACGTCGGGGCGCTCCATGCCGGCGAGGATGGCCAAGGCGCTCCTCGCCAGTGCCAGTGCAGGGAACGAGGGAATGACCTCCTGTAAACCAACCCTTTGGTGGCTTCCTTTAAACGAAATTCTTGGTTCCATCGGTGCATTCCCAAAACCTGGGTCATACCCCTACCTGGAGTCTCCATGACGTTTTAAAAATGGGGTCATTACCCAAAATAAAGGGGTCATGACCCCCATGTTTTAAGGCTCGTGGAGACTCCAGGTATAAACCCTCCCTTGTGCTCTTCTTTGAGGAGATCCCTAGGTTCATTCCCAACACCAGGGCCACTCCCTGAGCAACACGTGTTTTGGGGGGCGCCGGACCTAGGGTGGCTTTCCTTGGTCTGTTGGGGCACGCAAAAGCTGGGCCCTTCAGGGGATTTTGCCGGTTGAAAGGGGAAAATTGGCCCACGGCCTGCTTTTTCTAGGGTCCTGGAAGATGGCGTCCTTTTTGATTCTTCAAACCACGCAAATTGAAGCCACAGTTCAGCCCTTATGCGGTCGCACTTTTTTCACGGGGTCTCTGTTTTGGTGGTGTGGTTGTTCAAGGATCCGGTGGGAAGCGACGCATTTTGGTGGGCCTATTCAAAGACACTCTCGAATTCCAACAGCCTAATAAGGGCCTGAAATTGATAATTGACAGGCAAGACTTAAAGCTTGCTGGTGCTCACAAGGGAATGACCTCGGGTGTTGGGACTGAATCCTTTATTTATCCAGGAAACCACAAGCTGAGCACCGGACCTGGACATAGACTGTTAATCTTTTGGAACCTTGACGGAAAATTGATCACATTGAGAAGAGCAAATGGCTAAAGGTTGATTCGATTTGGGCGAGTGAGGGCTAGGTCACACAACCCAAACTGGGCTGTCCTCTGATCCTCTGTTAAAACTTAAACATTTGGTGAGCAACTGGAAGTCCAAACGCGAAACCAACTAAGCACCACTGAAAGCCTAAGATGAACCGGACGATTCGCTGGGAAGCACCAAGCTATTTACCCAACAAAGAATAGTTCCCATGGCTTCAAAGTGCACGATTTCGTCACAGTATTAGCCTCTGATAGGCCTTAGCAGCCTTTTTCGGGTCTACTGGGGTTGGGGCACTCCTGTTGATTCTTTTTTGGCCTAAACAAATTCAGGGTCCATGATTATATTAATAGATTAGGTCCCCACTTTTAGAGGGGTTTCCCCAACCCCCCTATTCATAAACTGAGGTTGATGAATACAGTGGATGGACGAAATCCTGCACCGCCTAAGAAACCCTGGAATGACGCCCCCCCCCTGTAAATACCAACCAACCTTCTGGTTTCAAACATGGTTTCTTCGGCGGTGCGAGAAGCGGAATTACACGCACCCGCTCTCACGGCTGAGGGAGGCGCTGCCATTGGCTCGATTTCTCGCAGGCGCCGATGGCGCTGGACAGCACCACCGCGGCGGAGCCGTCGGCGGTGCCAAGCCGAGCCGCGGCCATGTGACGCAAGACCTGCGGGTGGTCCTTAACTTTTTGGCTTCCCCTAAAAACCTGGGGTTCCTTGCCCCATTAAAAGAATGGTCTTGGGACCCAATTGGCCATGGGTCAAATTCCCGTACCCCCAGTGAACATCCCAACCCCCACTAAAAAAGACTAAATGGGTGGTGCACCTACCCCAAAAATGGTACCATTGGTTTTGACCCACAGCCAATTTGGATGATGACAATCCTTTGCTAAAATGGTGGTCCTCTACACTATCATGTCCCTATAGAACTCCTGGTAGCTCTGAAAGGCTCCCTCTCTTTGAAGGCAAACGTGGATACCCGCAGCTTCTTGGCTCCCTTCCAACCTCCACTTGATAAAACCCGTTCAAGAAAGGAATTCGGAGTTTGAGAAACACCTTTTCAACGGACATGCGGTGTTTTTCGCTGGGATGGTTTGGAAGGTTTTTTTTGGCTAGTGCTAAAATTGTGCTTTTTGTCTTACAAGTCCCCCAAAATGGTGGTGTTGCTCTTGGTTTCCCTTAAAACCACCAAACAAGGGGGACCCTCAAAAAAGGACACACCCCAAATTGTCCAAACCCAAAAACAGTGACTCCAGGAGCGCGGCCCAGCGAGGGCCTCCAAACCGCTGTCCCAGTTGGAGGCCGCCTCATAGGCTCGCACAAGGCCGCCGTAGAGCACAAGATCCCTGCGCATCGCGACGGCCAATTCGTGGACGGTTTCATCCAACATCCAAAGCTGCCTGGGTGATGTATCCATGTCCATCCTTTGTGGGGTTCATATAAGCTCATCAAGATCAACTAGTTGGTAGGTGATTTATCCATTTCATCTCACATGGGTTTCATCAAGATCAACTAGTTGGTAGGTGACTTTGTCCATTTCATCTTCGTTGGGTTTCATACAAATTCATCAAGATCAATCAGTTCGTATGTTGACGTATCAATTTTCTCCGTTGGGTTATCAAAAGCCAGAAGTTGGTAGGTGCTCACCGGGTTTTATCCATCCCTGGTGTTGCAGGATTGCATGGGTGTTAGTACAGGGGCCAGCCCAAACAAAAATGATTTCCTCTTTGGATTGGTTTAGGGTTTAGGGTTGTCGGTAGGCAAAGTCTTGAAGCACTTTACCTGACCGGGACTCGGGACCCCACTTGCTTAGCATCCCCAGTAAACAAGTCCCGGGCTTGGCTTTGGCGAAGGGAGAGAACAATGACTTCTCCATTAAACCAACAAAAGGCTTCGTGCTCAGAGCGACCCAGTTGTGCAGGGTGAGTCCCACAAGGAGCACTTATCAAGTGATATTTAGACACACCCACTTGCAACCACAGGGAATCGACCTTTTGATCCGATTTGTTTTGCTCAATTGCCCAAAGCGAATCGCCCTTGTAACCTTTGGGTTTTCCTAATACGGTCCATACATTTTATCAAGGTTCCAAAAAGCGATCACTTATTATTTCCAGGCCCTTTGGGCAAAAAGTAAGCAGGGGCCCCTGACAAACAAAAAAGGTTCTGTTCCTTTTTTAACCCAAGCAACGTGCCCCCCTCTGCTTGTAAAATCCCTCGGGAGTGGGGGATCCAATTCAATTCATAAACGGACAGTTGCTCATCTAAATGCAAATCCCAGGTTTCACCCCAGGGTGGGCATCTTGCAAATCCTCCCATCCTCCCATTTTGCCGCCTTGACCGAGAGCTGGTCTCTGCGAAGAGGCACACGGCTTTTTGCCACTGGCTTACCTTGGCCGAAAGACCAGGTTTCCAAGTTTCCAAGCCCCCCTTCTCCCCTCTCCACCGCCCCCCGTATATGATGGACACAGAGTGTTTACTTTGCACCCACCTTCGTTTAGGCACATTGATGGTTATATTTCTTGCCAAACAGACTAAGTGTGCCCATGGCAAACCCCGCTCGCCCGGCCCCTTTCCACAAATGTAGATGCCCTGACAAGGCGATAAGCGTTTTTTCCTTGAGGAAACCAAGAAAAGTTTGGACCGGGAAGACGTGGATCTGTAACATATGTGCATATTTAAATACCTGGAGTCTCCATGACCCAAATGGGGGTCATTACCCAATACAGGTGTCATGACCCCATGTTTGAAGGGGTCACGGAAACTCCGGGAACATATATATATATATATATAGATATATAAATAATTGTCATTTGCTTGAGCCCCCGAAAAAAAAAAAAAAGGGGAAAAAAAGGGGAAAAACAAAGTAGTGACAGATTCCCTTTAGAATGAATGGGGGGGGGGAAATCAAACATACTCTTAAGCACATAGAAGAATATGTGAATGTATGCAGAATTAATATACATATAGATCAATAAACAAATAGGTGTGGGAAACACACACACACACACACACAAAAAAAAAAAAAAACGGTACCCAAGATGGAACCCTGGTAAATGGAAACCACTAAAACCTGCAGTCCAATTCCTGGTGGCTTAATTTTGACCCATACCCAAATACCAATACATATAAACACATGTTTGCCCAGGCGCCGCGGTGCAGCTACTCATCGCGCTGCTCACCATCACCTCTCGACAGCTGAGCCGGGTGCAGTTTTTCGCTTTAAATCGAGGAGCCCCCCGAAATGGTGGTATACCGCCACTTTTTTTCGGTCCCTCTCTGGGTTGTTTGGGGGTGGACCCCCAAACTTCGGTGCTTAAGTTTCTTTCAACAGTTTCCCTTTTAACAACCATCCAACTCAAAAAAAACCAAAAAAACCAAAAAAAACATCCCTTTGGTGGTAGCCTCAAAAAAATCCCCCGGCGCTCGACGTCCTGTCCGCATCGCATCGAATCGCTTCGGCGATTTTCGACTCACGGGATCCCAACTTGAGGGCTCGGATCGATCGATGGATCCTCGCTGGGGATGACGTCGAATCCGAGCCCCCGGGGTGGGAAAAGCCACCGGAAAGGGATCCCCTTCCCCTGAACCGGGACACCAAAAAGGGATGGATTCCATGGAGGGTCATTCCACTTCTCATGGTTTTCCTGAGCACCAAAATTAGGTCTTCTTCCCAATTCAGGTTCAAAGGCGGATTTGTTCCGCTCACTTCTGATCGAGTGGAGTGGCCAAAAAAAAGCTGCAAACTTTGTGCCCTAGCCACCCAAAAAATGGCCACCAACCCCCAAAAGCGGCCTTCAGAACTCCGAAACAGAACTCATTTGCAGTGAGTCCTGCAACCCTCATTTGACTGGGCTGGCCTCAGATTCCCTGCTAAAAGTGACTAGCTTTTCGTGGGTTAAATGACAAATGAGGTGCCGTGTGAATTTGTGGGTACCCTTGGTTGACGTTGGAAGGGGAGCAAAACATTAAATGTTAGCAGTTAAGTGGGAAATTCCCACTAAACCACAATAAGCAAAAATGGGAAAAATGTTTCCCAACGACAACCATATACCCCCCTCGTCCAACATGGAACCCACCAGAGAAGCTCCCTTTTTTGTGGCTCCTGCGTGGTTTGTGATACCAAGCCTTTCCCAAAAAACAAATCGAGAAACTGAGCTCCCATTGGTGAGGGGTCCTCGCTGGTGCCCCCCAGTGGGTTCAATGGCTTAGCTACCACCAAGCCAACTAAAACCCTCCAGTCACTTCCCGAGTGGATGGCCAAACGCAAGTTCACTTTTGTGTATTTCCCACTAAAATGCAACCAAACCCAAAATGTATATAAAGTCCGAACCGGACCTCAGGAAGTGAGTTCAAAGCCTAAGTTGAACCGGACGGCTGGTTGAGCCTTGGGCGAAATAGGGACAATAACACTAAACCAACTAAAAACCATCAAGCACAAACGGAAACCACCATCAAGCCCACTCAAAGCCTTGAAAAACCCAACTAAGACACCGCAGGGCGGGTTGAACCGCCAAAAGAAAAGCGTCACACAAAGGACACCACCAGTGAAACCTTGAAAAACAAACAAAGGAATCCGGAGGGCTCGTTGAAACCACCCAGGAGCAAAAAAAAAAAACGACACCAGACCCACCACCACCCCCACCACCCGAGCGCCCGGCGGGGCTTCTGGCGGTTCCGCTTCCGCCTCCGAGCGCGTGGAGGGCCTCGGTCCAGGCGCTGCAGCGCTCGTAGCACGTGACCAGCGCAGCCCAGGCCTCAGGCCCGGGATGCACCTGAGAGGCGCAAGGCGGAAGGCGATTTGCCCAGTACCGAGCACGTGGAAAATCCGGTCATCTCTGCTCAATTGGTATGGATTTTTGCGGGGAAAACTGGCTGTTTTTTTTGCAGACCCCCAGTAAAAATGAAGAGAACCAAACAAAAACTAAAATACATGCCAAGAACAGTGAAGCGGTTTCTCCGTGTGGCTTGTGGTTTCTCTGCTTTTAGTATTTTTTTTGTGTTGTTTCTTTGCCTGTTCTTGTGCTTTCGTATTCTTTTTTCTGAGCCCTTGGCTGTTCAAAGGCTGATTGTGTAGGTCTATATTTGCTCATGATTTTGGAATTGCATCCGAGGGGTAGGCACGTTGCGCGCGGTAGGTAGTTGAGAGCCCCTTTCGTGACTTTTGATGGGCCTTAGGTTCCAAGACGGTGTCCACTACCCCCACACCACTACTCAATTGCCCAGAGGACCTGGAGTACCTGGACCCTCAAACTGAGGGAATTCACCCCAATTTGGGGCAATAAAACATTTGTATTTTGTATTTTTTTTGGGGGGGTGTTTGAAACCTTGGCCAAACCAACGGCATAAAAGGTCGATTCACGTGGGGCAAGCGAGAAGTTTCCCGATCCCCATGCTATGTATTTACGCTCTGGCACAGCGATGGCAAAAAAAAGCACGCCCTTGTTTAAGCGGAACCCACAGCATGAAACGGGATTTGCTACCCTGTCCTTACAGATTTCCCGGTAGCTCCCTGTTGAAGGGCAAACTTGATACCCCCGGTTCCTTGGCTGCCTTCAGCGGCTAGGCAGTTTGGAGGCTGGCAATGGTATTCATCGGATTCTACAATACTAAGCAAGCACCCAAACTATCTCTTGACATTCTGAAAACTGCTAAGACTTCTGACTCATTCATCATCTTTTTGGAGTTTGTAAGCATTTCTACCCAACTTTTCGAGTGGTCTCGGTATGCAGGACGTGAAAAATATCCATGTGGCACTTTGGAAAAATAGATGGCCCTGGTAAATGGAATGCAGCTAACCAAAAAGGACACCGGTGGCCTATGACAATATCTATTGGTTAGCAACTCTGGCACTTTGTCAGGAACCGAGTTGCCCTTCAGGAACCCGGAAACCAGACGTGATCACCGAAGACGAATGGACCAAAGGGAAACCAAAGGGGTGTGTCTTCTTTTCAGGGTGCCCATGCAATGAGTGTGTTTGAAGGGAAACCATGAGGACACCAGCTACTTTGGTGTTTTCCATTCCCCTGCTAAATGTTTCACTTGTGGGTTGAATACGGAAATCCAACCACTAAACCAGCTAGAAACTTCAAACAACCTAAGGGACCAAGATCCGTTAACCCCGACGTCGGGTGAATTTCTCAGCTTGCCGGTTTCGCTTCGCCTCTCTCAGACCATTTTGGCGTTTTCAGATCCCTGCGGAAAGTTTCACTTGTCTCAGTTGTTCAGTGACATTGGAAAAAAAGGGAACCTTTTCGGGGAAGACCATTTTTAGTGGGGCCGCCCCCGCAAAAAAACAAAGAAGGAAAAAGGGTGCCACTGAACAACTGAGTTCTGGGTTAAATGGACATCCAGCCACAGAACCAGCCCAAAAAACAATGTTGAACCGGATGGCCGAAAAAACCACCCAGAAAGTGAAGCCCCACTTCGGTCGACGGGTCCCCGCCCGTTTCGCGCCTTCCGCGCCAGGCTCGTCCACAGCGCCTGCGCCTCGGCGAGGCGCCGGGCGCGGCCAAGCACCGCCAGCGAGGAGCCCAGAGTCACCGCGCTGGGGCGGCCCCACGACAGCAGCTCCTCGACGGATTTCTTCAGTTTCCCGACTTCCAGTTGCCTTTTACTTAAAGGGGCAGGCTACTTAGTAAGTGGTTGGTAGCTATGGTTATGACCCAGTTAGGAGACTTATGAACATGGTAAGTGGGTTATAACCATCGTTACTATTGTTGCCTGGTCAGTGGAAAACAATTGGAAGCCCAAAGAAGCAAAAAAGTAAAAAGGGGAACGATACGGGGGATTTGCTCAGCTTCCAGTGGATTAAGCTCCCCGAACAAAACAAATAGTGAGATAATCCCCTTCACAACCAACGAAGAGAGGGAATTCTTCAGCTTCCCGACTTCCAGTTGCCTTTTGCGTCCCCTGGAAAAAAACATAGGCAAATATGTCCAGAAAGGGAGAGGTTCACTTTGAAATATTGGCTCAGCTTTCATTAGCTTGAGCCACCTGGGGGAAAAGAAGTCTTCCATTTGCTTCCTTCGCCCCCCGGAAAAAAAAATCCGGTAGTGATAGATTCCAATTAAACTCAACAAGGGAAAATAAAACATATTCTTCAGCAAATGGAAGAAGTGATAGGCTCCTTGGTGGAAACCAAGAGGGGTTTGGTTTGGGGAGGGGTGGATCAGTGAAATACACCCAGTTGCAAATACGGCTGGACGAGGCAATGCGAAGCATAGGTGTATGCCGTCCAGATAGGGAGAGGCCGGGTTTCTAAACCCCAGCGAGCCGAAAAATCAAAACATCTTTCTTTCTGTGGCTTGGAGCGAGCCCGGCCGGCACGCGACGGCTTTTTCGGCTTGGTGATGGCTTGCTTCCGGAGCGAGCCCGGCGGTTCGGATTGCTTTTGGGGGAACCTACTCAGTTGCCCCTTAGGGACCCAGAACTAAAAGGTGATCACCTTTTGGGACCTCTACTGAAAATAGACCCAAAAGCGCGAAAAACAAAAGGTCAAAAGGTCGGCTTTGAAGAACTGAGCCTATAGAGCCAGGGCTTCAAATCCCCAAGCGAACCCAAACCGCCAAAGGCTTACCTGAGAAACCCGCCAGTGAAAACGTAACTTGAAAGAAAATGACAACTATAATATCCAGGTAGTCAAATCCATTCCCTTCCAAGACAACATGGGAACTTATAAAATACATCTTACATTTGCAACTAGCAGAGACCCTCACTTCCTGGATTCCTGAGTGGATGGGCCACACAGAGTCCAAACTTGTTGTTTGCCACTAAAAAATGGTATTCCAAAAAATTGTATTCCAAACAATTGTATTCCAAAAAATGGTATTCCAAACTGGTCTTCCAAAAAGAGTTGTTAAAGTCCGAAACGGAGCTCAGGGAGTGAGACAGGACCTTCCGGACATCAACTTCTGCTTGCTTTAACCAACTTCCGCGCGTCATGTGGGGCATCGCTTGACCAAGAAATGGGAACCCCGGAAATTCAGAAGAATCATTTTTGGTTGTAGTACTGTGCATGGTTGCGACATCCATTTCGTCCAACCTCAGAAACGCTGGAATGCTTGGATTCCCCAACATAACTACCCACGAAACCACTGGTTTCAACACCACGGTTCCATTTCTGTGGGGCGAGTGAAATGGATTTCGTGCATGGGGTAGTCTTCGTTTTGGTAGGGACTTGGTTGACCTTGGGTTTGGGGAGCAAGAAATCAAGTTTTAGCAGTTAAGTGGATTTGGATTTCCAACCACTAAACCACAATATACGCAAAAATGGGAAAAAGGTCAAACCCAACGACCACCATGGGGATGTAAATTACATTTGGGGGAAACACCCCTGCCACTCATGCAGGTTGATTTCTCCGGGGGCAATACTATAACTTTCGCTTGGAAACCACAGCGAACTCTCGGCTAATAGAGGTCGCTTCCGCGGCGGCTGCGAACCCAAACCCCAGGAATTGCCTTTTGGGAATGCGTCCAGCAAACGGCCTTAAAGGTGTCTCACTAATTTCGCGGCCCATCACTCACTCACTCGCGCACTCTCCACACTCATACTCACTCACGCTGACTCAATCTTCCTCAGTTGGCCAAAGTCTCAACTTTTGGGTTTTCCAAAAAATGATTTGAAGTTGTCACCAAAACAAGTTGTCACCAAAACAATTTTCCGAGAGAAACCGGAAAAAAAGGGTTTAAAGTCCGAAACGGAACTCAGGGGCGAGAACCTAAGGGAGCAGGGCGTTCCGCAGGAAATCCACTTGTTCTTCACTAAAATGGCTTTCCCAAGCGCAAAGTCCCGAAACGGACCTCAGGGACTGGGCGTGAGTATACGGGGTGAGGTTTCATCCCAAAAACCCCACCCAAGCCCTGCCCCCTACACCCAATACCCGCAGTTGGTTGAATGATGTCGACCCTTTACGGGAAAAAAACGGCTTTTACATTGGAAAACCAGGTGTTACCAAAAATACCCTGAAACAAGCGGATATTTGGAGTAGGGGGTAGGTTTCAACCCCCATTCAAAGAATGGCCTTGGGACCCAATTTGGATGAAAATTCTGATTTAGGAACCCACTGGGCGAGGAGACTTACCACAAGGAGTGGCTTCCCTTCGAAATCGCACGGGTAACCCACCCAACAAAAGATTCCATGCGGCGAACTCCATTTTAGGATCCAGATTCGTAGGATCCCCCCGCCCTCCAAATATTCGGCCTTGTCATGGCCGTATTTTGAAGCACCTTGCGGTCTCCATGACCCTTTAAAACGGGGTCATTACCCACCCCATGTTTTACTTCCATTTGCTTAAGCCCCCTGGAAATAAAAATAAAACCAATTTCCAGTAGTGAAATCGATTCCCTTTAAAACCAAGAAAAAAAAGAACAACCGTTCTCAAACGCCAATTTTGAAGTTTTCCAGGGCCATGGAGACTGGAAGGGTAGTTGCACGAAGGGGATCGGCTCGGGGCCTGCACGCGACCTCTCCTGCACCAAGGCGAGGGCGACCGCCCACTGCCCCTCCGCTTCGCACGCGGTGATGGCCGCGTTGATCCTCAGCTCGCAATCACGTTGAATCCTAGCCCAGCGGGGCCAAGGTCTTCTAGGTCCTCCAGTAGAGAGGTTGGAATAAGCTGGTACCAACTTTTTCTGTAGTCTAGTTTAGATCAAAAAAAACTTGGTAAAAGCGTACTACTGGGGGACCTAGTTGTATTTGCGGATTTGAGGAAGCTGTAAATGACGAATCCCCTTAAACCAAACCCAAGACTGTAAATATGGGGTACTTGGACTCTCTGGGGTACCTTCGCGGCTTTTGTTGAAAGACTCATTGTGCTTGCGCCAGCAAAAGTTGTCATTCAAGGAATCCAAATTCAAGTTGACCCCAGAATATGCAGAACTGGTTGATATTGGTTGAATTGATCAGTGTCCCAGTGCCCCCTTTTGTAGGGGGTTTCAGACCACTTTTGGGTTTGGCCACATCCAGAACCTCAAATCGACCAGCGAAACTTGTGACTGGGACCGCTCGGATCGCAAAACGATGACAATGTGCGCCTCGAGCGGCCCCTAGAAACAGCAGCCTCATTGGGTTGGTATGTTATTCCCTGGCTTGGTGCATGTTCAAGAAGAAGGTTTCTGCAAAAGCAACATGCTCCCAATGCCAGTACACATGCAATTCTCGCCATGTTGTTTGTCTCACTTCCGATCGAGTGTACTTGCCAACAAAATGTCCAAACTTTCTGGTTGACAACGAAAAAACGGCCTTCTCATCTTAGAGGGGCGTCCTCGTAAGTGGCGCAGGAGCAAAAATGGCACCACTGGGCTTTCCGATTCAGAGCCAACTCGCAAAGGGACAATGACTAGAAGCCACTGGGACCATCATGTGACCTGCATGGGGCTTGCCATGGCTCTGAATCAGCATCGGAGGAAATAACTACTATAACTCCAAACTGGGTTGTGTTGGTACAAGGACCCGCCCAACAACTCAATTGGGTGCGACATAGAGCGGTCTGCACACAAATCAAGAATGATCTATGCCGGTTGGCTTCCTTTAAGACATGTTGACATTGTTTGATAAAGCGCAGCGGGAAAACAGGACACCCCTTTGCCTGACTTGCCCAACGAACCTGGAAATAAAAGGTAATCATCTTTCGGGATCTTACTACAAATGACAGATCAAATGGTCGATTCGATCTAAGTTTGACAAGTCGTGTTAAACGAAAACTCATTTCCTGAAAAAGGCCTTCAGGGTCCCACTGTCTGAGTAAGTGGCCTAGTAAGGTTAGAACAAGGGTACCAACTTGTTTTTCGGTCTATTTTAGTAGGGGAAACCTCCCAACCAAAAAAGTTGGTGAAAGGGCACCTAGCTGGGGGACCTAGGTGAGGTAAAGGGAAACCCAACCTCTGAACAGGCAAAACCAGGGTTAGGACTTCCAAAGCCTCTCCGCAGGCGTCCGGCCGCAGAAGGCGAATTACAAGTTCGACTTGAAGGGGTGGATGGGTCAACTTCCCTTGCTGTTCGGGCAAACAAACCCAAAAAAGGCAGCACTTGTTGGGATTTTGCCTGACCCGCCCCACGGAAAATGAACAGAAAAGACACAGAAGAAACCAGGCAACATGCCCTCCCCCTCTCCCCCGTGGATGGACAAAATCCTGCACCACTTGAAACCATGGGAAACCGCTGTTTGTTAGTATTTACAGGGGAATCATCATTCCTTTGGGTTTCTTAGGTGGTGCGAAATGGGTTTCGTCTATCCACCGTAAGATCACTTGCGATTTCTTCCTTGATATACTCTCCTAATTCGCGTCGAATCCAAAAAAGTATGTTTTTAGAGAGCTTCCTCGGACACAAAGAAGACCCAAACCACTAAACAGCTAACCCTCCCCCTCCCTCACAAAAAGAGAGACAACAAGAAGACCCAAACAACCAAAACAAACACTTATCTTCCATTTGCTTAAGCCCCCTGAAAAAAAAAAAAAAAAACATCCAGCAGTGATAGATTCCCTTAAAAACCAAGAGGAAACAAACAAGTATTCTCAAGCAAATGGAAGATATCAAGCAAACCAAGAATGAAAAACAACAAATATCAAAACATATTCTGAAACAAATGGGTTTTGTCTATCCACAGTAGGGAAACTGCAGCGAAGCTGCGCCACCGTGTTCACCTCCGCGAGTTCCAGAAGCTGCAGCGCCCGAAGCCACGAGCCAGCCTCGCTCGAAGAGACCGCCTGGATCGCGAGGCTCACCCATGGCTGTGGCTCAAAAATGGGGATCCAACATGGGGTGTTTTTCTCCACCAAAAGGGGGGGGGGGGTTGAAGATGGGGATCCAAAATGTGGCTCAAAAATTGGTAAATAGAAAGATAGACTAAAACCTGCGTAGCCCCAGCTGCCTAATTTTGAGCCACACCAACATGTTTCAAGTGTGCCTCAGGGGGAGTTCCCCTGCAGCAAATCACTGAATTTATTTTGGCTTTTTGCCCTTTAAAGCAAAAAACCGTGTCCTCCGGAAAAAAAGGCAAAGGACTCTCACGGCCATTTGCTTTAAAGGTGCTCAAAGAAATCGGACAACAAGCCGTGAGGGAAAAACAGAAGGAAGTTTCAGGGGTGCGCTTGGCACACCCCTTTTACATTCCCTTTATGCAATTGAACCCAGGCCTGTTCATATCCGTCCCAAAAAGGGGGACATATTTTGGGCTGGAAGCCACAAATTTGGAGGTGCCTCTAAGAATTTTGACACATGGCATCATATACCCAATGCCGTAGCAAACGAGCCGTGACCATTTGTCTCGAAACGCACAAAGTCGCCTCAGCAAACACCTGGGAACAAAGGCAAAACGCATAGGCAAAAGACTTCCCAAGCCCGCCCCTTGAACCACACTTTGAAGAGGCAATGTTGAATAACTTCTGGAAATGAACCAAGGGAGGGGTTTTATACTGTCAACGGCTTCCCTTGCTCACTTCCTGAGTGGATTGGCCCAAAAGAGTAAGCACACTTGTTGTTTGCCACTAAAATGGCAACCAAACCCCGCACAGTTTCCCTGGACCCTCAGACTACCAAGAAGAAAGTGAACTCAACCCCAAAAAAATTGGGGGCAACCCATGGGAACTTGGAGGATCCGAGTTCCGGAACTCCCTTCCTGCGACTTCTCGTTAGTTTGCCCCCATTCCCTGCAACAAACAAGCGACACAAACCTCAAACCCATCTTTCGTTGGCCAAGTTTCAAAACCCAGGTGGCAGTTCAGCGTTCGGTGCCCTGTCTACAGCCACCCTTTTCAGCTCGAGGCAAATTGCGAAAGAAGACATCTGCTTTGGGGCCTGTTGATTCGCTCTTTTGCAGGGCGTAGTTCTGGGGTAAACTCCTCCAAAAGTTGCGTTTACTTGTGGGTGCCTTTGAACTGTCACTTTTGGAGGTCCAACCAAAAGACATTGAGGGACCCTGTTCTGAACAAACCCCAGACCAATAGATCTCCAGGGACAAAATCAGAAAGGACACCCTTTTTTGGCTGGCTGATGCAGGGCCACAAACAAGCTGAACAAAAGCACAACATAAACACAGAGGTCTGCATTTGAGCCCTCAAACTGCGCCCATGTTTGTACGAAATTAGCCAAGATTGTGGTTTAAAGGGGTTTGAATGCCGTGACCAAAAAGCAATTTGAGAACAGGCCTCCCCCCAAAATGGAACCACTTCTTCAGGCCGCTCCCGCCCCCAAACAAAAAAAAAAGCCACTAAAATCAAGCACCCAAATCCCCGCTCACTTCGGCTTCCCTTGCTTCTTGCAGCTCTTCGGAGCTCTATACCGGCCCTCCTTCCTTGGGGTCCCTTCCCCCCCGAGCGCGGGCATGGGCGGCTCGCGGGGCCTTGACAGCGGCGGAGACGGCGAAGGCGTTGGGCTCCAGCGCCTCCTGCGCCATGGCGGCCACCGCCTGACGAGTCGCCGAGGGCGTCGCCGAGTCGAAGAGTCTGGGGAGCGAAGCCGCGGGGCGTCGACCGCGGGGAGGTTTTGGGGTCGAAGCCGCCGCAAGAGGCGCCCCTGGGCTTCTCTTTTTTTAAAGCCCCCTGGGGAAGAAGGAGCAAGTATACGGTCCGGTAGTGGGTCCCGATGAAAACACCAACCAGGGGAAGTAAACAAACATAGTCTGTTCAGCAAATGGAAGAACAAGTGACTATAGTCCAGGGATTAGGAAGTGAGTTGGGTTGCTTTGAAGCGGTGCATGCAAAGACAAAGAGATCCCCCTTGCACTAGTACATGCTGGACCACCGCCCCCCACTCTGCATTATTAATTACTTGGAAAGCGGCTCCTGGCAAGGAGAACCACAACCATGGTTGGGCGTGACTCTCTTTCAAACAAATCCTGGGGGGCGGAGGGGGTAGATCTTGGAGTTTTGCTGTCTTCCCAGCCGAGCTGGAAACGGAGCCGTGCTGGAAGCTAGACATGGGAGTCTCGATCTTTTTTGGGCTTCCTTTGAACAACTCAGGAAAATAAGCCTAGGTGGTATCCCCAACTTCCCAGGAACCCCTTCCGAAAGCCTCCGCAGCATATTTGGACACACACACACACCTTGCAGCTGTTGGGGAAGAGTGGGCTACTTGGAACCCAAAAATCATAAAGTGATGCCGAAGTGAGGGGCTCTAGCCTCCTCGGCATTTTTTGCGCTGCACAAAGCAGGGGGGAACCAAACAAAACCAACGAAGCTCCAATGGAACAAGCAGGGTACTAAGTACAAATGTTCACACCTATGGCTACAGCTGACGCAAAACCATGCTAAGTAATCTGCCCCGTGAGGTGTGGCGCTGCAGCATGCAGCTGTGGGGCAGAAAGTCTGAAGACTAACAAATCGAGACCTCCCCAATGCCACCTATGGCTTAGGGCTGTGGATGGACAACATTTTGCCAAAGACATCCTGGAATGATTTGACTCCCCAATGCAAATTGCCAACAAACGCTATGATGTTTCCAACCCATGGCTTCATTTCGGTGTTGCGCCGATTTTGGGCACCACCAGCCAAGTGGCGCAATTTATTTGGATTTCGCTGCCATCCACAGAAATCCATTTGGTTAATACCCCTGGGAAAAGTCAAGCATATGTCCAGTAGTGATAGATTCCCTTTAAAGCCAACAGGGGGAAAACAAAAAACAAACTTAAGCAAATGGAAGCAGCGGGGCAAGATCCGCCTGAAGCACCGCAGGCCACCGGCTTCCGCGCTCCAAGGGCGTCAGGCACCCGCTGCAGTAGGCGATGGCGTCCACTTGCCTCGTGGCTTTTTCGTGGCTTTTGTGGGTTGACGTGGCTAGTGTGCATTCCGTAGCTAGTGGTTTGAACATGCTGATGGTTGTGGGTTGAACTGGTTCGTGGTTGTGGGTTGCCGTGGTTAGTTTTGTGGGTTGAACATGCTGATGCACGTCAGTTGGTGTGAGTTGCGATGGCTTCTGTACATGTACCAGTGGCTCGCCCTTTAAGGGGAGCTCCACTACCTTAGCGGTACAGGTTTGCAGAACTTTATTGAGTGGGTCCAGCCTGGCAGCTGAATGGGTGGATTGGGATTGGGCCTTTTTCGGGCTTTCTTTGTTCCTCGGTTGGTGGTTTGGGTTGGTGGCCACGGGGGCCTTCTTAGGGCCGAAAGGTTAATGGGAACCCCATGGAACCCCGGATTAATCAACCCCAGCTTATTGCATAGAGGGTTTCCCAGGTGAAATGCGGGGAATCAGACCACTTTTGGAAGGGATGAATCTGGGGTTCCCACTAGCTTGACCTGTGATTTCTGGGTTCGTAAGGTATCCTTGCCTGAAGCGAATCGACCTGAAATTATATTTTAGTTTCCCCGTATTGAATTTCCATTTGTGTCCCTGGTTCCTTCATTGGTGGTTGGGGCTGGTGGGGTAAAGAAAAACTACTGACCACCAAACCCATGATGTCATGGGTATCGCTTGGAGAAAGGATCCTTCAGCTCTAGAAACCGGTTTGGATGTGGCCTTTTGTCGATCCACCCCATCAGAATATTAAAAGGGTGCTAACAGATTGCGAAAAAAAGGACCAGCAGCGTGGAAAACCGGTTCAATTCAAGATCAGCGCAACCGTTTTTTCCAGATTCTAGAGAGGTCCCCGGGGATGTCGGATACGTTGCCTCGGACGGTCGGCGGGGATACGGGTCTTGCAGTCCATGTCAAAGATTTGGGTGTGACCTTGTCCACATCAAATTGTTGGTGGGGTGTAGTGACCGCCTATCACTTTAAAGAGGTGGTGGCCCTGTCTCCGAATTTGGTGGGGACTAGACCACTTTGGAGGTTGGAATGAGGGTACCAACTTTTGTCCGGGTAGTCTATTTTACTAGGGGAACCGAATCTCCCAACCAAACAAGAAACGGTAAAAGCTGGCACCGAGCTGGACCCAGAGGTGGCCCCTGCACCTCAGAAACCCGGAAACCATGATTCCCCAACGTAAATACCAACCAACGATGGCTTCCTACTGCGGATGGTTGCGAAATCTATTTCGCACCACCTCAGAAACCTGAGAATCCTGATTCCCTTGTAAATACAAACCAACGATGGCTTCCTATGGTTTCATTTCGTGGCGCGAGATTTGCGGATTTCGCGTGACCCTCCACATGAAGATCCACCGCTCCAAGGCGCAGACCGGAGCGCAAGGACTCGAAGATGTGGAGCGCCTGCTGCCACGCGCCCGCTCCTCAGGCCCAGAACTTGGCAGCTTGGCAGCTGCAGCGACCCCTACGGGTCCCCTACTCACAAGACCCGCTTTGTTCAATTGTTGTTGTTTTTTTGGAAAACCTGGGTCTCCATGGTAAATACCTCCTTTTTTAGTGGAGGGTCGACATTGTCGACATGATGCCCTGAAAAAAGAGGGTATGAGTAGGGGGTATGCAAGATAGTGGTTTGCTTTTTGTAGGTCCAAGACGGAAAATCCACTGTTTAACCCACAAAGCAAAGAACACCACAAAGCTGTAACTCCGATACGGAACATCCACGTTGCTCAAACCGCAGAGCTGTGGGGTCGTTACATAAAGTTGTTCAATTTGTGTGGGTGCAACACGGAAAATCCGGGTTCCTACTTCAACCAAAAAGAGAAGACACCCGAAGGATGCGTCGTCAAAATAAAGAGAAACCCAGCGAGCCGACCCCTTCTCCACCCCCAAAAAGGGGGGTCCCAGGCTGAGCAACCCCAATCCCCTCGCTGGGGCGGGGAAAATGCTGCCAGAATTCAAAGGGGCCAAAGGCCCGTTGTTTTTCTACTCCTGTTGAGGAACCTCCCCCCTTTTGGCGTTCCTTTTGTTCATTTGTGCGACAAACTGGGCCGTCTGAAGCATCAGCCAGGTCCTCCCGATTTGAGAGCTTGGAATAAGTTGGTCCGATTTTTGTTTTTATATTTTTGTTTTTGTCCATTTTAGTAGGGGGGTTCCCCCCCCCCCAAAAAAAAAAAGAAGACACAAAAAAGAAGACACAACAAAAGGACAAAAAGGGCCCGCAAAAGCCGGCACTCCTAGCTGGGGGGCCCCTAAGTCAGCCCGAGGCTCGCGAGCAGCAGCTCATCAGCGAGCTGGCCGCCGCCAGGTCCAGGCACCCCGACGAAGCCAAGACGAGGGCCGCGGGCCAGAGGCTCTGCTTGCACAAGCCGCTTACCGCGGAGCCTGGGAGCCATGCCACTTGGCCATGGGCCAACATGACTTTTTGCGGGGAACACCCCCCCCCCTCTTCATTGGGGTCGCGGAACCTGGAAATGGAGGGTTTCACAAGTTCTGCACTTTATAAGGGCTGCTTCATAAAGGCTCCTTTTGAAGGAAGCTTTATAAGGAACCTATATAAGACCTTTAAGAAGCCTTTTTTATGAGCCTGCATGGGCCAACATGACTTTTTGCGGGGAACAACCTTTCTCTTCATAAAACTGGGGTTGATTAATGTGGGGTCAACATTACGACATATGGCTATGGGTCAAAACCCCGTACCCCCAGTGAACATCCCAGTCCCCACTAAAATAGTTTCAAAAATGGGTGGTGCACCTACCTCAAAATGGTACCATTGGTTTTGACCAACAGCCACTTAAGTAGGTTGGTTATAACCCTGGATCTAAGCACCCCCACTTACCCTACTTTTTCCCCATGAGTATGACCTACTTAAGTGGGTTGACCGTCACAGTGGGCTCGAGCTATGGTCAACCCACTTGAGGTGAGAATCATGGGGCAAAAGTAGGGGAACTGGGGTTGGGGAGCGATGTACCCACTTAAGTAGGTTACCCTGGAGCGAGAAAACCCACTTGGGGCCATGGGTCAAAATCCAAATCCGTACCTCCAGTGAACATCCCAATCTCCACTAAAATAGGTTCTAAAATGGGTGGTGAATTAACCTACCCCAAAATGGTACCATGGGTTTTGACCCACAGCCACTTAAGTAGGTGAAAAACCCTGGATGTATGGGAACCAGCCCCGGTTGCCCTACTGTTCCCCATGAATATCACCTACTTAAGTGGGTTGACCGTCGAAGCGGACTCGAGCCATGTGCAACCCCCTTTGAGGTGATAGTCATGGGAAAGAAGTAGGGCAACTGGGGTTGGTTCCCTCATATCCAGGGTTATCATGTTGCCCCCATACTAGTCAACCCGAGTTAATTAGTAGGGGGGATGTCCCTGGTTGAAATGTGGGGACTTAGTCGCTTTTGGAGGGGCCCCCTACCCCCCCCATTCATAAACTGGGGTTGGCTACTATGGTCAACATTATAACCCTGGACATAAGCGAACCAACCCCAGTTACCCTACTTACTCCCATGATTATCACCTAGCTAAGTGGGTTGAACATCCAAGTGTATGATTTAGTCAGGCAGATCAAACACACTCAGCCAAGGGCAAAACCAACGGAAAAAGCTTGTGTAGGTCTTCTTGGAAACGATTTGTCTCCAAAAGATCGTTGTCTAAAGGGGCTCTCGAAAATGTTCTGTGACGAGCGGCGAATCTTCGTCCCGGGTGGGCACTTGCGGGCTACCAGCCGGTGGCTTTGATGGCAGTGCGGTGCCCGTTTTGCCGAGGAGGGATGGATGGCCATGCGCATTCAGTCTATGGTGGATGTGCTGATGATGCCGCCTGCAAGCGCGCGGCAGAAGGTGCCAGGAATGTTGATGATACTCTCCAGTTTGGATTTGCTGGCTTGCAGCAAACGGGGCTGGGGACGGCTGGGGATGCTAGCGAGGCAGACAATGGCAGACATGTTGCTGCGGATGCTGATGATGCAGCCCAGCATGGTTGCATGACACTTGTGCTGGCCAGAGGGCATGCTGATGATGCTGCTGCAGTCCCCACCTGGCCACCGACGAGCATCATTTGCCGATGCCGCCGGTATTATAGGCTCTCGCAGCAAACCCTGATACAGCCCTGGAACTCTCACTGGCACGTCTAATGGACACCCACATTGCCACCAGAAACGGCGGGTGATGATGATGCAGGGTGCCTAATGGTCAGCATGGAACATATGGTGGGAATGCTAATGATGCAGTTGAGCATGGGGGGGGGCTGATGTTTGTCGCAATGGGATGCTGGTATTGCTGGTCATGCAGCCTCAGCGTGGCCAACTGGGCTCTGGCCAGGGGTCAGGGATGCAAATGAGTCCCAGCATCATGCCTGACTGATCCCTAGCCGCAACAAAGGTGCTAAAAAGCCGCCTTGACATTCGACGTGGTTGATGATGCTACTGGCTTCAACAAAACAAATTGAGGGTCCCCCCCATTTACTTTCTCGCTTTCGCATGCATTTAACCAACAGGCGACTTGTCCCGTTTCACCGCATGGCAAACTGCATGCCCTCGCTGTCGTGCAAGGGCATCAAGCCCCTCGGACATCCCGAGTCAGGCTCCACGGAGTACTTCTACGGCTAAACCTGAACCCTAAATGGGGCAAGTTAAGCCAAAGGCTGGAAAGAGACCAACAAGGTGGTTCTGGGCGAGCCACACGCGCTGTGGGTACTTCTAGCCAAGCGTCATGTAGTTTGTATTTTTTAAAGTGAGATGGGGATGTATCTCAGCGTCATTTGTTCCCTGCTTTTTCCCCAGCTGAACGCTATGGGGGCTCTGCCCAGCCGATGCCCTGGTTTTGTTCTCTGTCATCCCCAGAAAAGAAAGTGTTCCCCGAAAAACCTTGGTTGACGTTGGAAGGGGGGCAAAAATCTAAATTGTAGCAGTTAAGCGGGGATTCCCCACTAAACCACAATAAGCAAAAGATGTAAAATGTTTCCCAACGACGACCATGAAACGTCGCCACTCAGCTCCAAGGAGCTGCACAAGGCCACAGCCGCGGCCTCGCGTCCGGCGCCGGGCGCGGCGAGCAAATCAGAGGCATCCTGCCAGGAGCTTTCGCGGAGAAGCGCCTTCCTCGGAGAGGGTCGCAGGCTGTCGCAGGCTGTCGGGTTTCCCTTTGAGGGAGCAGGGGAGAATGATGATATTACGGTCATACTGTGGATGGTTTCGCGAAATCCATTTCGCACCAAGAAACCACGGTTGAAACCATGACGTTTGTTGGTAGTTACAGGGGCATCATATTCCAGGGCTTCTTGGGTGGTGCGAAATGGATTTCGCGAAACCATCCACAGCAATTGACGTAGACAGCCCATGGCTTTGGGCTAAACCCTTTGCAAACGCCTTACAAGTCTTCTCAGTTTGATTGTCCGACCAACAGCTGGGAGCTACGGATTTCGGGCCCAGATTGGCCTGTTGAGGGGTGGTGTTTCAGGAGGGTTCGGTTCCATTTTTTGTTTTTGGAAGCCGGAAGGTTACAGGTCGATTCGCTTTGGGCAAAAACTCCATGTTTGTAATTGGTTCTCTCAGTTGAGTTCGTCTCGATATATCAGCTTCCCCCTAATTGGTGGCTTGGAGGTTAGAGGGCACCTTCCACATTTGGCTTCAAAGGTGGGGTTCAATCCAAAGCCAAGCCAATCCAAAAACTACCAACTGGGAGAACCAAAGAACCAGATGGGCCTCATAACATGATGGACCCGAAAAAATGGCTGGTTTGCCCCCTTACCTGAAGTGAGGTTTGTATAGAAAAGGGTGACCTCATACCGAGAGGTCACCACAGATCCATTTTTGAAGGTGGTCACTCCACTCTGCAGCCTCTGGGCACATACCCCCGTTGCACAGCAGAGAACGACTTGGGTGGCCCTTTTTGCCACAGTTCCTACGGTGGATGGTTGCGAAAGACATTCAACGCACCACCGCTCAGAACCCCCAAGAAAGGATTCGATTCCCCAACAGAAATACCAACCAACAACCCTTCCCATGGCTTCTTAGGTGGTTCTGCCCTTGGGATACATGCAACCGCTAAATACTGGAATAACCCACCGACCCACCAACCCTGGTGTAAACGGTTTCGCAACCATCACAATATCTAGGTCCTCCTGTAGAGAGGTTAGAACAAGGGTACCCTTTTTCAACCAAAAAAGGGTGAAAGGGCACTACTGGGGGGACCTGGATATTGCGAACGTTTCCCCAAGACTTCCAGGCTGGGACCTGTTCGAGCCCCCTGAAGCAAAGGAAATGGCACTTTGAAAGTGTCTTCGGTAGCCTTTGATTAGCTTGGTTGCTGTTGACCCCCCTGCAAAAAGTTTAACTTTTTGGGGCTTTAGTGGAAAACACATTTATTTCTCAAAAAGTTAAAGTCTAAAGATCCGTTGCCCAATAGCAGTCAAGTTAGGGTGAACGTTCAAAGCTCTCAGGGCAACACGCTCCCCACCCAAAGGTTCCAAGTACTTCCTGAGGATGGCTTTTGGGGGGTAGGAAGGGGTCCAAGTCACAGGTCTAGCTAGGTGGTAAATAGGCATGTGTCCAAACATGGCCTTTTTTTGATGTTTCTTTTGGCCGGCGCAAAATGAGACATGCATTAACTCGGAAAGTCCAAGTACCAGTCTATCCGATCGGCAGGACTCCGATTGGTAGCTCTGAAAGGCTCCCGCGAGAAAGGAGAATTTGGAACTTCCCCAGCTCCGCAGAGGCCCCCTTCCCACCACCAGCTAGCAATTTCACCTGCAGTTCATAGAATCTCACCCTCCAGGGGTGCCAAGGTACATTCCGCTTTTACATTCCCTGTGGGCAAATGCGCCTCCACAATTGCCTGGTACATACCGCTCAAATGAACGCAGGGCCTGCGAATGTTCATACCCCTCTCCCCAAAACGCCTGCATTTGCCCTTGCAAAGCGGCTCGGAACCCTGGGGAGGCAGACCCGCAGTGGATCCGATGACTTGAGGGGCGCCCGCGACAGCCCAACCGAACTGCGAACTAAGCCGCACTGCCGCCGGCGCCATGGAAGGAACCGGAGCTTTGCAGCCGAACCCCCCAAAGTCGGTGTTGCCTCTCTGGGCCCGGAAGTTTTGCACCAAAACTGGACCAACATTGGAGCAAGAGTTCTGTGACTCATACTGGACACTGGACCCGTTGAACATTCAAGTGGACCAAATGTGAAAAAAAACAAACACTGGTCCGTCTAGGTGGATCGATTGTTACATCTCACGCGGCTTTCAGCGCAGCCAGCCAAAACTGGGGGGACACAAACCGGCAAACACGCTTGTTCCCCCAAAAGCAGATGAGTCATAATCAAAACCCGGTATTAAACTGGTCCACCCGGAACCATGTAAAGAGTTAAGAAGGCGGCCGCAGCTATTTATGGTTAAGGCTGTCCCTTACTAACCTTCATTTACCCGGGTTTTGATTGTGACTCACATGGGCAAGTGGGATGTGCCCCCGGATTTGTGTGGACTCCGTGGCCGCTTCGAGTTGCGACCTCATATTTTCCTGAAAACAGCAGTAGACTAGAAGAGTGATGTTCAGAGTATGACTTAAGACAAGGCCACAGAAAGAAAGAAGCCCCTGTACATGAGCGTTTTAGCCGCGAATTAGGCACACAAGAAACCAACGCTGCACAGAACCGTACTTAGTACTCAGCTTGAAAAGGTTTCACACCCTCAAAACGGATCTGCACTCAGCAAAACTAAATGTGGGAACTAAACAGCAAATCCTCTCTCTCGCATGCCAAACAGCAATTGCTTCTGGGATATTCATGGCCATAGGTGTCCTTTTAGGGGAAATCGATTTCCCTGGTGGATGATTAAACCACCAGGTAAACCAGGGCCATCTATCCGCCTACCAAAACCACCAAACGGGACACCTATGTTCGTGGCCCCAATCAGGGTCCACGTTGGCTCACAGGACGGTAGTTCCTACAACATCACAGCCCGAAAGCTGGCGGAAACTTGGCTGGAATCAGGACCCCGGCAAAAGTATATATCCTTTTTTTGCCTGGGTAGTGGAAAACAAAGGGGACCAATTCCAAAAAACACCCTACTTTGTCGCTTGCCTGCCAGTCCCTCAGATGCCATCCCAAAGCAATCGAGCTTCCAATCTCTACTCTTGGTATGGATTTGCGAAAAACTGACTGTTTGTTGCAGACCCCCAGTAAAAATGAACAGAACCAAAAAACTAAAAAACTAAAAAACATGCCAAGAACAGTGAAGCCAGAGTTCCGGAACTCGGACTTTCGTCACTTCTTGGAACAACCAAATTTTGGCAAACAAACAGCTTGGGCTTGGCTTTTTTTATGGCCAGCCCACTCAGAAGTAACAAAAAACAACTCCCAAAACCAAGTTCGCTCCATTGCCCATGGAAACTCAGGAAGGGACACGTTCGCGGTTCCGGCTGTCCTTGTGCCACAAACGAAGCCCGAGAGCTGGCACGTTGCCATCCACAATGTTCCCGGACCCAATGTCCAATGTATGGCTTGTCGGGACTCATGGTCCCATGGTAGATTTGATGACAAACGGAAATGTTGACTCCGACAAGTTCATTACCGTTTTGTGGTTGCTTTTAGCAGGGGGGGGGGAACATGAAAGATACCCAACCCAGGACACCCAGTAATCAACCAGGGTGATTAATCCTGGGTTCCCATTTGGAAACAAGCCATGCTCAAAAAGACAGCGCCAGACCTCCAATGGCAACAACCGGCGATTCGCACCTTTCGTTGGCACTGGTTTTCAAAAAGAGTGCTTCACCTCCTGGTGATTGACTTACCCCTTAAAACTCCAAGCCCTGGGGAAGTTAATATTTTACAGACATATAGCCCATGTTACCCAAAAAGTTGAGAAACTTTTGTGTTTTTAAGAGGCAAGTTGAAGCCGATTGGTAGCTTGGGCTTGTGGTTTGGAGGTTTGGGGGCGGCCTCCTGCACCTTAGCGCCGTGCGCATCCCCTCAGCTCAGGACCCCGCCAGTGCGCGCAACACGGCGCCGCGACCTTCACGACCCGCCGCCTGAAGTCGAGCAACCTTCGCTTTCTAGCAATGCCGCATGGCAGGACGGACCCCACGCCATCTTCCCAGATCCCCTGCGAAAAGTGTAACTTTTAGCGGGTTGCATAAGGGAAACAAACACTAAACCAACTAAAAACACATAAGATCCTGGGGGACCGGATGGCTGGGAGCCACCAAGATGCCACCAGAAAAACCTTCCAATCCGGTTGGAAACCAAGCGGAACCCTCCGCCTCCCGTGCAGCTGCGATGAGGATCTCCTGGCACTGCGCCAAGGTCTCGCACGCCGAAGGCTCCTAGCTGCAGAGAAGCCAAAGACCCAGCGACCTGTTCTGGTGGTACCCGGGAAATCAAAAGGTCGATTTTCACCGGCTTTGGGCAAGCGAGGGTTAGGGAGTGATCAGCTTCCCTCCAACTGGTTTGGTGGTTTGGTTCTTTTGGTGGTCAAGGATGGGTTTTCCATTGCCCCTTAGCACGAAGCAAGGGTTCAAAATCCCGAACCAATCCAAACCACAAATTCAGGGTAAGCTGAAAAGAAACCTCTACCAAAAACCGGGGGGGCGGGGAAGCCCGAGCTCGCCACAGGCAAGTGTATCAAACGCATCCGGCAGGGAAACCGGCCACTGCCAAGGCTAAGCCTTATCGGGACCCACCCAAAACTCCTGCAAAAACTGACAATCAAACCTTCCCTTTGTTCAAAATGCGGGGATCCCTGGTCTTAATATGTGAACAGTGGAAAACCACCACCAGAAAAGCCACTGCCATCCGGCAGCTTAGTCAGCCAAATCGAAACCAACACGACACTTGAAACGTAGCTCCAGCCAAGTTCCATGTTGCTAACAGAACTCCTGGTAGCTCCAAGTCTGGCTCCTCTGCAAAGCAGCAATTTGGATACCAGGCCCCAGCTCCCAGTCGGGGTGGTTTTTCATTTACACTCTACAAATCCCCAAACCACCAATCCAAATCACCAACTAATTAGGATTGTCCCCTGATGAATCCTGCAGTTACTACTGGCACAAAGGTTCCCCCTGTAAATGGCCAACACACGTTCTGGTTTCAACCATGGTTCTTTGGTGCTGCGCGTTATGGATTTCGCAACAATCAGCCGAAGTGGACCAACCCCTAGAGTCAAGCCAGAAACTTCCGAACGGCAGGGAACGGCAGGGAGCAGCACGGAACAGTTGCCATTCAAAAAAGTAAAGGGGAAATTATAGGTTTACGGCTATTAAGCTATTGGAGTTCATGGAGATTTCTCCAAGGGAAGCCACACACCAAAGAACTGGCAGGTCCCTTCCCCAGTTCCCTGGCCGTCTTCGCTTTGCTTTTTTCAGCCCGCTCCCCCGAGGCCGCCACTGAGCTCTCCGGCGCCTCGCGGCCGTCCGGAGTCGCGCGCAAGCGTCCCCAAAACTTGGTGGGGCGGCAACCGGTTTTCTCAGTTGCCCCCCTAGGGACCCAGGTTCACCTTTTGGCTTACTCTTACTTAACAACGGACCAAGAAGCGGGAAACCAAAAGGTCAGAAGGTCGATTCGCTTTGGGCAAGTGAGTCTTTCAACCTTTTGTTTCAACATTGATCTTGGCATTGTTGTAGACAAAGCTGGAGTCTTTTTGTTGCTCCCAGCCTCCCCACCAACGTTCACCAGTGAAGTTCAAGGATTTCGTAAACAAACAACAAAAGACCATTGGATGGTTCTGTTTTGGACAAGACCGTTTGGTCTTCATAAGCACCTACTGTAAGCGGTTTGTTTTTTCGTGTTCGTTCAGCAGATCTATGGCCCTTGTGATGAGGCGGGCTCCAACCCTCGAGGGTTGGAGCTTTTGTCCACGGGCGTGCTCCAGCCTCCAAGGACCTCTCTGCTGCTGTGGAGAAGACCTCGGCGGAGTCTCGGATCCGGATCCGTCCGGAACAGCCGGCCCTTCCGGCAAAGTGAGTTCCCTTGAAATGTCGGGGGGGCTGGGGGGTGGGGGGAATGGAACAGCTTTCGCCCTTCACACGGCAAAGTGAGTTCCCTTGAAATTTGGGAGAAGGGGGGGGCTGGAGGTTGGGAGGTCAACCCCTCCCATTCTCCAGAAAGTGGGGAAAAACAAAGACATGGTCCATTGAAACAAATGATCCCAACCACGGCAATCAGGTCCCATGCTAATGCTTTTGGTCCGATCCGAACGTGAACCTTCTGCTCGAAAGAACCTGGAGCCAGTATGGCTTTACCAGGTAGTGAGACAGATTGCCTTCCAAACCAACAGGGGCAAAACAAAAATGGTCTTATACTCACTTCCCAAGTTGATTGGCCAAAAAAAGTCTGAACTTTTTATTTCCCACTAAAATGGTCTTTCCAAAAAGTTTAAAGTCCATCAACTCAGGAAGTGAGTATACAAATGGAAGGATCTTAAGCTACTGGAAGGCATAGGACACATATTCAGCTTAAGCAAATGAAGACATAGGACTTGCTGATGTGAGTGTGTCTTCTTAGGGCAGCCCTGGCTTGGTCAAGAAGGAACCAAAGGAACACCAACAATTTGTGGGGGTAGCCCTAGTCTCACTTCCTGAGTGGATGGGTCCAAACAAATCGCCAAACCGTTCAACGTCCGAGCCACTAGTGGTCACCAAACCCTTGAAGAGACTCAAGTCCAAAGACTTGAGTAAGTGAGACCTATGGAGTCCCGGTCCCTTTGACCACCACAAAGTCTTGCCTGCTGTTGACCCCTAGTCTCACTTCCTGAGTGGATCCGGCAAAACACACCGCCAAACTTTTTGTCCAAGCCGCTACTGGCAGCCTAACCCAAAAAGCGACTCAAATCCGAAACGATGTTCCTTTTGAACCACCCACACAAAGTCTTGCCCCTCTTCAAAACGTTTAGCTTTGTGTGGGTCAAATTTGAAAAGCCATCTGTTCCCCGAAAAGTTAAAGCCCAAAGATCCCACCCAATATCAATCAGGAACGTCAACAAATGGTCCACCCCCCCCCCCAAAAAAAAAAAATAGAAAAAGATCCACCGATTTCCGGCCCCAGCCCTCCTTGGCCCCGAGCCGTAGGCCCGCCCGCGGCACAGGCCAAGGATGAGCCAGCGCCTGTTTTCAGGAAAAAAGACCGTCGAGGAATCTGTGGTAAACGACTATCCACCAAAAGGACTTTTGCAGGCATGGGCTTAGGTGAGGAGACTATACCACCTAGTCCTCCAGTAGAAAGGTTAGAATAAGGGTACCAGCTTTTTTCTGTAGTCTATTTTAGTAGGGGAACCCTCCCCCAAGAACGGGTAAAAGGGCACTACTGGGGGACCTAGCCACTGAAACATGCAAAAAAAAGGGGTACATGCTGCCAATTCTGGGGTATTTCTCCTGCGGTTGCCATGGAACCCACCGGACACATGGTTTTATTTGGAAGGACACAACCTGGGAAGCCTGAGTCAGGTTCCAGGGCAACGTGGACAGGAGGGTAAATGTGGGTTTTGTTGAGGGTCCTCTTGTTGGGGTGTTTGTTTGTTTTTGTTGGAAAACCAAGTGAAACCGGGCCCCGTGTAAAAAAAAAGGTCCCCCATGTTGACACATATCCATCGGGGTATGTCGAAGAGATATCCACCCGATGGGGTAAAATGTGGTGTTTTCTTTGTGGTCTGCAAAACCACCCTCCGGAACACCCACCATACCTGAACATGTCCTTGACCCTAACTGAAATCGTAGGCCCCCTCTAAATTCTAAACAAATACAACCTCTCCTCTCGCCAACCAAACCACACCATGCGGAATTGTCTGGAAAGGGAGATGGAGATGCGCAAAGTTTGCCGGTACATCATCGTCATTTTCACCCACTGGGCACAGGTCGGTGAACACCAAACCCTTCCTTTGGCAAACAAAACAAGACGACGCGGGCTCGTCGCTTTCGCTCGAGAACTCGCACTCTTTTGCACCAGCTGCTCCCATGCAGAGGCGCAAAGCTCGTAGTCCAGGAACCTGCGAGGCCGCTTCCCGAGCCGGCCGAAATTGTTCTCTTGGTGCGCGGGTGGGGTTCAAATCCATCAGACCCTTTAGACCCTGGAGTGGAGAACGGGTGGAGAAAGGCTGACTCTGCTTTCGAGTAGAAGGGCAATATAGCGAATATAGGGGGCTGAAGGATTTCGGACACCTGACAAATTCTGAGGTCGGAACACGGTCTTGTTCCCTTTCAAATGAACCCTCTGGTGGGATTTGTAAAACGTTTCAAGGTCATGGAGACTCCAGGTATACTTCTTCCATCAATCAGGGCGGACAAACAGGGCCTTTCTAACATGACGCCCAACTTCCAGACCCCGCTGTACTTTCATCATCGTTGGAAAGAGGGTAATGCTGTAGAACCATGATGAACAAACGAGGCCAAAACTCTAGACGGGCACGGGCCATAAACTAACCTTTGGTCCTGTGACCGAAAAAGGCAAACAAAAGGCGACTCCCAGATCTCCGAAGCTTGAAACCTGAACCCCGCAACCTGCCAGAAAACCGGATACCTAGCTCAAACTGGCCCCCACACCCCGAACAAAAACCCAAAAAACGGATATCCAGCTCCGCCTCTTCGTTTTTTGATGTCTCCCTCCCTTGCTGGTGCTCAGTAGGGAAATGAGGGAAGGAACCTGAACATTCCCTCAAAGGAAGCCACCAGTTGGACAGTTTCTTGGAGTCATTCCATTTCTCATTCCCTGCATCTCTCGCACCAGCAAGCTCCCTCGAGCGTTTTTCCGCGAAACAAAAGTGGCCCGCTCGGATTTCCAGCTAAACCTGGCCCACACTTCCCGAAAACACCCGGATATCCTAGGCCAAAAAAGAAACGGTCAAATTGCGGCTAGCTGGGGGACCTAGTATCCCAATTCCCTCCCCTCTCTCCGCGGCTTTTTTCGGTTTTCTCCTCTCCCGGAAAAAATAAAAATCGAACGGGAAAAAGATCGAGCGAGACTCCGAGCTCCGAGGATCTCGCTGCAGCATGCCGCGGGCGCTCTTGATGGAGCACCAGCACTCCCAGAGCAACCTCCAGGACCAAGGCCTCCGAGGGCTCCATCGAGCCCGAGGGCTCGGGAGACTCCCAGGGACCGAGGGACCCGACCTCTGTTGGGAGTCGACCTCCGGCCCCAGTTGGCCGAGTGGTGGTTTTCCGGGCTTTCTGCGAGGCGGAGTGGGCAATAAAAGGAGCCCAAGCTTTGGGTGGGCCACTAAATTGGTCTTCCTAAAACGTTGAAATGTGAGGTGCCCATACTGTGGATGGCTGTTTTTCTCCATAAAGCGCACCACGAAATGAAGCAATAGTTGAAACCACAACGTTGGTTGGTATTTACAAGGGAATCGACTCATTCCAGGATTTCTTAGATACTGCCAAATGGATTCTGTCCATCCACGTAGGAGGCCATACCTCAAAAACTTAATAACTAGTGGTTCACGGACCATTTGCGGTTCAAACGCGAATCCCGGGTAGCCCAACAGAATACCATTGTTGGAAACCAATAGGGACCTACCCAAACCGACACCTTGGAAACGCCTGCTCAGAGCTAGCCCTTTGGCTTCTCTTCTGGGGAGTTCTGCACATCCCGCATTTTTTCTCAGCAAAAACAGAAATAGCAAAGGCCCACTTCTTGATGGGTGGGTCTCGCTTTACCGGGAACATCACGCCAGAACGATTGGCGTGCAGGGGCATGTGTCACAAACAGGGTCAGAACGTTTGGCTCTGCTCTGGGTCCTGGGGCAAGCTTGGCATACCTGACGAGGAAGCCTTTCTGTTTTGGATTGGTTTACATCTGGGTTCCCGATGAAACCCAGACTGACTTCCGCACGGGTGGACCGGTCAAAAAAAGGTCAGCGAACGTGTTGTGTAAGCCACTGACATGGCAACGGAAACCGAAAAGCGAGAAGTGCCTCAAGGCCGGAACGGAACTCAGGGAGTGAGGCGGATTTTTTTTGGGTCCCGGTACCCCCCGGTTAAATTCATGTCCCGTTTGCAGTGGGGGGGGTTTATCACTTCCCTATAAGTGTAGGACGGTTTTCGCCTTGTACCGCTCTCGGAAGTTCACTGTCACTACCTAATGTCTTCCATGACAAATGGAAGGAAGACAAAGGACAGTCCCCAAGCAAAAATGGAAGGACCAAATGCTCAGAGCGCCGGCCTCTCCGCGCGGCAGTTGGCCAAATGCTGAGCCTCCTCGTGCTCATGCTTGTACCTCACGCGGATGCGGATCCCTTTTCGTGAAACGGAGCCCGGTGGATTCAAGGTGGCTTTTGCGGGTGCTTCCCACTACAGGAAGACTCCCAAACCAATCCAAACCGCCAAAGGGTTCCTGACCCATGGTGGCCCGTTAAAGCCAAGAAGGAAAATACTCCCTGCTACTTGCCCGAAAGGGGGTCGGGTGATACTTCCAGGTTGCCCGGGGGGGGGGGGGTAGAGCCAACGAGGGGAAAAGACGCACCTAAGCACATGGAAGATCATTGTTGGCCACGTGCTGCCGGTTTGCTCAAAGCTTTGAAGCACATAACTTCCGGAATGTCACGATACATCATCGAAGGAACAAAACCCAGGCACACCTGCAGGAAGTTAGCCAAATCCCTAAGGTCCTCCCCACTTCTTTCAGCGATTGCTCTTCTTGAGTTCAACCCGCCCCCTTTTGCAATCCTTTCAACTAGAGCTAACCAGGCCGCTTAGCGAACCAAGTTTCAGCAAGGCAGCTTTGCCATGGCACGCGCTGCCTTGCCCCGGAATAAAGGTCACTCCAAGCTGGAGTCGGTTCCTGCCTCCCACCCCAGATCGTTCCAACCGCAAGCGATGTCTTGCGGCCATGGCACCGTGCTTAGAGTTAGGTCCAGATGTAGAATGTATATTTTATTGTTTGCTTCACTTTGAGCCCTTTTGGTTTTATAACGTGTAAAACTAGGTCCTCCAGCAGAGGTTAGAATAAGGGCACCAACTTTCTTCTGTAGTCTAGTTTACTAGGGGAGCCCTCCCAACCAAAAAAGATCAAACAAGTTGGTAGAAGGGCACTACTGGGGACCTAGTTAAGGTCATCTAAGCTGGAGTCGTTCCCTGCCTCTCACCCCAGGTCGTGCCAACCGGCGATGTTTTGCTTTGCCATGGCACTTGGGCCCGCCCTTCTGGCACCTCAACTTGTGCTCCCCCTGCCGCCCCGAGTCGTTCACCGACGCCGCGCTGGTGTCGATCTCCTCTCATGGCCACTCGGATGACCCCAAAGCAGCCCGAAACATGGGTGGCTCGTCTGTTTTAGGAGTTGAAGCCACCAAAATGCCTTCGGCTTTGATTCCGGTTCTCCTTTTAAGCCAAAAAATACCCACCAAAAGCAGGAAAGACACCCATATAAGGAGACAAACCCAACCACATTGACTTCCAGGCCACACGTAACCATGTGGATGGTTGAAATCGACATCCATTTCGCAGCACCGTTCGGCAAAACCCAAAGGAAGACTTCGATCCTCCCCTTGCTTTTTGAACGAACAATGGTTTCATTCTTAGGTGGTGCGAAAGGGATTTCGATTTCAACCATCCGCATTTACAAGCGCTTGCTAGGAGTTGGGCTTACCTTCCGCGAGCCGAGAAAGACCCTTACCAATTCAGACTTCAGAAGCTCCCTGGCAGAAAGAAATTGGTGGATACCGGTGTGCGTGGTCCACTTTTAGTCTTGGTCTTGGCCAAAAGCATATGGAAACCAACAATAGACAACGCGTGGTTCATATTGTCTTGCAGGGAAGCCAACAGGAAAACCCGCCATTTTTTACCTTGGGTTGCGGGAAAACCAACAGGAAAAGTTGATCCATTTAGTGGTGGCAAGCTTCCATTGAAACTGTCTTTCAAAAAGTGGCATTTGGAGGAAACCCTGAACAAAAGTCCTCCATTTGCGGAAAAATCGCTCGGGTTGAACAATGATCGACTCTCTTTAAAACCAACAGGGGTCTTCTCAGATGCCCACTTGGCAAAAAAAAGGCGTCCTGTTTGGTTGACTGACTTTAAAGGGGAACCCTTCCCCAAAAAAAAAGGAGAAAACGGGCAGCACTGGGCAACTGGGTGGTTCTTGGTACTATTAGCTACTTACGGCGAAGATCCCGCCTCGG